ACGGTAGACACTAATTGAGTAGGTCAGATGGGCCTCCTGCAAGGCATGATGCGGTGAGCGCTGGGCAAGTCCTGGCCGGTGGCAAAATATTCATATTACATATTGATATCTTGATACTTTTGAGCAACGTCTGTGCATTCCACGCGCTGAGTTTGTCGTCCATTACAAGTCAATGATCCTCCGTCATGGCGTATCAGCCTAATATTCTCCTCTTTGGAGATCAAACCGAAACGAACCTGAGTATCCAAGCGCTATATAACCATGCCAACACGTCCGAGCGCCTTCTAGGGTATATCGATGCCGCATATGAGGCTGCGAACCAAGCCTTGGATCAACAAGACGTCAATCCGGATGTTCGTGCCGTCTACCACTTTGCATCATGGATAGAACTAGAAAAGACTATCGCATCTCAGGAGGTCCCGGATGTAGTTTTACGCACGACGGCTCTCTGTTTTGCTCAATTAGGACATTTCATCCGGTAGGCAAAGTTGCAATCAGCACTCACAGATAATTTAGGTTGTATTGACCAGTCCTGTAGACTCTTGGAAACTGATACTCATCTTCGCCAAGCATGGGTGTCTCAGAAATTAATCCTCGCTGCCTCCTGTGCAGGACAAGTCCCTGCTGCACTGGCAGCCAGTACTCAGTCACTGGATCAGTTTGTGCTTGCTGCGCCCGAATTGGTGTCAATAGCCGCCAGAATAGGCCTTGAAATAAATCGTCGGGCTAATTCATTCAACGATGATCGAACCAAGAGCTGGGCAACCGCCGTCGGAACAGACCTAAAATCAGCTCAATCTGTGGTAGATGGATTCAACCGAAGTAAGGTGAGCATGTTCCTCATTCACGAACTTGCTATTAAGTGTTTGAGGAACGAATTATATTTAATAAATCGTAAACAGGACTTGTCACAATCTGAAGGACTTTATGTGGGCGTTACCTCCGCATGGGCAACAACCATTATTGGTTCTCCCCGGCTGCATCGGGACCTTTTTGACTCAAAGCCGTTCGCCGAGGGCATCCAGATAACACCCCTTCCCATCAACGCACCCTTTCACGCATTTAACGCGCCGAAGCCTGATCTCAAATGGATTATTGGTACGGCACCCGTGCTCGACTTGCTCGCTCTCACTAAAACTGTCTTCTTGTCCTCGGAGGACGGGGTTGCTTTTCCGCCACAAACAGGGGCAAAACTAGTCTGTGAGGCCGTGTTAAATATGCTCAGCAGAATGACCGATAATAGCAAGGTCTTCTCCAAGGTTTCGGATTTACTCGGTCAGCAAGATGGATGCATAGTTCCTGTCGTTGCGGATAAAAGTGCAAGACGTATGGTGATGGATTTGAAGGAAAAGAAAGTTTACCTTTACACGCGGTTACCCAACTAATCATGTTGTATCTTGATAGTAAACAGCTTAGGGACTTGTTAGTTGAATCAACCCGCTAGAGGCCTTTCACAATGCGATGCTCTCTAATGATTTGGATGTTTCAAGTGTATTGTTGCTCTATTCTGTGATTTTAAAGACTGATTTAAGTTTAAGCCCACGTAGGTTCATCCACACCATTACCCCTGGTTCCAATGTCGAACCCGGGACGAACCACATCCGCAAACTGCAAGACTGGCTTGACTGTTCGAATGTTGATTCCCAGGTTTGGACAAGGGCGATCCTCCAAGTACTGTGGATCGAAAACCTCTGGTGAATGCCTCTGGAGAAGCGACGACACCTTTCCAATAAGAACAAGCATGTGGTCGTCGTGACGAAAGATGGGTGAGCCGTAGTGCTGGTGAAGCTTCTTCCAGACAGGCTCGGGATACACACCCACGTTGCGAGTCAGCCAATTGTTGTAATAGTCGAGAGCGAGCTAATAGTTTCAGTTTCAGCATTAATAGACCTTGTCTTTTCTCGGCCCAAACCCTTTAAGTGTACTCACGTTGATTTTGTAGGAACCACCTTGCTCTGCACGACGGATAACTGCATCCAGGACGCTGCAGATTCCCGATATCCCGGTACAAAAGTCGCTGTTTGGGAAAAGAGGTGTCACGGGTTCTTCATGTCCCATTGCGCGCCCAAATTCCCAAGACACGCCGGTGTGCTAAGAAACGTCAACGTCAGGAACAAAACTATATCGATTAGAATTGAAGGGACATGTACCGCATCCGAGATTTGCTGCCAGCCACTTCTCTCACGCATCGGCCCGTTCCACCCATATGAATTGAGCCTCACCACGATGATGCCTTTTTCTCGTTCTTTGCAAAAGTCGAGAACATTGTCCGCGCCAAATCCCCATTTCTCCATCACGGTGGGACGGTAGCTCGATACAAAGACGTCGCATTCCAAAATGAGCTTCTTAAATGTGGCGTGGTCGGCTTCCTGCGACAGGTCGAGAGACGCATTGCGTTTGCCCCAGTTGAATTCTGGGTGGTAAATCGTTGCGTCGGGAACTCGCGTCTTCGTAGTGATGCGGAGGACGGTGGCACCCAGTTCTGCTAGGCCGCGAGTAACGGCTGGCCCAGCTATGATCCTAGTGGCATCGAGAACTTTCAGTCCAGCAAGAGGTCGAGATGGATCGTTGGGCTTTTCACCCGCAGAATTGGTCCACCACGTAGGTTTTTGGTGTTGATTCGCCGGGATTGTTTCCCAGAGGCCAACGTGTTCGTTGGCTCGGCTCATCTCCGTCTTGCGATACTCTTCTAGGCTGTAGCAGACTGAACCAGCCGTCTTTATAACGTCGTTGGATAACTTATCGATATCTTCGGCGTTCCATTGCCCGAGGGCGGCACGAAACATGGGCAATACATGGTGAAACTGGTCATGGTCCTTCGGGGGCTGTAGAGGCAGCTTGAGCATATCCAGGACCACATCGGGATTGAGTGAGCCGTGGAGGTGGAAGAACTTGTCATCAGCTGTTCGGTAGATATTTGACGTACAGCAGCGGTAAGGCCCATCAAGGGACCGATAGTAGTCAAAGTCCTGGAATTTGCTCAGGTAAAAATCCTTGGCCTCTTGGCTCGCGCGAGTATCCATGAACTTCACATTTCTGCCCTCGGGATCGAGAGACCAAAGCTGAAGAGACATGATAAAGAGAATAGCATGGTTTCTGGTAGCTTATTGTAAGTTGTGAGAATTCATAGCAAGCAGCTTTCCAGGTAAGACATACGTATTAATCTTGACTTTCTGGGGAGCAATACCGTATAGCTTATCGAGGATGGCATTTACATAAACGGCCTCGAGCGCCTTTAGGGCAGACATGCTCTCGGCAAAACGCCAGTTCACAGGAAGGATAGGGTTATCTGGTCCCTCAAAAGACACAGCGTCGGCATATTTTTGTAGTGGCCCATCGAGAAGATGCTTCCGAGTCAGCGTACTCGACAGGATGCCATCGCGAAAGACCTTGGCTGCATTGCTGGGAACAGAGTAAGGAGCGCTTTGTTCCATGTTCAATCTGGTAATGTATTCTAATATAACGGGCTGAGCCCGATATGGCTAGGCTTGCACTCTCGCCTTTAGCCCCGGCCCCCTGCCGGGACCTATTTATAAGCGAGATTAACCAGGTGGCAGGCTTAAGAGCTCAGAATCTTCTTGGGCTTTTTTTTCTTATGTTTTTTTAGCATTTAGATAATTGTAATAATTGCCTAGCGAGTTGTTAATATACTCAGCTTAGACCGTTACACTAATAGCTCTTGGTTCGACTTTTGGATTTATCGAGGAGTCTTTACTGTAAACGCTATTACGTTAAAAAAAAGCGAAAATGTAGGCCGACTGAAATCTTTCTAGCAGCTCTAATAGTAGCTTATATTTTAAGCGATATCTGGCTGAGTTTACTCAATTTTTGTAGCAAGTATTCTTTAGGCTTAATATCCTTAGTTTATAGATATGTACAAGCGAGAAGCAAGCATATATATACTTGTCTAACAGGATCGATAGCTGTTCTAGATCGGTAGAAGAAAAATACAGTAGCCTTGTCAGCACACAGGAAACATGGTAGGCGTTAACTGGCTAACTAGGACGCGTAATAATCTGTCTAAGAAGCCGACTAGCCGGCAACCCCGTCTTACCCTTTGGACTAAACCGGCATAGGGCTTACCCCCACCCCCGCCGTCGGCCAAAGCTTCTTAGTGCTACTAATAAAATAAGCTTTAAAAGCATAAGGCCATCAAGAGATTTATATCCGAGCCGTGCCGGAATTCAACACCCATCTGCAGCTGAGCGGAGTTGCATGCTAATGGTCGGCCCACAAACTAAGATGCATGCGTGTAGTCAGGAAACAGATATGCTGAATTCTCTGGGATGCCCCTTTCCCTCCTTCTTTCCCTCTTTGTCACCACGATCCTCAGTGTTTTGATATTCGTTAACCACGTTTTAAGCTGATACTATACTTTATTTAAGGAGTTTTGCTTGTGTATCATGACTGATAAATACACTTATATGGAAGGCGTCGACACCAGCGCCGCCGTGACAGCCGCAGGTTCAAGGGCGTCGCGGAACGGCGCCGAGCCTGCGGAGAATGAACCATCCGCCGGCGGCATTCTTCGGAATGACGGCGCAGCGGTAGAAGCGCAAAAGGCTACTGAGAAGCCGGACCAGGTCCATTTGATGGCAACGCGTCCAAATGGTGGATGGAAGGCCTGGTTGCAGGTTTCTTGTGGCTTTTTTCTCTTCTTCAATACCTATGGTGCGATAGCCACGGACTCCAAAAACAAAACTTTGCCTGTTATGTCAAAGAGGGCCGACTGACAATTAATCGCTAGGTCTCATCAACACCTTCGGAATCTATCAGACATACTACACAGCTAATTTTCATTTTGATCCCTCCCGCGCCTCTCTCATTGGCGGCATACAGACATTTCTTGTCTTCTTTGCTAGCGGCGCTGGTGGCCCCTTGTATGATGCAGGCTATACGCGTTTCCTCGTCACCGCAGGGGCAATTCTCATCGTCTTTGGGACCATGATGCAGAGCCTTTGCACAGAGTATTGGCAGTTCATCCTCGCCGAATCATTTTGCATTGGGCTTGGCGGGGGCCTGACGTCCTTCTTGGGGCCGGCTGTTCTGTCGACCTACTTTACATCTCGGTATCCCTTGACAGTGGGAATTGCAGCTTCGGGGACAGGCATTGGCGGCATTATCCTGCCTATTGTATTCCGCGAACTCCAACCAAAGATAGGCTTCCCATGGACCGTCCGTGTTATCGGCTTTATCCTTTTTGCCACGCTTATGCTTCCAGTATTTTTTCTCCGACCACGCTTGATCCCTGGTGCTGGCCGCAAAGCTATCGACAAGACCGCCTTCACTGACTGGCCATTTGCCGTCTTTTTAATTGGTAACTTCATTTACCTCCTTGGAGGTTTCACGCCCTTTTTCTACATCCAAGTATATGCTGTTGAGAAAAATATTGCCGACGCAAGTCTCAGCTTCTACATTATTTCCATCATGAACGCCGTATCGGCTATAGGGCGTATCCTGCCAAACTTTCTCAGCCCGTACACCGGCCCCTTTAACATGCTTATATTTACAAGTATCCTGACGTTTGTCTTTGCGTTTGCGTTCGAAGGCGCACAGAGTGTCGGCTCGCTTATTGTCGTGAGTGCCCTCTACGGAGGTGCTACCGGCTTGTTTTTTGCGTTGCAGCCGGTTGTGGTGATTGGACTTAGTCCCAACCCTAAGCTTACTGGGACGCGGGTGGGAATGGCGTTTTGCTTCTTGTCGTTTGCCGTGCTCGCCAGTAACCCTATTGCTGGTGCTATTCAGACTGCGGGAGGCTTCTCAGGGGTCTGGATCTGGACAGGCGTTGTTACCGCTGTTGGCACGGCTATTATGTTTGCAGCGCGCCTAATAAAGACCGAAGGTAAACTCTTAATTAAAAGATAAGAATATATAGTAAGGAGAAGCTATTAGTAAGTGTTATCTTCAGCGCTGTCATGGGTTCGTTTCTGTTAAATAAGAAGCTGGGCCCTGTCGGCAGATCAGGCATCGCGCTTTGTCTGCTCGGCGCAGCTCTTGTCATCATTTATGTGCCTGCAGAGTAACCCGTTAAGACAATTAATCAGATTCTGGAGTACGCTTTGCAGCCAGGTATGTTGCGAGCCTTACTCGACATGTTCTCCCCAGCTAACGTATAGTAGGATTTCTATTTTATGCCGCGGCCGTGTTTGCCGCGGTTGTCTTCTTGATATACAAAGTTGCACTACTGTGCGGCAAGAAGACAGCCGTAGTCTACCTATCTATCTGCTTACTTACAGGCTTAATATCCAGTATAGGTATTAAGGCGCTCAGCATAGTATTAAAGCTTACCTTCTCCAGTAATAACCAGTTCATATATTTGTTTATATACACCTTTCTACTTCTTTCCACAGGGTGTATTATTATCTAGATAAACTACTTTAATAAAGCACTGGCGGCCTTTCCGGCTAATATGTACGTCTTCCTCCTCTATTCCGGGATTATATTTCCTGACAGCAAATCAGAGAGTTAATCCCATGTACTACGTCGGGTTTACAACTTCTACGCTTTCTGTATCTCTTATCTTATACGGAGGTCTGAGCATCAAGGACACATTTATAAATCTGTCCCTGCTCTTGGGATTACTCATCACCTTTTTTGGGGTCATTATACTTAACATCTCACAGCAAGATCCCGCTATACAGAACGCAGGCAACCGTGGAAGCTTCGAAAGGATTCCCTTTTAAAGCCTACTAAATAGGAGCGCTACGTCTTTGGGTAGCAATTATTATTACCCCAGACACGACGACGAGCAGCGCCGGGGAGTTGGCACAATTGCATAGAGGCAAATGAGAAGTAGCGTCGCAGAATACAAAGTATTAACATCTACTAAGCAAAATTGTACAGTGTGATTCCATCTACAAGTTCATGAGACAAAGATCTCTTCATCCACTCAACCCACGCCTTCCGTAATATATTGTGGCCATGTGTCAAGGCCAGCCGCCGTTCACTTCAACCACCTGCCCTGTTATTGCTGATGAAGATTCCCCCAACAGAAACATGATTGCTTCGGTGACTTCCTCAGGCTCTACTATCGACTTTAGTGCCCCCTTGTACGCCGCCGCCACAGGTGCATCATCCATGGTGCCCTGAATCATCGGTGTATTCACAGCCCCTGGAGCAACACAATTCACTCTCAGACCATCCGGCCCCCAAGATTGAGCAAAAGACCGAGTCAATCCAAGCACGGCATGTTTACTCGCGACATATCCTGCAAGACCAGGGATGCCCCGTACAGAAGCCATCGAGCCTACGTTGACGATGCTTTAAATAGTGCCGCCCTCTCTGGGAACACGCGATGACTTGACCAACTGGTGAAACTCGGTATTGACATTCCATGTACCAACGATATTAACGTCCCAGGGCTGGCGAAGATGCTCGTCCCCCGCTTCCGATATTTTAGTAGGGCGCAGGATCGCCGCACAATGGACAAGCCCTGCCAATCGTATGTTCTTTTGTGTGGCAATCTGATCAAACACAGCTTTAATATCCTTCCTTAATGATATCTTGACCTTGGGGTAGCTCTGCTGCTGGCCAGCAAGGTCGTTATGTGTTGGTATTTTGCTAGAGATGTCTAGGACGTGGACTGATACCGATAGCTCTAGTAGTTTTCTAACTGTGCTTTTGCCGATCCCGGACGCCCCTCCTGTGACGATGAATGCTTTGCCGAGGAGACTCATGTCGTGAGTTATGGAAGGGCGTATATTCAGGGAGGAGGCTTGTTGAATGGCAAGATTGTGTGAAACCGTGTGTGACTCTTCTACCCCGTAATGTAAAGCTGGTTAACTGATGTAAATCAAAATGCTTTGACAGAGTTGCCGTCATTTGTGGGAGATGGTTGCTCTCGGAAATTCGGGCTTCCATTTCGGCCACAAACGAGGAACCACCCCGGCGAGAAGCTTGTACAGCATACAATTACATTTCGAATACGAATTCGAAGCAGGGTATTCTGAGTTAATTCGGATATAGGGACTGCTTAGATCACGATATTCTTTGGTAATACCCAAACTCCGCTATGGAGTACGCACCCCAGATTCCGTGAGCCGTGCATTCCGCGCATTCCGCGGGGATTTAAACGCTATCTCCACCAACCGTTAAATAATAATGTTTCGACTACACGGCAAACAATCGGCTATCCGTGAGCAAAATAGCAAGCTACGGCCGAAAGGAAGTCACTTGAAACCACAACGCCGGCCCGTGTGAACCAACCTCGTCGCATCCCAACTACTTTACATGAGCCACTGCTTCGGAATTCGCTCCCTCTCGCCTTGTACGCTTCAGAATTGCCGGGTCTTATCGAAACGAGTGACAAGTCAACATTATGCTGGTAGCTTGGATGATTTCGTTACTAGAGAACTGTCACAGATATCACAAAACCGCCGTAACTCTGCACTCAGCCTCATCCTCCGCCCAACTATGGGACTGATATCCAAATGACACGATTTTATTTCTAGTCATAGCCATCATTAAATGTATATGCATCTGGAACACAAGTTGCATTGGTTATACATGACTAATCTATATTGCCTTCAAGAATACGCTACCAGAAGAGTATTTGACGATGTGCAATGACCGTACTCAATATCCCATCCCCCTTCCGGGACACGTCGTCAAGTGCTGCCACCTTCTTAGAGGTAGTGACTTACTCGTTAGTCTGCCTCTTTACTGAAGCTACATGTGAAGCTACCCTGAAAACTTATAGTCAATTCCTGTCCAACGCCATCGATGCTTTGCTAAGTGACTGTAAATCACGACCCGTCTCCGAATAATGCTGAGTCATGCTCTTCAGAGTCAAGCTCAGAGATTTCGTCAGTGGTGGCGGCCGTTTTCTCTTGCATGAAAACGCCGATGTCTTGCCACTTTGCGTGATTGTCCTGCATACCCTACTGAGCGAAGCTTACTTTTTCACGCGCTCTAGTATTTGCACCTCGAATGAAACTGTCTCTATAACCCCAAGGCAAGGGAACTAGTGCAGGGTTATCGAAACGATTTCTTTCGAACTGCAACCAATTCCCTTCTCTTGGGGCTATAGGGACACCTGCAACCGAGCTGCAAGATCTAGAGCGAGTGAAAGTCTGACAGACCGCTGTTCCTCGCCTGGATTGACCGGAGATGCCATGTAGTGGGTGTAAAGACTAGTGTCCCTAAACCAGAACCTGGTTCTGCACTGAATGCACAGGCGTTGCTGTCGAATCCTAGTGTCGTCCTGCCGTAGTTGCGCAGTACGTCCATTGCACGAGCTCCATATGCTCCATCGTTCCTGTTGAATGTGTGTTTTCCCTTATTTAGGGATATTACATCTTTGCTGAACGCTTGTAAACCTTAGTAAGGAGTGAAAGTAAGGCTAATAGTGCTGTTGTACCTGTCGAGGGTGTGGCTTAGGGCCACTCGCTCTTGCAAACCGAGAATGACCTTTGGGGAGTAATCTGACAATCCTGCGTGGTTTCTCCGACACTACTTGTGCGTCTGTTCTGTGAGTTAGCTCCATTAGGATGCTGCTTGTAAAGGGCATCCTGCATGGCGCTTCGATAAAAGTTGAGTGTGACGACATAGGTAGTTGTCGGCTTATGCTCCTTTGCGGAGTGGTTGTTTTGTGAGACGCCGTCACCAGTCTGTCAACTTTGAATCTGGTCACTCCATGACTGATGGTACTGTGACAAGCTACTAGCGTTGTGGAACGCGGTCCTCTTGATACGCGTCAGGGGAGTCAGCCGCGTGCTGTACAGTTCGGTGACATGGAGAGGAGGCAAAGAGACACATCGAAATAATCTTTCGTGTGGTGACTGAGGGAGAAGTTGGCAAGCCGTGAGGAAGAATAGTCACTGGTTTATATATTGAACTAACGGACGAGTAATTGTAGGCTCCGGTCGAAGTTGCAAATGTGTGCAAGGTTTTGACGTGAACAGGTCAGAGCGTATTCTGTTTGATGCGACATGGATGAAGTGGTTTCACAGAAGGGAGACAGGAAACAAACTATTACCCGTCTGTTTTGAATACAGGCGCTTTTTTGAGGCACGGACTGTCTCCTCATCTGAGAGCGGTCATAGCACCCAGTTTTCCTGTTGTTCCATTGCTTGATATGGTGCCATTGAGTCACGGTTAAGATACAAAGTCCATTAGTTAACATAGATCCAAATACTATCTCCCATGCGTCGATTGCGGTATGTCGGTTGTCAGCGGAAGATACCGTGTCAAGTCGGGATCGGAAAAGAACTTGGCACTTTGTTCTTGTCCACACGGGTGGGCTTCTGTTTCCCGCTTTGTCCGCTCGGAGCTTAGTAGTCAAAGGAAACGGATACCACGACAAACGAAGCATGTCCACGTGAGGTTGCGGTGATATCAGAAGTTCAAATATAATTATGAGAATTATTGTATCCTATACCTAGGTTGTTTTAGTATTGAAGACGAGATGGTAGCAAAAGGTCGTAGATTTGCAGAAGTAACTCCTTGGTGCTTTTTCGAAGAGGTGCAACTAGGTCTAAAACTGCTTGGTACATCCGGTAAAAGCTTTGGCTCATATGTGTACCCCATTGTCAACGCCAAAGGCCCCCTTTCAAGGGAAAAAGGAAGCTATTCATCGGTATCGCCGAAAGGCCCTGAAAAGCCTCGGTATGATTGTCAAAATGAAGCCACCAAAAGCCTCCAAAAGGCTCGCGCCACGACCCCATTGAAGCTGGATCTTCAATAGCTAAAATCCCTCAATTGCTGACTTTCTAGGCAACTAGCTAGATGACGGTCAATATCTATAAAAAGGGCCTGTTTTCCCTCCCTAGATAGCTTCAATACAAGGACAATTCCACGCTTCGATCCCCTTCCATAGCTGTCAACGTGATACCCATTCTAAATATCCGTTTGTAAAGAATATTCTAACTGGGAGAAACAATCCCTTCCGTATATCACTGTACCACCGCGGCTCCTTCATGAAAATCTCCATTCGGAAGACCGGAAACAACAAACTGCGACCAATCCTCCAGTCCCTTATCGCACCATTCCCGCCATGCCTGGAGGCCACCGAACCAGATCAGAGGCTCCTGCTTTTTGCCAGGGATATTCGACCCATTCCACCACGAAGGCGTTTCCCGGTGCAAAAGATGCTGGTAAACGGCATTCGTTGTGTCACTCCAGAATTGAGCGGCCTTTGCAGAAGGCTCGACATTTGCTATTCCTTCGTTTTTGGCTTTACTGAGGAGTTTCATGGCCCAATCGACTTGCAATTCCAGAAAAGGTGGTCCATTAGCGAGAGAGGAAGGCGACTGTGGACCGTAGAGGATGAAGGCGTTGGGCATGTCGGGAATCATGGTTCCGAGGTATGTTCTTATGCCTTGCTTCCATTTCTTTTGCAGGATAACCCCGTTCTTATCGTGGATGTTCATATCGTAAAGACTGCCAGTCACGGAGTCGTATCCAGTCGCAAAGACAACGACATCCAGCTCAATAGACTGGCCGTTTTCGAGCGTGATGCCATTTTCGCTGAATAACAGGATTGGCGTCTTCTTCACATCAACAAGGGCTACATTCGGGCGGTCAATCATCTCGTAGTAGTCTGTCTCCAGACTAGGACGCTTAGTCCCTATCCAGTGGTTTTGCTGCAGAGGAGCCATGATGTCTCTTTTCACAGGATCAGAAATCCGAGCTCGCACCTTTTTTGCCCAAAACTGGTATAGTTCAGCGTTGGCGACCTTGTCAAAAGCATGGTCTTGGAAGCTGGTGGTGAAAATGACAAAGCCTCCTCTTCTCCAGAGCTCTTCATAATGTTCCTGCCTCTTCTCTGGGCTGACTTCGTGAAAGCGTCGTTTCTCAGTGTTGTAGTGATAGCCAGTGGTATTGTTGTACTTTCCCTTCTCAAAAAGAGCTTGATATGTGTTCTTTTTTTCCTCTCTCTCGTCTTCACTGAATTCCCTCTGACGCATTGGAACAGCTACGCTTGGATTTCGCACAAATACAGTTAGCTCGCACTCTTCTTTGGCCAAGTCTTGAAGAATCTGCAGGCCAGAGGCACCCTGGCCGATGATGCCGACCTTTTTGCCCTTGACGCCAAAGTATTTTGGCCAATTTGCTGGATGTATGGTCGTGCCCTTGTATTTATCGATGCCAGCAAACTTGGGGATGTACGCCTTATTCGTTGTTCCTGTGGCAAAAATGACGTAGCGGGCGGTTACTGTATGTCCAGCACTTGTCCTAAGATGCCAACGGCCGGATGTGGTATCATATTTGGCTTCAGTTACTCTGGCGTTAAAAATGGCGTCCTTCCGCAGATCTAGTACTTCTTCCAGGTGCTTAAAGTAGGCTTTGATCTCGTCATGTGCTGGGTATTTTCTGCGGAAACTGAAAGATTTCCACACTTCGGGTAGATCCAGTTGATACAGAGGTGTTTCGGAGTCAACACGAGCACCAGGATAGCTGTTGAAGTGCCAAACTCCCCCAAAATCGCCGCCAGCTTCAAAAAGTTTGACGGTGTAGCCTGCACTTCGAGCTTTATGAAGAGCATAGCAGCCTCCGAAACCGGCGCCAACAATAATTACGTCGGCCTCGACAACGTTTGGTCCAAGGTGCCCATTTTGGCCATTGACGATATGGTGGTCCATGGTTGATGAGCTTAGATAATTCCGAGGACAGGTGATGGCAGCAGTAAGCCTTGTTGACCAGCCGAGACAAAAGGACACCAAAGATAGAAGATGCCACGTTCTTCAATACAACTTAGTGACGGACTGCAATGAGACCAATGGTAGTCTTGAAATTGTACGTAGTTGCTGAACCAGATATATAATTGCTTAACACGACCGGCGGACCGGAACATTAAACTCCTATCCAGGTACCAATGAATCTCTACCCAAGCGGACTTTGGCTTGGCGTAGGCCACAGATGTGATCCACCGTGAACGACGGATGACGATCAACAGGGCCTAGCACAACATGCAACTATTGAGCGGAATCGGCGGAAAGGACTTCTCTCCCGCTGCCCATTCCGGGGATACCCGTAGTGCAACCAAATGATCGTCACGCGGAGGCGTCACCTGGTGGAGACGAATCCAGCATTGGAAAATCACCGCGCGTTCCACGGACATTGCGGTGTAAGAGGTAACTCACGGACAGGCCTGAATAGCAGGTTGGGTAGAAATACCTCAGGCTATGCTGCTCATTCCCAGATGCGCCAAGTCATTGCGAGTACGCTGTGACAGATGACGATTGAAAATACTTGCATCCGGAACTCGAGCCGTGCCGATCACACTCTTACACAATGGGGCTACAAATGGATAATGAGTTTGCATCTGCTTTAGCACCACTTATTCCTGCGCTTCAAAACTTGCCAAAACCTAAAGTTCACGATGTTGAGACAAGGCGACAGATCTTGGCAGGTTTTACGACCAACGCACAACTACCGGAGGATGTAGCCCAAACTATCCACAATGTAAAAACACCAGACGGCTACTCCCTGCCAATATGGCACTTGAAGAGAACGGATCGAAATCCAAGCTCTGCGGGTGGGCCAGCAGTTTTGCATATTCACGGCGGAGGGTTCATCTCGTTAAGCCCGGCTGTAATGATGGCAGGCCTTGCGGAATACGTCGTAAAAACCGACATACAACTATTCGCTGTGGATTACCGTCTTGCCCCTGAGCACCCCTATCCGACACCCCTTGACGACTGCTGGGCTGCGTTAACATGGATAATGTCACAAGCCGAGGAGCTTGGAGTTGATGCAAGTCGAGTTGGTCTGATGGGCCAAAGCGCAGGAGGTGGTCTAGCAGCAGGGTTGACACTTCTCGCTCGAGATCGCCAACTGCAGCCTCCAATTGCACGACAAATACTTGGATATCCTATGCTTGACGATAGAAACTCGGAAAGCATGCCTGAAGGTATTATCACATTATGGAACGAGGAGGATAACGTTACTGGGTGGACTGCCTATCTCGGACGCAAGGTTCAATCTGACCATGTACCCATATATGCTGCGCCGGCTCGCGCCAAAGACGTAAAGGGTCTACCTCCGCTGTACATGGACATTGGGCAGCTGGATCTGTTTGTAAAAGAAAACCTTGCGTATGTTGGAAAGTTTCTCGACGCAAGGGTAGAAACGGAATTTCACATCTACCCTGGCTTGTCTCATGGTTTCGAGGGTCTTGCACCAAATCATCCAGTTGCCAAAGAGGTGAGAGAGAAGAGAGTCCAGCAATTGAGAAAACTGTAAATAGTTGTGTACTAGTTGTGTTTATACATGAGTTGGCCGATACGTGTGTTGATTGTTGGAGACGTGTCCGAACAATCTGGGGTGGAATCTACTTAGTAACGCCCGACGATGTAAATAACTTACCTTGTGCTCTGAAAACGCCTGTATTCTAGTCGCATTCTTGGTCATGTTTGCGTTTTTCGTCTGCTTGACTTGGATCCTCCAGAGGAGAGATAGGCAAAATGCTCGGCTAAAGATGCCGAGATTTGCATGGCGCAGCCCAACCTTATAAGAAACTACCAATTGCAATTATGTTTGCGACACAAGATTCACTGGATATTGCCAAATCAGAACGGTTGATTCACCAGCCGGTTCAAATACAGGCCGATTTTAGCGTTGATGACGGCCTGGCTGCCTCTGGGGCGTGGTGAGGTTGAGGCACGGCAGTAACGCGGCATCGTTTCGACCGGAGAGATGGATGTAAAAAGACAGAAAGCTCCCCGGACCTCTGTCGGTGCGTACCAATACATACCGGCAAGAATCCGAGACAATTGATTGATCCAGAATGCTGATAGTTTACTAGTTCGGTGCCGGTGTGCGTCGATGCCTAGGCGAGCAACTGGGCTTGATGATGATCAGCAAAGCCGTGGACGAGATTGCTCGAAACTTTGATCTTGATTTTGAGGCACTGCTAAAAGGATTTACCGTGGAGAGCGCGTGGTTTGTATAGCCGACGTATTCCTGCCGTGTCCGGGCGAGAGACAAGTGGTTTTGCGCAAGGACCGACGTTACGAAGGAATACGAGGGGAACGCGGCGCAGTTATAGTGTAACTTTTCCCCGCAATTCGCAGAACCCGGGCAATCCGAATAGCTTGTTCCGTGGTGATGCTAGTTCGGTAAGGAGTTCATAGGGTTCTCAGGCTCTGCTGCAAACAGGTACCAAGATAAGGCCGCAGGTAACAACGTGTGGCTTGGTCCCCGTCACCAGCTTGCATTGTTTGGTGCATTCAATGTAATGTAATGACGTGGCAAGGCGTCATCTGACAGTTTTAAATTCTAACACTCCCAATTAAGGCATGCAAGTCCTCACGGTAGCCACCTACACCAGTGTTTAACCACAAATAAAAGTGCTTGAAAGTGATAATATGTGGGAAGCCAACCGATATTTTACTTTAGAGAGAAGAAATACCAAGCTAAAAAAAGTATATAAAGTATTAAATACTGCCTAATTACAAGGTTATAAGCAGTTAATATTACTTTCTAGGTAGTATAAATAATTCTATTAGTGTGCCCATGAACCAGGATGCACGGAAGCAGCATGTAGGCAATTTCTCTCTTGATTCTACCATCTAACGAATTTTCAGTGCACTCGCCTGGCCGCTGTCCTAGGTCACGGCTCTTTTTTTATTGGGAATAGTAACCTCACCGTGTGGGATGCCAAGCAGCAGGAAAGACAATCGGCATGTCGCGTTCAGCCAGCTACTGCTGAAGATGTTTCCAAGGTACTTCAAATTATTCTGGAGGAAGGGTGCCGCTTTGCCGTGAAAGGTGGCGGTCATGCCCAATTCCTGGATGACTCGATTTCGGTCGGAGGTGTTACCATCGACTTGCAAAAAATGAGATCTATTGAGGTATCTGCCGATCGGTCTTTGGCTAAACTTGGGAGCGGGCATATCCTGTATAGCTTATATTCCGGGCTTGAGAAGCATAACCTCACAACACTCGGCGGTCGAGTCGCAGATGTTGGATTAGGGGGTTATGCCCTGGGAGGCGGGCTTTCAAGCTTGTCACCCGCGTATGGCCTAGCCATGGATAATGTCTTTGAGTATGAGGTCCGTGTATTCTTGATGTTAACCTATTGCTGACGTTTTGCTGATACGTCGGTGGCTAGCTGGTTCTTCCCAATGCTACTATCGTGAACGTCAATCAGGATAGCCATCCAGATCTATATTTTGCTCTAAGAGGTGGTATGAGTAATTTCGGTATTGTCACGCACTTCACAATGAGGGCCTTTCCACAAGGTCAAGTGTATGGCGGCAGTCGTACGTTCCCATCCCAGCTTCGACAGGAGGTTCTGCAACAAGCCTTCGAATTAACAACGCAATGGAAGAACGACACTGCTATGGCATTCTACTCCCATTTTACATACCGCCAGAATGAGGATGACTTTGACATTACGGTACATCAGGAATATGCACGTCCAACAATGGATCCGCCACCATTTCGGCAGCTCAATCGGCTTCCTTCTACGTCAGACAACCTCCGCATAGACTGGACAAGCAGTTTCAGTAGAGAATCCATCTTCCCTAGCGGCTATCGGTGAGTTCTAGCCACATCGCAAACTGCCTATAACGGTGTTGGTAGACTGACATGTTTCAGAAATCTATTTGCGACTGCGACATACCAACCATCCGTAGACATTGACAGAAAGGTTCAGGACATTCTGATTGAAGAACTACAATCATGCAAGGCAGTACCAGGTCTCTTACCATCAATCGTGACCCAGCCTATTTATGAGGAAGCCATCAGAGCAAACAGTGACAGAGGAGGGAGTGCTGCTGGCTTAGAGGCAGAAGGCCCCCTTACAGGCAAGTTACATCTTGGCTTCAACGCAAAGAAGCTTGCGTAAAATAGCAGTGCTTTCGTCAGATTCTATCACTAACTTGCATCAGTTTTGCTGCTTACTATGAGATGGAACAATGAGAAGGACGACGCTACAATTAGTGCATTGGCAGACAGGTGGCTTCAGAGGTCACTTGCTATTATCCAGGAAGCCGGCAAGGGCAATCCTTGGCTTTACATCAACTATGCCAGCAAATCACAAGATCCTTTTGCTAGTTATGGAGAAAAAAACCGGCAAAGGCTAATTGCTATTCAGAAGGAAGTTGATCCCAGGGGAACTTTTACCTCCAAGGGCCTTTGCAGGGGGAACTTTAAGCTTCGTTAAATTTGATTTGGTAGACATGACCAAGCGCTGGGAGAATATCACGGCCAAGACTCGAGTTTCATAGCTAGTCAATTCTATATATAGCAACGCTTGTCCGAGTTTTGTCCCTCGTCAATAACACTCGGCACACGGTATGGGCTATCTTGTAGTTGTCATCTAATTGCAGGGCATATCACCGCCATTGCGCTATCTGCTAAAGCCCGTAGCTTTGGGGCCGAACCACCGATGTAACTGTTCAAGTTGAGTGTATTGACAACTAGCTACACGACTACTACGAGTATTCAAGGGCGAAGAGGGAAGTTCGAGGAGCCCACGGCTCAATGCAGCTAGTCTCGCTTACTAATAGGCCGGGACGGAGGCGAGAGCGCAAGCCGAGCCACCGTCGGGCTCAGCCCGTTACAACCGAGTTCATTCAATGTTTCGCCTGAGTCATCCTGCAGAAACTATGTGGTTGGACTGTGGCACGATTGCGTGTATTCTCGAAACCTCTCGCTTTCATGGTTACTCCGTTCTAGTGCCCTGTGCCAATCTCGTATCTAGCAAGGCCATGCATAAACCTCCTAATCACAAGGGACAGAAGTCTGATCTAGTTAGTAGATCAGGCTGTCTTGCCTCTACTCAAGAAAGTAGAGTCTTTAGATGCTGTCGTAGAGAAGCAAGTGCTTTGACTGGACTCTTTAGAACATGAGGCCGGGGAGGCCGGGTTACGTGTGATGCGTGTGAAGACATCGGTAGATAATTGTTGTGTCTGAGTGTCTAGTCTCGCGAATGTCGCGATGGGGTTACAGGTTAGCTCAGAGAAACAGTTTACTGGGCTTGTGTCCTAACTTCGAACCCTCAGGGTCGATGTCGCTTCTGTGAAGGAACAGGAGGATTCAGGGAACAAACAAAGTGACGGTACTCAGGAGAGGAAGTCCTGGAGTGGAAGCAGCCGTCACAGCAAAAGTAGTAGAGTATACAGTCGGTTTTTTTGGTAGTTAGATGAGATAGAGATGTGAATAGCATCGTTATTTAATTTAGTTAGTAAATGGTCTTATGACAAAGAAGGCATACTGTGACTTCCCCTGGCTACTAATAGAAACCTTGAACAGAAGGACAGAGCTATAGATCCCGGCCCGTGCGGCCTGAGCACCAGCACCTCGAACAATCGCAGTGAGTAACGGTGTTCCAGAACGTGCAAAGTGACTTGACTGTCAATGAGTGTGACCCTCCATGTGAAGATAAGTGAATTCAGACGGTAGTTATCGCAGAGAATATGTGTGGCCCATAATGTTTATGCACACTTGGCGCACGGAGGTGTAAGTTGTACTCTGACCATACAGGGGGGATGCGAAGGGTACTTTCAACAAAGTGAAAAAGTTGAAAAAGTTTGTGTGAGGAAACGAACGAAAATTTGTAGACAAAGGAAATACCGAGGGACGAGGTACCCAGAGGGTGGGAACGAGCAGGGCGAGTGACATGAAGCCGTGGTAGAAGCCGTCCACTATGTTTGGTTAAGGCGGCCATACGGCCAACGGCCGGTATAAATGGAATTATTATTCAACGAGGGATAGAAGTCGGCTCAGTCTTAACGCAGTTCATGAACGCTAGGGTCCTTTTTTGATGGTGTAACAAGCCGCATAACTCATGTGCTGGCTACCGAGTCGCGGCTTGAATACGAGATACGGCAGCGTGGTTTTCGTCGTTTCTACTTCGTAATTTTATTGCAAGTAGCTGGCCAGTCTCCCAAATTCTGATATCTATAATTTTATGACATGCAGAAATTACTCCAAGTTTGCTTGTTCAATTAAAACAGGCAGCCTTATCCGACAGTTGAGGCTCGTGGCCAATCGCGCCAAAGATCAATCCACAAACAGGTTATTGCGACGTCTGGGCGTGTATTCTGGAACGACTTCGGGCCGTCGCTCCAGCGGGAGCCAGTCTTTCTATGCCCCCCTTAGATGTGCGTCTTGGAGTCAAGGATAAAACAAAATTGCGTTTGCACAAAATACCAAATTATCTGTTCGCGTATGGCAATCGTGGAACTTATACTAGCCGGTTATAATACGGTCAACCCTGTGGAATAGAGATAAAATAGAACATTCTGAATTGAAGTGAAAGAGTATAGGCAACAGTGCTCGCCAAAACGCTACATGCCTCAAAGCCGAGGAGTCTCTGTGCGCTGACGTGTATTCAACAAAAGGTAGGTAACGTTACAGCAATAGATTGAGGTGGTTGCCTTAAATAGCCCCTGGGATTGTATACAAGGAAACCCTCATTCCTAATTTGTATAGGCGCTTCTCTACTCGTAGACACGTGTTCCATTTATACAGATACTAGGTAGCTTATATCTTGGCAATTCCACGAACCCAGGTCTACCTTCCTGATTCGCTTGACTAGGCAATAGCTAATAGGGATTAAGACGATATCAGGCTAGCTGGGATATTACCAATTGCTTACAGAGTTTACGAAACGCACATAAGTGCAACAAGAGCGCGAGCTATTGCGCGTGTTATGTTATGCGGACTGGGATTTCAGCACAGGACTTTATTTATAAAGCAGGTCCTAGATAAACCTTGTCCGCTCTTCTTCATCTCCTTCCTAGTAAGGCATGTACCATCGTACCAAGAGGTGAATAGCGATAAAAGCTAGTTTGAAACATGCCACCTACTATATAAATTGCGACGGTGGATATCTGTGGAGATGCCAAGTCATAGATTGGGTTGCAATAGCTTACAGGTGATATGCCTTGATTAGGCAGTCGCACAACTATTCTTGGTACACTAAGAATAACACCGATTACCCCGCATAAATGTGCCATTTATTCTTACACTCGATTGTCTGCTGTAGTATAGCAAAGTGCCATGCTGGCCGTAGGCTAAGGAACAGAGTAAATCCAAATAAGTATATAAATACCCTTATTTAGTCTGGCAGTTGACAGCAGCATTCTGGACTCAACTCACTTCCAATATAGCTTTACACTTTCAAAGCCTTCAACTCCTTCTCACCTTTGTGTTTCGTTTAATATGGAGCTTACCAAATTTCTTGCCTTACTGGCAGTTATCCTGCCCGTCGCCTACGGTGCACCAACGCAGGCGGCAAGCCTGCACCCCCAGATTTTGGAGGCCATGAAGCGCGACTTGGGGCTGAACGCCGAGCAGGCCACTGTTCGTGTGGCGCGGGAGATCCATGCCACCGATGTTATTGAGCAGCTGCGCAGCTCAGTAGCGTTCGCTGGTGCTTGGATTGACGCGGACGTGCTATACATCGGCATTACTGACCAAGCCTTGGCCGATGAGGTCACTGCTGCCGGCGCCACGCCGATTGTCATGACCAACAGCCTGTCCAAGCTGGAAAAGGCCAAGGAGGATCTCGATAAGATATTCATCGGCCGAGCCAACACCCTGGAAACATCTTCGGACACTAGCTCTGGCATTGCATCGTATTTCGTTGATGTCGCCGCCAACAAGCTCGTTATAGAGGCTCTCGCCGACAGTCACGGCCATGCTGAGCAACTAGCCGCGCAGGTTGGGCTTACATCCGAATTCGAGGTGCGGACTGTTGAGACGATGCCGACTACCATGGCCACGGTTCAGGGTGGTGATGTCTATTATATTAATAGAAGCTCCCGCTGCTCTATCGGTTTCGCAGTAACCACAGGTTTCGTGTCCGCTGGACACTGTGGAGGATCAGGAGCTTCAGCTACAACAAGTAGTGGTGAGGCCCTAGGAACCTTTTCGGGCTCCGTCTTCCCTGGCAGTGCCGACATGGCCTACGTCCGCACTGTAAGTGGAACAGTCCTTAGAGGCTACATCAACGGCTACGGCCAAGGGAGCTTTCCCGTCTCAGGAAGCTCCGAGGCTGCCGTTGGAGCTAGCATCTGCCGCTCCGGCTCAACCACTCAAGTCCACTGCGGCACGATTGGTGCCAAGGGCGCCACGGTTAACTACCCTCAAGGAGCTGTTTCGGGCCTCACTCGGACTAGCGTCTGCGCCGAGCCCGGCGACTCAGGCGGTTCTTTCTACTCCGGCTCCCAGGCGCAGGGTGTCACCTCGGGAGGCAGCGGCGACTGCAGCCGTGGAGGCACGACCTATTTCCAGCCTGTTAATAGGATCCTCCAGACATATGGCCTTACCTTGGTCACGGCGTAGGTCGGTAGCTAGTTATCACAGAATCTCTAAAGTAGTTAGGGAAGTTAGTAAATACAAGGCTAGCTAGTAAGAAAGTTTATATATAAAGTGCTTTACATATCTTGGGAAGTAATATATATATATATAAGGCTACTGAAAATTCTACACGTCGTATTGGTGGCATATTTGATGTTGTCTGGGCTTCAAAAATTACCCTTTTGGGAGCCCCTGTACATGGCGCTAGCCCAATTGAGTTTTGGCGATCAAAGGAATGGCTTCGTAGACTTTTGCAATCAAGCCACACACCTACGTGGGTGGGACATTGTGGCTGTTGTGCCCAATTTTACATATTTCTCAGGGGCATTATGCGTCCTATACCGTCTATGCTACAATAATAATAAACTGTCCTCGTCGGCTTGCAATCCGGCAATCGAGGATCTCATCATGGCCCCGAGACACAAGGCGATGCGTCACATGGCCGTAAATTTTAGCCGGTACCAGTCGCAGCTGACAGCCAAGCTCCAGAGCGCCGCTTCGAAGGTCCATGTCTTGTCGGATCTTTGGACATGTCCACATGGACACGGTGTTCTGGCGATCTGCGCAAGGTGGGTTGACGAGGATTACCAGCCCAGAGGAGCCCGTCTTGGTCTGCAGGAGATCAGGCACAGCCATTCTAGTGAACACCAATCTCGATTGACTCCTCTTCTTAATCCTTGAACTGTATGGGGTCACGAAACAGCTCGGCTGTCACACAGGCGATAATGCCACGTCCAACGACACCGGTTTGCAACATTTGTTAATCCGGATAAAGCGGCATCTTGAGGTGTGGCTCGTGCTCGATACTGCTCGTGCCGCATTCTCTTTATTATTCGTCCAACCTGCGCTACATAGATAAACGTCACCGCATCCGCGCCGCCTGACCCCGCCCGACACTTCTCAGCTAAAATAATCACTTCCTAAAAACCACCAACATCGCAAAGCAACAAGAGATATCAAGGGTCCAACATGTCTCAATATAGCAAAAGCAGCAGGCTCCTCGACCTCCCATGGGAACTCCGCCGCCCTATTATTGTCCAGGTGTTGCGGCGCGGACGTAAAAGTGAGCCTACCTTCAACCGAAAGCTTATCGAGAGCCGCGTGCGCTTGCGTAATTGTTTTGATGACAACTTTCCCAAGACGACAAATCTCTATGTTCAGAGACACAAGAATCGATATCTGCACGGTAATGCCTTGCGAACTACTAACCGCCAACTTCGCTGCGAAACCAATTTATTGATTGAAGAAGAAATCAAGTCGGGCAATATTGAAATTCCATTTGTTTTGGATGTTATGATTGTTAAAGACGTTGGCGTCTTTCCTACCTGGATGAGCTTCCCTTATCGACCGGAGCATCTCAAGATGCTAACCATTAATCTACGTATTGTTCGGCCGGGAACGAGCGTTGTACCAGATGAGTGGATCAAAGTGGCCAGATATGAAGAAAAGGAATATTCTCGCCGGGACAATTCTCCCGCCAATTGGAACATCATTATGGCTGTTGCCCTGTATGCTTTCGGTTGCTTCTCAGTAAAGCCGGATTCCGCGCAACCTGCCGTCCAACACAACAGCCAGCCAGCTATCGCCGAAGACGCAACACCTGCTAAGCAACAGGCTGCTAGCAATAAAGTGAATAATACTCGACCACCGAAACCAAATGCCAAAAAGCCCAAGTTCCCTGTACGGCCGAATCTTGCGCATCATCAGAGCATTGTTCCCAACGCATATCTTCTCCCATCTGCGTCCTATGTTACCGATAAACTGTTCATCGACTTCAAAGAACCCGAATACGATGTCAACAACAAACCTATTCCTCCAGGGGTAGACGATAGTCGCAAGAAAAGTCCATTCTACAAGGAAGGCTATATCCAATTTGGCCGGGAAGTCTTCGAGGACTACAGCATTCAGTGGAAGGATAACGACGAAATCGAGGAGGACGAGCGTTTACTTTCGCGGGGCACTTTTGCTTGCCATCAGCTTGAGGAGAGACTATGTGGAATCCTCTGTGAAGTGGATTCGAGTGAGTCAAAGTACCTCGTCTACCTCAGAATGCTGGCACGCAGTGTTGGGGAGCTGAGATATTCCGGCTGTGAGAAACCGGAGCTGCAATTGGTGGACAAGCATCCTTCCTTTTGGGCTGATATGAGCTATGCTTTGGACGACACAACTCTCGAGGGGGGATATACCGAGGCAAAAATTGAGCACGACTTGATTGAAGAGATGGATCACGGCTGTTCTGACGTTGTAGACAGCTTGCGCACTATCCAAATCAGAAGATGTCACGGCTGGGTCAAAGATGATGACTAGGATAAACGTGTATGTAGGATTTCAGTATAATTTCTCGTCCGGGTATAATGCAATACTACGCCAACTCTCAGGGCCCCAACCCACTGGCTTGTGGACTGCGCTGTAGAAAATTCGAATTTGCTTCTTAGTTTATGGTCCCGGCGTAGGAGAGCAGTAGTGGCTGCTGGCAAAGTTGGTGACTGTCGGCGCGACAGCCGCTCCGCATGCGCCGTTGGCACAATCTCTCACGCCGTAGCCAAAGTTGGCCTTCTTGCAGAGGCACGCAGGATCCGGCGATGGACAGCCTAGCTGCGAGTACTGGGCAATCATGTTGTTCATGCACGTTTGCTGGATCCCCATGTTAGCAAGAGTCCCATCTCCCCGGGGGAACGGGGCCGCATATGCACTTACACCGCAGGGAGGAAGGTCGGAAATGGCCGTAGGCGTAGGCGTAGGGGCTTGCGTCGGAGAGTTGGTGCCGGTCGCCATAAATGACGGACACCAGTACGAAGTCTCAAAGGAGATGACGGTACTCGCCCGGTCCGCGTTGCTGCAGGCGCCGTTGGCGCAGTCGCGGACGCCGTAGTTGAAGTTGGGCGCGCGGCACATGCAGGCCACGTCCTTGTCACCGCAGCCCAGCTCTCGGTGCTTGGCCAGCATGTTATTGATGCATGTTTGCTACGTATATGCCATCAGCCTGGGAAGCTCGCGCCCCGGGGACAAGAGCAAATACTTACACCGCACTGCGGGAGATCGCTGACGGCGGTCGGGCCGGTCCAGCTCGGCTTCGCGGTGGTGGTTGTGGTAGTGGTAGTGGTAGTCGTCGCAGGCGTAGACTTGGGCGTTGAAACGGTCTTGGAGGACGTGCTACTTGAGGAAGTGGATGTCGACGTGGGCACGTTGGTGGCGATGATGCCATCAAAAGCCGTCGCCTGCACTAGCCAATTCTCCGCGGTTCCCAGCGTCGTGTCAATCAGCGACGAGCCGCCGTCAGTATAGTATCGGGTCAAGGCCGCGTGCGTGCCAGGCGGCACCCAGGACGTGCACCACGCGCCCAGGCCAGGACGATCCTTGTTGCTGACGAGGCCGGGAGCGTAGAGGCCAAAGTCCCTGGCGGGCGTTAGCGGAGAGATCCTTTACCTTGTCAAAAAAGACTACCAAGCATACTTGGGACAGCAGATGCGGTACGTCGAGTTGTAGTCAAACGACTCCCATCGGTCCGGGCAAACCAGCTGCTCGTAGGGCGGCAGGTCGACGCTGGCCGTCACGCTGGCCACCAGAGCCGGCGGGAAGCACGACGTGACGGTGACGCCTGGAGCAGGGTACGGGATGTTAAGCCAGTACCCCAGCGTGGACAGCCCTCCTGCGTACTGCGTGATACCGCCCAGGCAGTCCGTAGGCTGCGTGAAGACGGTGGATAGCTCCCACCGCGTAGGGCCGGTTTGCGTAGACATGGTTGTCGCCGTCGTGCTGGCCGTCATCGACGAGCTGGCGGTGGGTGTCGTCGTCGCCGATGAGGTTGAGCCCTGCGGCGGCAAGCTGTGCAGCTGCCTCTCTTGCAGGGCTGCTGCTGCCACGGCGGCACACAAGACCAGGCCGGCCAATTTGATGGACAGAGGCATCATGATGTTTGCGCTGTAGTCAGGAAAAAGGAAACAACGTACTGGCCATGTTGCCAACGTCAGTCGACGTGGGAGGGCAAGACTATACATAAACGGGCAAAAAAGCGCCTTGAACGCAGACTGTAAGCGAGCACGGCAGGGCTCTCCCGTCCCTCTTCTTTGTCTACCGGGGTTCCATCTCTCTCTCTCTTCTGTGCTGCATACGGGGAAATTTCTTTGCGGTTCGGCGTACAAACCAAGTTGAGTAAAGATGCACCCCCTGGGGCGTGTCCATCTCCTGCATTGGGAATTTGGGACCCCACCTGCAGCCTCGTCTAATCTTCACTCCGGGCCGCGCCGCGTTTGAGCTTCCTAAACCTGTTTAGGAAAGCACAAGGCTGGGCTACACGTTAGCAGCTACATGTCCGTTGCCCGGAAATTAATCCTACTCTACTGTGTACTACGGCAGTAGTATAAGCTGGGTCGTTCCTCGCAGCGCAGCTGTTATACAGCCTCGTATTTGTACAATGTAACCCAACAATTTCCAGATTTGGAATTCATACATGTCCGGTACTTTTTCTTCTTGTACGTACTTAGGTACATATGTACAATATTACTAGCTTCGACGTGTCACTTTTAAGAACGAGAAGATGCTGGTTGCAAGACAACTTTTGAATGAACAAGGATAATCTACTTCCTGCGTGCAAATTAAAAGTCCTTTTCACAAAGTATCAGAAAGATACATAGCAGCATATTTCAATAAATTCATCTTCTGATTTCTCATCCATGTAATCTGTCCAACCCGCCACCGTCAGTCTCGTGCAAGACGAGCAGCCACGGTTGCAGATAGGGCACTTTCAAAGGTAAGCCTTGCTGATTCGGCTACCTCTACCTCTCAGAAGAGCGCTGCGCCTGCCTGGCTTGCTGTGGCACTTTAGGAACTCGCCTTTTTTATTCCTGTGAAACGGAATCATCTCACTGTTGGCGCGGATAATCTCCATGTGAATTGTGGCCTTCTGCTTCTGCGAATCCGGGTCCCCTTGCCACTTGCCGTATGTGCCAGCCTTTTTCGTAGCCGCTTTTCTCTTGTCCTTGGCGATGGAGGATTGACCGCCCTGCGCAAGGGTCCTGTCCATGTCGACCTCTTCCCAGATCTCCAAGTCTGGCGTGTTGGGCGGCCTGTTTGGGCGGAGGTCCTTCTCGGGGCGGGTGCCGTCGGGGAAGATGACGAGCCTGGGTGTCTTGATCTGCTTGTACGAGTTGGACGGTCCATACTTGAGCTCCTCATCGACCCATTCGGACTTCCACCGTGCCTGGTCGGCGTTTCGGTACATGTTTTCCACCTCGAGCGCGTTTGCCCTATCCTTGACCCACGACTCGATGAGGCTGGCTTGGGGAGAACCTTCCTTGGCCATGGTCCGGAGCTGCTCGGCGCGCGCGCTCATGAGCCTCTGCATTTTCGCCATGTCAAACAGCTCGCCGTCCTTGAAGTCGGCCTCCGGAAAGTTGGAGTGGTCGATGATCTTGGAGGCGGCAAACTTGAAACTGTTGGACTTCTTGATAGCGCGCTGGAGACGCATCTCGTCGAGAAGATCCGTCATCTTGTAGTTCAGAGTCAGGAACTTTTTCTTGACCTCGCTGCCTCCGTCTTCTAAACCAAATCTTCTGAAGTGACCGTTTGTTGTGCCAATGCCTACGAAGAACTCAGCCACAGAGATGGTGCTGGTGGGGAGGCCGCGGGCTTCCAGTTCGTTTGCAAAGGCCTTTGCAGAGGCGTCGTTGGTTGACCGGCGTTTACCCAGACGCTTGCCTGCCCAATATCAGCATGAATGTTTTTGTAGAGAGGCCGCATGCAGTACTTGCACCCTTTGCAGATGGTCCAGCTGTTGGGGTCGTCGGGGAACAAGACTCTCTCCATCAAGTACACCTTGTACCAGCCCTCTCCCTCCCAAATGACGGCATCGGCTAGAGCCGCGACGGTGCCGACTAGCCACAGAAAGATTAAAACGCGCATCGTGGCGACGTTTTGCAACGGGGAGAGAATATGTCTTTGGAAGCAAGTAAATGACGGGCAACGAATGGCAGCAACGGCGAGGAGCTTTACGGCGTTGGTAGAGGAAGCTGAACAATGTCAGGCTCTACGGAACTTGTACACAAGACGCGTCCCATGATCTTGGTGCTCTCTCGTTTTCCAAAACTTAGCCCCGGCATGCCTGTCCTACCCGCCCGCTGACCAAGACTGGGAGCAGGAAATGAAGCCCCCAACTGCTGACCTGTGCCATGCCCATACCCCGAACCTTACCAAGGCCACGTCGTGCCGTGTTATCCGTGCACCAGTTTCTTTTTCTTAGTCAAACGAGCTCTGCGGAACAATCCTGCAGGTTGCAGAAGACGCGGAGAGCGCCACCTGCCAATGCCGTCGCGATGCTGCGCGCCCCATGTCTCCGTGTCACAGTGATGGGAATGATGAGGTCTGGTTTTTGGGAGGCAGGTTTGAAAAGGGGGTTAGCCATACGGAGTAAACTCGGTCAAATTTGCAGGGAAATTAGGGGAGCAATTACCTTGTGACTGGAACGCGACCTTGAGCGAGAAAACAAGGGCTTTGTGTGACTCTCGCATGCTTCAAATGTTGTGCAACGGGCAGGATTTCAATAGTACTACTCCGCACTACTCCGTAGACCAGACCAAGACAAAGTCAGACCAAACCCTGCAGTCCGCTCTATGTGTTGCACAGGGTACAAGGATGTCTGGTATAAATACATGAAATACTATGGCGTGCTTCTGGCGCAAGCTTCGGGCCGACGGTATAAGTTGCATTTATGAAACGAGGAGCAAGCCCTTGGAAGAAATCAAGTTGCCATGTGTGCGTAGCCTGCTTGTCCCTTGTTAGGTCTTTTCATCTTGTTGTTCCCCGCTCATTGGCTTTTTTCCCTCTTCATTTCCATAGTTCTTTCATTCTTCACTCAATCTTGTCATTCACAAGTCAGAATGGTCGCAGTGTCGGGGATATGGCTCCTCTGCCTGTCTCTAGCCAGCCTTTCACAGACGACTGCCGCAACAGAGTCGAAGCATGGCACTTCGGTGTCGCGTTCCGATAGCTTCTTGTTCCAGTCAAGAGCTATTTACCCCAAAGGCGTAAAGCTCAACTCCACGTCGGAAGACGCCACGCTCGCGGAAGCTCTCAAGCTTGTTCAGGAAGCTTCCAAGCAGCAGGGCGACTACAACGCGCACCGCGTGGCCAACCCCAAGCGCAACGAGGAAATCTCCAAGGCCTCAGCTGCGCGCAGCAAGAGAGCTGCCAACGCCGGGCCTCGGGCTCCGACGCTGACTCCTGCGCTGCGCAAGGCAGCGGCCATAATCGCCGAGCACCAGGCCAAACAAAATGCCAACAAGACACAGCCAGAGTACCCCCAACCACGTCATCTCAAACCGCGTACTGGCAGCAGCAGAGGCAGCCTCGACGCCCGTGACTTGACGTCAAAGTACTGGCTGCAGGACATCAAGCACACTGGCCTGGCGCCCATGGGGGCCAACAGCTCATGGCCCGTCTTTCGAGACGTGACCAACCCCATGTTTGCGGGCGGCGCCAAGGGAGACGGTGTTCACGACGACACGGATGCCATCAACGGTGAGTCCAAAAGCCACGATTCGTAGAGCCTAATTAACGTCTGGTCATGTATCAGCTGCCATCGCCTACGGCGGCAACTGCGGCGAGGGCTGCCTCTCCTCCTCGGTCAAGGGCACGCTCGTCTACTTCCCTCCCGGAAAGTACCTGATTTCCACTCCCATCAACGCCATGTACTACTCGCAGCTCGTGGGCAACGCCAACCACGTCCCTACCATCGTCACCAGCAAGGACTTTGTCGGCCTGGGCGCCATCCAGAGCGACGTCTACATTCCCAACCAAAACGGCGACGAGTGGTACATTGAGCAGTCCAACTTTTACCGCCAGGTCCGCAACTTCAACGTCGACATTCGCCAGACCACGACCAAGAAGACGGCCGCCTTCCACTGGCAGGTGGCCCAGGCAACCTCCATGACCAACGTCTACATCTACGCCAGCACGGATCCCGGCACCACCCAGATGGGCCTCTTTACGGAAAACGGCAGCGGCGGCTTCATGTCGGACGTGTACATTAGCGGCGGCAAGTACGGTATTTGTACGTTGGCCCTCATGAACTTGTTACCTACTTGGACCTGACAAGGTGCAGACGGCGGCAACCAGCAGTACACTGTCCGCCACTTTGAAATCTCCGGACAGACGGACAGCTGCATCGCCCTCATCTGGGACTGGGGCTGGACGTGGTACGGCCTCTTCCTCGATTCCGCGCCCAACGGCTTCAGCCTGCTGAACCACGAGGCCGACGGCGCCGCGAGAACGCCGACCGGCTCCGTCTACGTCATGGACTCGCTCTTCTTGAACATGAAGACGGGCATCAAGACCAACGCGCTGAAAAAAGACATCAAGGAATCCACCATCATCCAGCTCGACAACGTCCGCACGTCCCATGTTGATACCATGATTAGCGCCACCGACGGCTCGGCCGTTGAGCTCCCCCCCGGCGACGACATTGGTCACGTCGTGGTTGGCAACGTCAAGATTGGTGGCCAGGCGTTCGGCCAGTACAGGTAAGACTAGATGCATCTTCATCTTGAAAGTCAAGTTTGCACCACAGCGCGCAGGCTAACCGCAGCCGCCCCCGACCAGCGTCGACGTGGATGCCCCTTCCGAGCGCCTCCTCAATCAATTTACGACAATGTACAGCAGGAAGCCCTACTACATCAGGCAGCGTCCGCAGTACGAGGCGTTTACTCTCGACGACATCATCAACGTCAAGGACCACGGCGTCAAGGGTGACGGGGTCGGCGACGACACGGCAGCCATCAACTCGGTCATGGGCATGGCATCGACGAGCAAGCTCATCTACTTCCCTGCAGGCTCGTACATTGTCACGGGCACCATCCATGTTCCCTCGCACGCCCTCATCACCGGTGAGGTCTGGTCGCAGATTGTGGCCAGCGGCCCCTTTTTCCAGGACATGAAGAATCCCAAGCCCATGGTCAAGGTGGGCAACGACGGCGACCAGGGCACTGTCGAGATTTCAGACATGCTCTTTACGTCGACAGGCTCTCTTCCTGGCCTGGTGCTCATGGAATGGAACGTGGCCGCTGAGCACCAGGGCTCCGTCGCCATGTTTGACGCGCATTTCCGGGTTGGCGGCGCCTACGGCTCGAGTAAGTATCCAACACTGAGGTCTCTGCTGTTCCGCGGTATACATCAGTGTAAATTAACCGCCGTCTTTCTAGAGCTCACCCTGGCGGACTGCCCCAAGGTCACCAGCATCCCCAGCGCCTGTGTGGCAGCTTCCATGCTCTTCCACGTCACGCCCAAGGCCAACGGCTACTTTGAGAACGTCTGGGGCTGGGTGGCTGACCACGATCTTGACGACCCCAAGAACACCATGGTCACTGTTGCGGTTGCTCGAGGCTTCCTCATCGAGTCCAAGGACGGCCCGACCTGGCTGTACGGCACCGCATCCGAACACAGCATACTGTACCAGTACAATTTTTACAACACGGGCAACCTGTTTGCGGGCATGATCCAGACCGAGTCGCCCTACTTCCAGTACACAGACGCCACGTCGTCTCCCGGTCCCTTCAAGGACTCCCTGGGCGTCTTCAGCAACGATCCCGACTTTTCGGAAACCTGCAACGGCTCCAAGCTTCAATGCGACTTCTCCTGGGCGGCCATGTTCAGCCAGGTCAGCAACGTCACCATTGCCGGCGCTGGCCTGTACTCGTGGTTTGACGCCTACGATCAGTCGGTCTGCGTGGACGCGCAAAACTGCCAACAGCGGCTCATCTTTGACCAGGGCGGCAACGGCGAGCTTTGGGTCTTTAACCTCGTGACGATTGGCTCAGTCGAGATGATTAGCGACGACAGCGGCGCCATAGAGACGGCAAAGGAGAACACGCAGGCCAACGCTCATCCCTTCTGGAGCGCCCTGGCTGTCTGGGGAGACGAGAGCGATCCCCTCGTGCCGCTCTGCGACGAGGAGGACACTGACCCCGGCTGCCTTCACAACGACGCCTGCGATCTCAGCAAGGACTTTGCCGACATGGACGCCCTGGTGGCCGCCCAAGGATCTATCCCGCCAGAGTGCGCGCCTTACTACGTGGTCAACGCGCTGAGCAACTTGCTCGAGCGCAGCCTGGGCGCGTACGACGGCGCAAACAAGGGCTACGACGCCGTCTGGGAGTACTACGCCGAAGGCTTCCGCGGGTCCGTCGACGCCATGATCCGCAAGTTCACGGCCGACTCTACGCCCAGCAACCGCAACGGAGGCCCTGGCATCCGCTACTTTGACTGCACCATCACGCTCGACGGAACCGACACCACCAAGCAGTGCCCCTTTGACTTTTACGAGCTCGTCTTTTACCAAGCCTTTGACATGAAGTACACACTGCGCGACGCCGACGGCTTCTACAAGGACCTCAACAAGACGTTTGGCATCGCCAAGGACTGGGTCGCGTTTTACGACCTTGACAACTCGAGCAACCGGTGCATCGGCGGCGGCGGCGGCGGCCATCCCGGCAACGGCCCGAGCCCTCTTCGCCGTCGCCACGTTGACAACCACCAAGAGGACCAAGATGACGAGGGTGCCGGCCAAGAGGATCAAAACACCCCCTCCAAGCTCCAGAAGCGCTGCGGCCGCACCGGTGCGCGGTTCTACGGCATCCCCAAGGGCAAGGATAGCTACGCCGTTCCCAACCCCAAGGACGCCATCAACAAGGTCATGCCCCAGATGCTCGACCTGCAGATCCAGCTCGCGGCCAGGCAGGCCCAGATGGCCATTGGCGACTTTAACGGCTCGGCCAGCGACGTCGGCCAGGCCCTCAGCTTGCCCGTCTTCATGATGGCCGAGTCGATTGAGCAGATGAAGGAGGCCAAGGAGACGGGGCAAATGATCAAGAACCAAAAGGACCTCGAGTTCTTTGAGAAGATGCTCGGCGTCATCTTCATGTTCCTGCCCTTCCTCGACGCGCTGTCGCCCGAGCTTTTGCTCTTTGAAGGCATGGCGACCGGCCTCGCCTTCCTGGGCAACACGGCCCTCGCCATCCAGGACATTGTCGAGCATCCCGAAAACGCCTTCATGGACGTTCTTGGCATCGTCATGGACGGCGCCTTTAGCAGGACGGGCAAGGGCTACAAGACGGCCGCCGACGCGAGAAGGGGCATGAGCAGCGACCTGATTAAGAAGTCGGGCAAGACCATTGAGCAGCTCGACGGCAAGCTTCAGGACGTGCTGGGCAAGGCGTGCGCCAAGTGAGAAGTTTAGTCTTGATTACAATGGGAGAGTAATTTGCGTAAGATATTGCTTTATTAATCTCAACTCTTGTCTGCTGTTTGATTGCGCGGCAGGAATGTCTACCATGTCATCCCACAAATCCTCCCTGGGCAACGCCCCCGACGGCAGCGTGTGATGATAGTAAGATGGCTTAAAGTATTTTGGCCAGAATCCTGCGTACTCCCAATCGATGATGGCTCGGACTCGAGGTTCATTATCGTCGACTTCTTAGACGACTTCCTCATTCCCTTCTATTCTTCAAAGTAGCATGTATTGACGTACCTGCCAAAATGATTTACACCTTCTTGGTTACTGCAGGGATTCACCAAGAAGGGGTGCGAAAAGGGCCTTACCGCAGTGGTACCCTGTCAAGCATTTGTGCCAGTACTTGATTAATCCGGAGAAGGTCTTGACTACTACCTTTCTCGCAAGCGAAAAGCTTCCTCGGGTCTCTAAAGATAGGTGGGCGGCTTCGGAACTGAAGGAGGCCAATCAGCCTTGAGTCGATAGTACGGCCGACCCGACATTGGAGGTTGAGTTTCTTGACGGTTAGAAGAGTGTTGAGGAGCACGCATCAATGTGGAAAGAACCAGCCGTCCTCCATACATTTTCGCCCCTGGGGTGAGATTGTAGTAGCTTTATGCAAAGCGTTACGTTGTATTACAGTTTATACATCTTGGCCACCAGCATTTTCACCCCCAGGGGCGAAATATGGCAGTATAATTCTAGCCCGGTAGCTCACTGACCCAACATCCAAAGGCTGGAGAACACACTGCTATTATCGGCTGTGTGACGTTGTTTTGCTCAGCGAAAACACAGACGACATATTATACTCTATCCACCGACTCATTTAAGGACGGTATTGCAACTATATAGGTGTAGACTGATAGCTCGAGAGGTGGCGCGATGCTGTTTCTGTCCTTCGAGAACCGTTTCCCAAGCGGCCTAGGGGCGTCACAATGTTCAACCAATAGCCCCTATGGGAAAGGCAGGTTGATGATATCGAGGGGCTTGGAGAGCGATGTCACGAGCTCTCCTCGCAAGTCGATATTGGTTATAACGAGGAATTTGCCTATTTGGTTTCTGATGCGGCACGGTGAAATTAATGCTCATCATTACATCTTACCTTACTTCATTTACTGACCGAAAGTGACAGCTACCTCGCCAAAGCTGGCAGATACAACGCCCGCGTCCAGCTCCTCCACCACGGCTTCCACCACTGTAGAGATGAAGAATCCACCCGGCACACTAATCTCTGCGTCATGATGGGCCATGTCTTCTGCGAACGGAGCCAAGACAAGAGAGCCCTTGAATACAATGACGTGGTCCTGCGAGTGAGGCAGCCTCATCCTGATCCAATACACTCCGAAGTTGTTAACGCCCTAAGAAACTCGGCCTTGTCCATGGTTGAGTGCGGGCAAAACCTCGCAGCGGCCGTATGGTGCTTAATTAGTTGACGAGCATGGGAGGAGGTTTGCGGGGTGGAAACGTTGCCTCCCAGGCACTGAGCACCTTGACCAGCAAAGCCTCTTGGTTCTGGCCTGCAATTGCGGCGAGACCAAAGGCCCTGCCGTTAAAGTCGAGGTACGATAGTGGCATTCCTGCTATGGGATATCCTATATGAGAATAAGCCGAAGATCATGATGAACTATTTTGCATCGCACCAACCACTGCCAGTCGCCATGCTGGTCAAGAAACTGTCAGCTGGACCAATGATGACATCAACTTGGTACTTTTGTAGAATGTGGTCTACTCCGTCCCCTCTTGCAGCATTTTCGAGGTGCTTTAGATGTCTATTATAATCTTGCGCGGAGACGTGCCTCTCTTGAGCTTCAATGAAGAGGTCCTGTCTAGGGTGGTCTGTATGCTGTTAGTGAGTGGCGTGTGTCAATGTGATGGGACAATTACTCACGGGTGGGCAGCTCTTGGTCGGCATGTTGTTTGTTGAAAGAGATTATATCCTCGAGACTGCGAACTTTGCTCTCGTTCAAGTCTTGTAGAAACGAGTTGAGTTGGGTCTTGAGGTCAGTCTCTGCTTTGATCAGCAATGCCCTACTGCTCCTAGGCCGTTGTACTTCTCAACGCACGTATGATGACTGTTTCGCTGTTTTCCCCATCTAGTTCAAAGCTGTCCGGTGTAGCCAGCGGAACGTTTGCCGCGAATCTCTTGGCTTTGCCCTTGATGATGTCGTATGCTCCGTTGATGTCGTGAAGCTGAAATGCAATTTCAGCGGATATTTGCCAAACAGACGACTTTGTTTTAGACTTACTATTTGTTCTGTGGCCTCGGTTACCGGTTTCACAATTGTATCGGGATATTTCCACACCTCTGGGTCGAGTGTGCCCACCGAAATATCCTCCCAAGAGCCCGTGATATTATGCACCAGCGACTTGGATCCTTGATTGCTACGTATGGCATCTAGCACCACGACCAAGTCATAGACAGTCTTGGCCATGGGACCAGCAGAGTCAAAGTGGCTCGAGATGGGCACGATACCGTCTTGCGGAACAAAGCCTATGCCTGGCTTAATGGTGTACAGAGACGCTCTTCCAGCAGGGCAGATGAGCGATCCGTCGGTCTCAGCACCGATCGAGACGGGCGCGTAGCCGGCGGACACGGCCACGGCTGATCCCGTGGATGAGCCCGAGGGATTCTAGAGTGACGATGCGTAAGCAATAACTCTTGCGCAAGGATGACTGTGAGGTGGGTTGCCTACACTGTGGCCGTCCTTTGAGTCGTCGGGGTCAAGTCCGCCACGCACGTACGCAGACTGCGTTTGACCACCGACAGCGGACCATCCGCTGGGCATCATGGAGCCTCTACATGAGTGACATGAATTTAGCTTGCAAGCCAATCGTACGAGCATGAGAGAGTGCTGACCGCGAGTTGGAGAATTCCTTGACCGCTGTCAGACAGACTTGCAGTTCAGTTGGACTGGACATGTACTCACACTCAAATTGGACTTGCCCAGGATGATGGTGCCAGCGGCAATAAGCTTCCCATGTCGTGTCCGGTTGGCCACAATGTCAACCTCGTGTCAGAGCGGGTTGTGGGGAGATACCTTTTCCACTACGGTGGCACTCTTGCGAGGCTTGGATCCCTGAAGGGAGAGGCTTCCGGCTGTTGTGCCTAATCCGAGGCTTGGGTGAGTGGCTATCGAGTCCTCCAACGACAGCAGAGTCAGCAGCGTACCCGAGAGCAGTCGGAGACTTGCCCAGGACACTTGCCTTGATGATGATGGGGATGCCGTGGAGAGGGCCGCGAATACTACCAGCCCGTCGCTCCCGGTCCATTTGGCCGGCTCTCTCGGACAAGAGGTGCGTCGGCGTGATCTGAATCATTGCGTGCAAGTATCCATCGTGCTTGTCAATCTGAGCGAGGTAGGACTCGACCAAGCTGCGGCTCGTGACATGGCCCTGGGCCAGGAGACTCTGCAGGCCCTTGATGTCGGCCGTCAAAACGTCGATGCTCGCCGCAAAACCCATGGTGAAGAGGAAAAGAAGCGTCGCAAGGCCAAAGAATCGCACGGTGAGGCCGATAACGAGGACAACAATCATGGGAATCTGTCTCTGCTAATGTATCAGTGAGCATGACAGGAGGAGGGGTCTGGTAGCGCTGGTAGATCAAATTCTTACAATGGCCATGCGCGAAAAATGAGCACAAGAAAAGACATGACTTGGAGGAGTCCGGTATTATTTCCGATGCGTCAAGGGCGACCATGTGACCTGGTGTGAGCGGCTCCTCGACACCTCAGTGGCTTTGCATTTCGCCGTGCTTTTCTTTTTCGTCCATGTCGGCATCACATCTGCCCTCAAGTGCTAGGTCTGCCGCACTTGTACCTCTCACCTCCCCGAAGGCGAGCACCAAAGATGCTGACTTCTTGTTCGGTGCAGTACCTGTCTAGTGCGCGTGCATACATGTCAACTGGTATCATCCTAGCAGACCGAGACAGGCGCCCCCAGGCGAGGCTGCATTGCTGGCATTTGCCATTGGCCGACCTGACACATGCACACAGTATCGTGACTACTGTGCCTCGTTGGTTCGCCCAGAGGCACAAGAGTGTTTGCCCTGGTTACACCATGGCGGAAGAAATCGCACATTGACACGTCGCCATGAATCGCTTTTCCATCCCGTCGACCAACTCCACTTACTGCTCGCGGCCTTGTGTGCGTATTGGGCTGCATCATGGCCTCATTTCTACCTCACCAACGGGATGCAATGCTGCCGACAACTCACGCACTCATCGAGCGTTTATGCTTTCATGGCGATTCAATGGTCACCGGAAGGAACATACCTATTCGGAGCAAAAAGCTCATTTCTTTGGGGGTTATGAGCTTTGTTGCCTCACGTCACAGTCAGCCCCTTGGTCCACCCCAGCCTTCTCGTCTGCAAGTTTGATGCAAAAAAGCAGTTTGTGACGGGAAAGTCGGGGTTCGGTGCAAGCAAATAGAGGTCAACGGTACGGCTTCTCGGTCGCAAAGGCAATATTGGCCTTGGTGGCTCGGTGAGTTTGCGGTTTGTCGCCTGAAGCCATCTTGTCATGCAGGTATATGTGCAAGTCGCACCAGACAGAAGTTTCATGGAAATGGCGAGACGCATGCTGTATGACTTTTGTTTAGGGTAGGCATCTTGCGGAGGCACGGGGTTATTAGTGTTACAGCGCGCTCATGCACACAGCTGCATACATGCCGTGTAGATCGGGTGTCGTATAAAATTTCCCAAAAGGGTTTAGTAGAAATATCCAGGGCGGGAACCCCTTGACTCATAGCCAATAGCATCTCCACGGTCACGGCACTCGCCTTCCCCCGCTCTACTAAGCCAGCCGTATGGCAAACATGGAATCAACAGACTACGCCAGGCTTTCTTCCCTGTTCGTACATGAGGCCAGCTGAGTGCGAATTGACCACGTCCCAAGAGACATGGACAACACTAATGGTAAAGCCTCTAACCGTACCGTCAGCCGTAATAGATCGAAGCTATCGAGGGCATCAGGGCACCGCTCACGCGGCGGCTGCCTCACGTGCAAGCAGAGACACGTATGTGGTATTCTGATGGAATGTCTCGTGGTTACTCACAGATCCCAAGGTCAAATGCGACGAGGCGAGGCCAGTATGTTCGAGATGCTCTCAAAAAGGTTGGCCTTGCAAGGGGTATTCTCAGTCCCTAAAGTGGTCATACAAGCATCAGCCGAGGGGAATGGACGCGACCCGTCAGATTCTGGAAGCGCCTTTAGGAGCTACAAAGACACCAGCCGACTCGTTAGTGCAGGGCGACCACCGAAGACAAAGGCTATTCTGTACTCACTTTGATCACCACTCTTCTACTCCCGACCCAATTGTCTGTACGCCGTCCTATCTCATGGATCTCGACTGTCTGGAGAGTACCGACCAGGCTTTTCAGGGTGATGCCGGCCTGTCCTTCACCGAGTTCCATGATTTTGGCCTTTGGCCAATGGACTTCTCCACAGCTACAGTACTTGGGCCAGATGCAGAGTCAAGGCTAGGCCGAAACCCAGAAGAATGCCTCACACCAGACTTGGGGGCATTCCTGGACGTGCAGCATGTACAGTCTGTTCCCAATGAGCCGTTAGGAAGAATGACGGACTACGCTGCACAGCTTATAGCGCATTGGTTCCACGAGGTCTGTCCAGCGTGGTCTGGCTTCGATTCTATCAAAAATATGAATAGAAAACTTGCCGAAGACCTGTGGCATAGTTCCTCCGCCGTCTTCAATTCACTTCAAAGCATGTCGGCTAGTTTCCTCGCTGCCAGGCTACCGCAAATGAGACCTACCGCTTTCCGTTTGTTGAAAACGGCAACATTGTGCATTCAAGCAGAAGTAGAGGAGCTAAAAGGCAAGGCGCACCTCGATACAGCACCAATCGGAGTAATTTACTCGTTACTCTGTCTGGGAACTACAATCTGCTGGTTAGACGCTCGTAGGGTCGGCTGGCCCTTTCTTCAAGACGCAAAGAGCTTACTTGGGCGGACCATGCAGCAGGACTGCCACTTGTCGGAGGGAGACGCTAACATACTCGACTTTTTCAGCAAAAGCCTGGTATACTGGGAGATGCTAATCTCTTTCATATATGATCCGGAGCCAGGACTTGCTCAGCCGAATCTTGTTGGGGCATCCAATTTTGATTCGATACCCCATCCATGGACCGGAATCTCATCGTTTACCTCCCGTCTCTTTACACAATCAATGAGCGTGTGTAGAACCTACCGATCTCGGAATTCACTGTCATCTATAGGGGGAACCGGTCTACCACCTGCTAGGGAAGTTGGGGAGGCAGAAGAATTGGAGAAGCATCTTTTACAACTGCAGTTATCGCCAAGCCCCTTAATCGAGGATACGGGCGACCACCGTACCCCTTATTTCCATCTTTTACACGTGGCTGAGGCCTATCAACTTGCTTCGTTGCTCCAATTATACATCACATTTCCCGACTTGGTTTCTTCACGAGTGCCTCTAGAGCACCATCATTCATATGAGGGGAATGTCATGTGGTACAAATGGATTGTGCCCCTGGCCCTGCGACTTACAGAAGTATTAGAGCGAGTTCCGCCTGACTCGGGAAGCCTAGTAATTCAGCCATTACTTTATGTCTGTGCCGCCACTGGGCTTCGGTGCGACACTGTTCCGAAGCCAGGCAACTACCAAGACGGCGTTAAAGAATCGGGCAGGCCTTCAAGACCAATGGAGTGCATTTTGGATTACGTCAGTTTACTTGATAGGCCTGCTGAAAACCACGAAAGAGAAGAATACTTGGTTACGCAGCTAGCCCTAAACGTCAGCCAAGCCCGCAATTTCATTATGAGACGCATTAGCGTCTTGAAGGACAATCTACACCCTGTGCCGGTCCGGGTCACTGAAAAACTTGTCAAGGCTGTTTGGACTGCCTATGATGAAGAGCCTCAGGGCTGTGTGAGCGTTCACTGGCTTGATGTAATGGAACAGAAGGACCTCCGAACGCTGTTTGGTTAGTGTTGGGAGAGGAGCTAATATACTTGCATGTTGGAAGATTGACTCTCCAAGTTGATAGTTTCCTGAAGTTAGCGATAGCGGCTTATGTCAACCTATTCTTCTCCGTGGCCCTATGCCATCCATGGGAATAGCTTGATCTACAAACTTTTGGAAGGCTTACACGATGACAAAGTATGACGATTCCTCAATGTAAAGCAGAATATAATGACGATAATAATATCAGGGCCACTTTTTTAACAAGTTTTAATCATTCATGGTCAATACGGCTGAGAAAATGTATTCAATTGCGCAACTTTAGTAGCCTCACAGTTATTCTATGTCTGTGCTTTAGCTCAAAATATCACATCTACCTATCAAGCTGCATAAACGGTCCAACACGTTGCTATCCGCTCCGAGATATTAATAGCCATGACATCATGTTATTTTGCATCATCGCATTCAGCCGAATAGCCGGTCAAGTGTTTTTTCAAATATAGTCCTATATATTGGAATTAGTCACGGTAGATGAGCCTCTAGGGCGTGCGTGGCTTACGATGGAGGCTGTGCCTCATAATTACGCTCATAGTCTTCAATAGAATCTTGATCCTTGTTCAGATCTACTTCCAACGGTTTGTGAATCTTCGTTTTATGAAACAGCTTCCAGAAAACGTACAAAAGGGGTACAACCGCGACCATGGTGTAACTAAATGCGTCCATAGATGATGTGATTTACTGTTGAGAAGTAAGCCCTTTTTGATACTGTTGAAATAAACTTACGAGAAAAGAAAGTCTGGTACGTTCCAGTGACCCTCCAAGGGAAGAAATACTGCATATCCGCCAACCAGAGCCATAACAGCAGTGCCGATGAGTCCATACCAAGCAGTGTAGGGCATGAAAAGCCCCCGGTAAGGCAACCTATTACGGTCAAAGGCCTGCGCTTTTAACGCTCGATAAAAGCATAGATATGTAATGCATGCGCAAGCAAAGTTGATTAGCTGGGACGCCGTAACCAGAGATACAAGCCAATTCAACACAACTACACTGCTCTGCGAAAGCTGAAGGAATGAGAGTAGCGAAATAACAAGAACACTAGCCACGCAATAAATCGGAACACCCTTACTGGTGCATCTTGTCAGAAAGGCCGGAGCTTTATGGTCAAGCGCAAGGCCGTAAAGAGATCTCGAGGCACAGAATAGATACGAATTTCCAGCTGAGAATGCCGAAAGAAGAACTACACCGTTAACGATATGAGGTAGAACAGGTATATCTAGCCTTTTCATCGCTGCAACGGATGGGGCTGCGGCGGCTCCTGGTTGTCCGGTTTTGAAAGCGGCGGCCATACCAGCATCGTCGTAGGGTACCAAGATTCCAACGCATAAGGAACCTAGGACGAAGAAGAATGTTAAGCGATAGAAGACGGCCTTGAAAGCCCGAGGTAGGACCTGCCGTGGGCTTGCTGTTTCTCCGGCAGTCATAGCGACATAATCAGGGCCAGCGATTGTGAATGACGCTAGCACCAGACAATGAAGAAAACCAAACCATTTACCTAATGCACCTTCATAGTAGAGTTCGGCAAAGGCCCCTGGAGTGTTCCAATACCGAAAGCCGAACACATCGCGTTTGGGATTTCCACCTACCATTACAATGAACGTGAATAGGATAAGTCCCACAGCAAGTAGGACCTTTCCCAGAGCAGCCCAAAACTCAACTTCACCAAAGTAGTGTACCGCTAGAAGGTTTATCGCAAAGTATAGCACGATAATGACAATAATCATGACAACAGTCGGAATGGCATCTGTCCAGAACCGCATGATAATATTACATGCTGTCACTTCAAAAGGTACCAGCATGGCTTCGAGGATAAAGAAGTTCCAACCAGTGGCGAAACCAAGTGCGTCGTCAACATACCGGCCAGCAAAGCGAATAAATGGAGACGATATAGGTGTATAGGAAACCATCTCAGCTATACACATGGTGACTGCGAGGACAAAGGAACACCAGAATGTGAAAGCTATAAAGAGGCTGCCGGGGCCACCTTTAAGCAGACCTTGGCCTATTTGCACCTAACATGTTGCAGCTGGGTCAGTAACACAGCCTGGACGATAAAGATGATGCAAATCAAACAGAAGTCATCACACGACCGACAAGGTATCAAAACTGGGCTAGGAGATGCGTACGAAGAGAACGGTGCCGATAGTGCCTCCAATGCCCATAAGTTGAACATGGCGACCTTTCAAGCGTCGGTGCGTATTATCTTCACGGTAAGCCTGCGATAAGCGTAATTGCTGGGCATATTCAATCTGCACACTCGATGCTGTCGTACTATCCAACGTCTTCTCTGGATCCTTAGAGGAAGGGCTCGCATGGGATGAATCAACCGGCAAGGCCATTGTGATGGGAGAACGTAAATTCACCCTGACAGAGAAGAATATTGGGACAAGAAACTCGTCGTCAGATTTCACGGCCACAGAAATGAGGTGGTTAGTGGCATCTACTCAAGTTAAGGTCTTTTCCTGGCTGAAAGTAGCAACGTCGTGCCTTTTCTATTAAATCGCCACGACGAGTCATTCCATTAGCCAATCAGCAACCAATACGGAGACCCCGCGATCTGCCAGCAGAGTACGGAGCCTCTAATGAAACTCTACCGGTCGTCACCCCTGTCTATCTATGTCCTCGACAAAATAAGCCATCTCTGATTCGGTGAAAGTGCTGGTTCGAGTGTTTGGTACTGTAGCGCGTAAAACTTTTCCTTAAATAGTTAAGATCGGCGCGACCTAACCCGGCGCAAACCAGCTAATCAGAGAACCTTTGTAAGGCAAAGGATGCATTTAGTTAATGTAACTGGTAAGCTGAGCAGACCCCAGCAAGGTTGCCCATGTAGGATAAATCAGGGATTGTCTTGTGTAGTGCATTGGTCTTGAATCGCCCTGAGTCATTTTTGTCGCAACTAGATTATAGGGCGTAGTTCTGTCATGCTCTTGGGACCCCTTGTCGAGGTCAATAGCGCAACTACATTTTTAAAACTCGAGAAGGGCACGGGCGCACAGTGAGGCGCCATTCAATATCTAGTGCATCTTGCTGCTGAGCTCATAGGGGACAATGCAACTCACAGTACGATTTTGGCTTGTGAGCTTGGCTTTAGGCATTTCAGGAATTCTGTTTATCCAAGAACTTGAGATTGAGTGAGCAAAGAATGTAGTGCAATTCCAACTAGAATAAAGGAGTGTGCTTTAGCGTCATGAAGCGGTGGATTCATGCGTAAGAGGCGGCCTTGCTATGTTGAGGCACAAAATAAACCAGCCCTTTGTCCAATCCTTGGAATTAAGCCAAAACCTCACCCACAGCTACTGCGCTGCTCTGCACATGGAATGGAGAATGCCCTTCTGTCTTTTCTTTTTCGAACTGAGCGGAACACAGCTCAAGGACGCGCTTATGAAAGTCTGCAAAGCCGTGTCAAGGCGCAATCCAGAAAACTACAAGAAGAAATGGTAATAATCTGGACATTAACTTACAGGCAACACCATTCTCCTTTTGTGGATTGAGGAGGCCTTCCGAGTAGATGCCGACATTATAATTTGTCTGTGCCTTCTCGCACAGCTCAATATCCTCAAGAGCAACGTTACGAGCAAAGCGGTAATAATTCTCAAATTCCTCGCTCTCGAGAGGCGCCTGGTGATAGTAATCGAATTCCATACGTGACTTTCCAGGTTCTTCTGTGGGGTTGATGCGCCAGCAAGTCAAACCACCTGCGTACATGCTCAGCGTACAGTTTGGGAAGAAGTAGAAGAAGAGTCCCGCCTCCTTCAGTCCCTTCGCTTGGCTGCTGGACCCAGCCATGTGCTGGGAATAGTTGTGCTTATTCACCACTTGATAAACGGAGGGCTTGTAGATCTTTGCAAATTCGGGATGTGCGTATGCGCAGTGAAGACACTCCTGATACGCATCGACTGCAGCCTTCCAGTTGTTGTTACTTGTGTATCTGAGGGGACGCCTCAGAGGAAACTGGGTGAAGTCTGCGTGTGCAGTCAACGCCTCAAACCCCGGGAAAAAGTCCTCAAAGGCACATGTCTCGTCAGACAGAGTCAAGAAAAGGAGACCTGTGGGGGTCAAGTGGCTTCGCATTTCCGAACCCTGGATAGACGTTAGGATCACATGGAAGGGCAAAGCGAAGTCAAGGGTCGACGATGAGATTTGCTTTGGGGATTCAGATTTTGATTTAGCTCACATTACTGTCCTTGAACACTTTGATGGACCTCCAGTCACTTTCCTCTCGGCGAACCGTAAAGTCAACCTGGGCGAGCTCGTGCTTGTAATCCATTTGCTTTTCAGGAAATTTTGTGACAGCACCAAGTAATACCCATGACTGTAATGTTATCAGAAAGACTCTCGGAAAAGGTCAAGGAACATACTTTGAAGAAGACTGCCCGTTTCTCCAGGCTGCCGATGCCACTGCTGGTATACCAGGACGCAGGAAGAGTTGTAGCACAATCGCCCATTTTCGAGACTCGGTTTCTGCCTGGTGTAGAGTGAAGGGTTTACTAGTTTGCAAATTGCTGAGAAACCCTCAGAGGATACGAGTGACGAGATATAAACGTAAAGTATGCATCTTGGCCCTATGTTTATCGCCTTCAGTCGAAGCAATTGCGAAAGAGTGGTGGTCACGAACCCAAAGATGTTACGGTGATGATGGCAGAATGTGGGGCAGTTGACCTTTTTTGTCGATCCCGATCAGGAAACATTTTACGCAGAAAGGGGTAGTGCATGACTCCCAGCTTCGGAGCATGTAAGAGGGTGGGGAAAGATTTGTCAACTGGTTCAGGTGATGCGTCCTCTTCGTAAAGATAAGCCGTAGTCGGACATAGACGGGCTTTTATAAGCTATGCAGCCTACATGGCTTGCATGTGCAGTCTGGTAGTATAGCCGTAATCGTTGAATTTGTGTCGCTTAGTGTCTCACAGTTCACGAAATGACCATCCTCATCCATTCTAGGCATTCATGGTAGTCATGTGTGGATAACCGGCATTGAATGGGTTTTCCAACATGGGAAATACTTTACGAATCCCTGGCTACAGTCTTTGTTTCCATCATCCGCTACAAGACCTTGCTACGTCCTGAGCTTCTTATTTGGTTCATGGCCAGCCTCTAAGCGGCAGATTTGCTCTCATTCCTCCATCGAGGTGCATCTATTATTTTCGGACTAGGTCAATCTTTTTTTAAATATTTTTGGTGACCATTAGAAAGACCACAAATTCAATGTTTCAAGAAAGCATTCCCTTCCTTACTCTGTCAGGCACCCTTTATGTCTTGGTGGTATCTTTATTCTTTAATGTCTGGCTGCTGATTCGAAAGCCCCCCACGACTGAGCAGCCGTCGACAAAAAAGTCGAACAGTGCACTTGCACTGAATCTACCCAAAGGATGGTGGTCAGATCCAGATCGTTTCCAAGCCGAGAGACGGGCAATTTTCAGTCAGGTATTTGTCTCAGTGTCGACATGTCTTCCAATCTTGGACTGACTTGTCACAGTCTTGGATGTGTGTGAGCCATCGTGGACGCTTCCGGAAGGTCGGTGACTATATCGTTTATGAAGTTGCTGGGTTCCGCTTCTTCATGATTTTAGGCAAAGACATGATTGTTCGTTCTTTTCACAACGTATGTAGACACCGTGCTTTTCCAGTTGCTAGAAAGCAATCTGGCTCTGCACTGGTGCTTGGATGCAGATATCACGGCTGGAGCTATGACACGAAGGGCACACTCGTCAAGGCCCCCTATTTTGATAACCTTCCAGGCTTCGACAAAAGTCAAAATAGCCTCTTCGAGATTCATACAAAGGAAGACGGATATGGATTTCTTCACATCAACGTTAGCGCCAGGGAGGATGTGGCCACTACGACTCCCCCAGAAGCTACCCGGAGCGGGGAACTCGGCCAAATCAAGCTCGACTCTCACCTGATTGATACCATGGAATTTAAGGGAAGATTCAACTGGAAGGTTATACGTAAGTTCTTTCTGTCAAACTTGACCAAAGCTGCGTCAGATACGATGTACTCAATCACAAAGCAGTCAACAATCAACCGAGGAAATCTTCGACAGAAGTTTCAACTAAGGACATTATGGGAACCTTATTATCCCAAAGCCCGCATTCTGTTGGAAAGATGGGCTTTTTCCCTTTAACGACTGTACAGACTATGTCTAATGGGCCCTTCTGGTACCAACTTACCTACTCTCCTGAAACATCCCAGCAGACAGCAATGCGTTGCGACGTATACTCCTCTATTGCCTCAAAAGACAATGAATTTGAAGATGCCACTAAGATATCTCTTATGAATGAGCTGAAGCAAAATATAAGAGAGTTTGAGAAGCAGCACAAGCAGTTGACTACTTCTGGTTACCACTCAACCGGTGCTAATGGTGTGTATAGCAGGCTGACTTTGAAAATATCTACGCTAACAATTCCTAGATTCACATGTGAACATTCTTCGCATGGTAGAAGGGCATCTTGGGCAGGAGAAAATCAGAGGCTGTGAAATTAAACCGGCTACTGTTAAACAACAGTTTCAAAGCGAAGCTTTCACCAAAGCTGACCAAAGTGAGTTTTCCTTGGTGAGATTATAATATTTATTGTGTTATACCCTATAGAGAAATTAACGTATTTTATTAGTCTGCCAGGCGATGGCATGTGGTAATGAGAAGCTTGATTGGTGATAGCATACCCCCTGGACTTCACCAGTGTATCTTGTGAATATGTCCTTTGGGCCCGCAAGTCTATGCTGTTGAAAAAAAGCTTTGTCTGTATATATATATTCTTTGTGTTTCAGAAGAAGAATTTATGTCTATGTTATCAAGCACAACTACCTCCACAGAATTGGTAGCTAATTTGACTCGTCATCGATTTGTCCACCAGATTCTGCCGGGCAGTGCGGACGCTGCATGACAGATTAAGATTTCACAGCTATATCCAAGTATGGGAAGGGTATCTCAAGGCCACTCACTACGGTCAAGGAAGGCCCATGCCCATAGGCCGAGAATGACGACAACCATCAGACCATACAGCGACCAAAAACGTTTCATGGTGGTTCCAAAAAACCAGGGAGGCGCTGGAAGCTACGAGATATTCAAAGCGGGAACAAGAGACGATTGACAGGCCAGTTAAGGTCACAGGCATTTTGGTAAAATACTCTGCAAACAGAGAAATCTAGAAGTTTCGTTTGTTTGCGAATCAAGAACTGGGGTCAGGCACAATGTATTAGCTAGTCTTTGATGCAAATATTGTCTAAGCCCAGAATGGTGTGCAAATAAACAGGCTGCCCTATTATTATTAGCAGCAATACTGGGGGAACTTACTCTGTCCTAGGGAGTGTTCTACCCAAGACCTGGACTTCTAAATGTCATTCATGGCGGTTTCACCAAAATGTCATCATGGGTATGGTCCTCTTGCGCCAGGGCAAGTGGGGCAATATATTACGAGGCCGGTAACGACATTGCATATTCTTTTCATTAAAGTAGCCCATAATAGACGCCAGCGAGCTTGACTCTAGTTAGCTCATACTTGCTGATTGTAATGCACTTCTTCACATGGATCAGCCTAATTATATCGAGTACGCTGTGGATCGACTGCACTTCAGTCACACGACTTAACCGACATGACATTAATGTCAGATGTTCTATGCTAACGCTGCGGTTCTTGCGGCAACTCTACGTTTTTGGTCTCCTCTTGCTAATACAAACTTGTGATAAAAACCATGAATCTCTTATCAAGAGCTAATCGCGTGAGGCTGAACGGCTCTCCTGTTTCGAAATTTGACGCACAGCCCTGGATGAAATATCCTGAAGCTGTGAAGTGTTTTGCAGTCCTCCTAGTCATGTACCCGCTATGGTTACTGACTTGATTACGGTGTAGTCTTCTAATTGATCCCAAACTTTGATCCTTCTCGCCCAAAACCAGACTCCTTGATTCCTCCAACAGGGGTAGCTGCATCACTAATCATTCCAGTGTTCGCGCCCACCATACCAGTCTCTAGCGCATTAGAGACTCGGAAAATGCCATCAACATCACCTCTGTCAATGGCCGCAAGCCACCTTGACAAGCTCCAGTCCCGGACGATAGTACTTGTATTTTGACCCCTCAAAATCCGGATACCCGTTGGCGACCAAGTGGACTAGCCACGGTTCAATACGACTGCACGAGGCTCTATCCGCCACGAAATAACTACATGGCTAGGCATGATTCAATTAAACGTGTCAAGGAGAGGAGAAACATTGAATGCACCATGGTCCAGCAAAGGATGAATCACGAAATGCGGGATGCGGCCGTCGCCCATTGGTTGCCACTTAGGATTCAGGAACCTCGAGCACCAAACACCGTCCAACTCATGCCACGACTCCGTTGACAGAGTCGACGTTTTTCCATTATTTTTATTGTGAGCCCTTCAATTACGCATGTCCGCTAGCCAAAAGACCAATGCCTTGGTTTTCGTCGTCGTACAAATTTCCAGACGGCTTGTCATCTAAGCGTCCTCTCCTTTATTGTATTCGGCAGTAATAAACCCATCTTCTTCTACCGACAGAACCTGGATAAAGAAGAAAGTGAAAAAAAAAAATCAGCCTCACGAATACGTCTTGAAAGGATTTGGTAGGCAATGCTACACCTACATGATTATGCCTTTTAATCTCCTCCAGCACATCGTCGGAGAATGAGCCCGCGTAGCCGTGAAACCCAATAGACTTGGCGCGGTATGTGTGCTGAATGCCTTGTCCATGGTCCTTGCCGTCCCTCTTCTTTAGGCTGCGCTTATGCAAATCCCTCACCCAGTTTAAATGCGTATCAACATGTCTATCGTGTAAGCCTTCTGCTAGAATCACAATGTGGCTGTAACAGTATTAGTATCTGGTACTGGAGATGGTTTATATAATATACTTAATAAGATAGATTAGGTTTCTTACCCTCGTTGTTGGCTCGCCTTATTCTCAAATAAACCAGGTGCTGCTACTGCTCCTCCTACTGCCTTTTGAACAAGAGCAGGTCCAAGGGCCAGCGCCCAAATAATACACTTCTTCATTGTGGCGTATAATATAAAAAGATATGATATGGAACCTCGTACAGCGTAGTAAAGACTATAAAAGAATATATAAAAGCCAGTGTTTAGAGTAATAAGAAGTAAGTGTATTTTTATAAATAACACAGCCAAGGTGGCAAGTTTTTATAATAACTGTAGCCCGTAATGCGAATAATAGAGACTCGTACACCCCTGTCTAGTATCCCCGTATTTTGCACGGTCCTCGAAAATATGTGGTATGCATTTTGTCCTAGGTTTTGCGTGGTGCCACTGTGTGTCTTGTCGTTGCGGCATTATCGCATGCCCCCCAGTACGAGGGGCTCATTTCGGGGTGTCTATTCAAACATCAAACAGAGATTCACTTGATCTATTTTTTTGCCTTGGCGATGAGCAGTAGTCAGTTGCCCTCGGTATTGCCTGCGGGCGTCTGCCAAGAAATCGAAGCACATGCACGCAGGCTCGTAACCTTTCGTATGGCAGGGAGATGTCCGTCTGGGCAATACAGTTACATGCCAAATTTCTAGCCTATACGAACAAGGAAACTATGCTCGCCTTGATCGGGCGGCATTCCGCCCCTGACCCCCTTTGAGCTCGCTAAACTCGCCAAAATCCCTGGAAATGCAAGGCTAACAATCGGGGCGTCCATATGGACCCCACGTCCAAAATAATGCGCTCCACCGTTAATTTGATGGTGGTAGTATATGATTATATTTAGCACTACTTAGCTTTTCAAAATTGTACATGTTATACTTGCGGGCCGTGAGGGTCGCGTCAGGCTCAGTCCCAAGATCCTCCATTCGTCTCGACACACACTTGACACTTACAAGGCGGCATTTCCGCCTGTTTCTCTTGGCGCGGCTAAGCTCGAGGTTCTATGGAAACGCACGTGTCGCGTACGGTCATCTCGGCGCTTCGTTTGGTCTGCAGCCGAGTCCACGGCTATGGTACAACACGCGGGCCCCCTTCATCCAAAACCACTTTCTCCGTACAAGGCTTCCCATCATCTCCTCTTGGCTCCTAGCCCTCACCAATGATTATAACTTGCTTTCTAGAGTGCCATGGTTAGGTGGATTCAAGGTAATGCTGCGCCTTGCCAGTCGACTCTCGAAATCATGCCATACAACCGAGGCAACTTGCTCGCCATAGCACTATGCATGACAACACTATGCACAAGTACCCTTTGGGTCACAAAGGGATCGGCATTGGAACAAATTAGCGAAAGAAGACTACAGGCCCCCTGTCAATTTCACGGCCAGCTCTCGCATCACGCAATGCAGCCCTCAAAATACAAGTGGTATATAAGCGCCCTGGTTGCAGTGCAAAGGCAATGTTGCACTTGTAAACACCGCCTCACAAGTATGAAAAACCTTTCTTCTCTACAATGAATATCTCGGCTATCCTCACTCTGCTCTTTGGGCTGGCTTCAGCTCACCTGGCTCATACGCCTGTTGTTCTTGAGCCACAGATAAACCAGCATGGATCCGATTTCAATAAAGCTAATGGAGGGCTTCCTGAAATTTCTTTACAGCGCAATCAACCCGAGGGCTCTTTGGAGACAAGAAACGACACGACACTAGCAAAGAGAAATAGGGCTCCAAAAACGCAAACTAGTGCCCCATGGGGCCTAAGATCTATATCTCATCGACTCCCTGGGGCTATCTATGAAGGATTTCCTCCAAGTCGAAACTCGGAATACTACTACGATACTAATTCTGGCTCTGGTACATTCGCGTATATTCTGGATGACGGTATCCGTGAAACACACAAAGAGTTTGAGGGCCGCGCAAAGAATATCTATAGCATATTCCCCGAGAAACAAGCCGGCGATTATGTTCACGGAACCGCAGTCGCCGGAATCATTGGCAGCAAGACATATGGTGTCGCAAAAAAGACGACTCTTTTATCCGTCAAGACACTGGGAACAACAGGCGCTGACCATTCCGAGGTGCTCAAGGCCCTTCTCTGGACTGCAGAACACATAGTCAATAATACCCGGCAAAAATCATCCGTTATCAATCTATCCTTTGGCGTTGAAAAGAGCGACGCATTGAACAAGTTTATCGAACTACTTGTCGGTAAGTACGATATTCCGGTAGTTACCGCTGCCGGTAATGAGGGCGAGGATGCCAGTACAAAAACACCCGGGTCTGCCAAGGGAGCTATTAACGTCGGTTACATTAATAAACAATGGGGGCTTGCACCTCGTTCTAATTGGGGCCCGGCAGTAACTATTTTGGCTCCTGGGGTTGACGTGGAAACTACCGGTTCAGAGAGTGACACCAATGCTGTGTTACAGAGTGGTTCCTCTTACGCTGCGCCCTATATTTCTGGGCTGGTGTTGAACGCAATATCCGTCCACGGGGTTAAAGGCGCTGCCAACATCAAGAAATTTCTCCTGGAGAAAGCGACGAAAGACCGGGCTTGTGTTTCCAAAAGCACGCCAAACCTGGTAGCGAACAACGGCAATGCCATGCAAGACAAGGTCAAGTCTGATGATAAATCTGCGCTTTCTAAACTAATGTGTTGTATTAAGGGGTCGCTGAACAAGTGTAAATAGAAAAGGATCTAGGCATATGTAGTGAAAAATACAGTGGCTAGGCAGACTCGTCAGTCGCAACTATCCAAATTCGCAGCACTTGTTCTCTCTCAAGTAGCTGTATCGCCTCCTTTTCAGCTAGTAAACACTTCTATCAGTAATAGAATTGTGTACTAGAGTTCCATAAACACTTGATAATAATTTTGTTTTATCCTTGAGTTATAGATGGCTAAGGAAAGTGCACATGTGCGATGCCCTACGACACAAGTAGAGCCATCATCTTGAATAACTTGATCAAAAACAAAACATGCTGAAATAAACAGAGCCGAGTTCAGGCCACGCAACACAGTCTACATGTCGGTGCACTAGCCGCTACAACAATGTATAATGTGAGCCTGAAGACACCAACACGCTAAATACTACACCCAACTTGCCAACACCCATCATCTCGTGAGTCCTGATTCCAGGTGCAATAATTCTTTTATATCTAGCTTTGTACGGTATTAGATGTTGCGATTGAAGATTTGTATGCCTTTGTCACAGCCTCGCAGCGGATCTATGTCGTTGCAAATGGAGTCATCCTCGGTCTCATACTCTGTATCGTCCATATCGTCACTTCCGAAGCCCCTATTACTTTCATCATCTTTAACGCTAGGCGCATCCTGGATAGTATTACTAGATTGTCCCCGGTTAGGGCTTGTCTTATTTATTGGTCGCCGGCCGGAAGACGTATTTATATGGCCCTAAGCCCTGTTGTCCTAGATTGCTCGAGCTTGCTGTACTATGTGTTGCTGCTTTGTAACGCAAACAAGTTTTTCTCGGGTCCTTTTAGGTAACAGATAATAGTGAAAGACGAAAGTGATGAAACGTTTCTAGTATTTACGATACTTGCGCGAGCTGCTATCCCGGGCCACAATTTTAAAAGGTTTTATATTATGGCTCTCTGGGTCTATACTGCGAAGCCAGCAAAGGATCAGGCGGCTGGTGTGTTATACTGTTTCTTTGCAGCAATTAAGCATAAAATCCACCATATTTATAAGGCAAGATAGTTTATGCTTATCCTGCAAGGGAAATATTAAGGACTTAAGCTCTAGTAAGCAACCCCAACGAATTTTTAACGGTTTGCTGTTTGGTAACTATGTTAGTGCCAGTAGGGTGCCTTGTCGAGCGTTCCCATGCATACATGTAACAGGCCATCGGGTTCGATCTATCTAAGGGCTTGTAGATACCCATGGTTGACTCTCTGTATCGTCAAATCTTGAGACCTCCAGGTTGTTCCAGAGTTGCAATCCACTCCACTGAATCCACTGGCGCCGCCAGTAGAATAGATAGACCTTAATCCACGAAGCCTGTTAGTAAAGTAAATCTATTTAAAGCTGTTATAAAGCAGAATAAATATAATAAATTTTGTAGATTAGTAAATAAGTCCATTATATTAGTAATAAGTAGTTACTTAAACTAATATTATTCTTAATACTTTAACTTAACTTAATTCTATTTTACTTTTTATTACTTAGGCAGGCACACGGAAACTTGACTTAGCTAGGCAATTGTTTACGACGTAAATTTGTAACTGAGGGGCTCCATGCAGACTCGGAACCTAATCCGAACATCCTGGTGGGTACATATGTAGCATAAGGCCTCGTTGTTCGGCAAGGCAGTCCTGTCAACATCACCTTGTTGGCTTGATCGGTCTTTGGATAACCTTTCCTTGGTAGTAGGCAATGCTATAGAGACTGTATTGAGAGCCATCTATATTCCAGTGCCTAGATGCTCCTGATTTTCTCTGAAATTAAGTCATAGAGCTGAAACACAATACTACTGGTTTTTCATCGTATGCCAAGCCCTTTCAACCTTAGGAGACTGACGCATGTAGGGACACGTATAGGAATATTAACACGAAATGTAGGAATTCATTATCTATGAGCACTAAATTTTTCAGCGCCATGCCGTAATTAGTCTCAGCTGCTGGGCTTCGCGTGAACCATCATCGGTCCAATCAACATGGCCAAAGCCCGACTGTAGTAGAATTGTCTTCCAATCCTGCTCCCCCGCTAGAGCATATGTCCGGTGGTCATCAAAACGCCACCATCCATCAAGCAAGCCAAAGACACAGTCTAACCACTCTAGTGGTCGTGTTAGCTCCAAAAGGCATAACACACCCCCGTCCTTTCGAAGCAGTTTTTCTATATTGCTGCAGGACTTTCGCAGGTCTCGCGTTGCGTGAATACAGTTTGCCGAGATCACCAGGTCGTACGATTGCGCAAAACTTGCCGGTGGCTCCTTCTCGATATTGAGCGTCTCAAACTCCATGTCAAATCGCTGATGCTGACCATATCGTGAAGTAAGCTTCTCCCTTGCGCTGGCGACGAGAGCAGCGGAGACATCAGTAAATGTGTAGGTGAAATCCACGTTACATGCCAGTAGTCGATCTACCACGAGCTGTGTTGTTGCTCCCGTGCCTGCCCCAATCTCCAGAATACGGATGTGGTTTAGCCTATCCGGTGTCTTGTTGTAAGAAAAGAGGCAATTCATGAATTCGCCCAGTAACAGATTGCCAGTTCCAAACATGGGTGATTTAACATAGACATCTTCCAAGAGTTTAATCGAGGTCGCGTTTTGAAAGAGGATCTGCAGAGGATCTACCTTGCCCGAAATACAGTCTGCAAGGCGCGCTCCTGTAGTGTGTAACAACTTGTGATCTGGATGGTAGCTCGGGTAGTCATTCATAATAGCCTTGTGCATATCCTCCGCGCTCCTCTCCGGGAACGAAGCCAGGCCACCCAAGTAACGCTTATTCAAAACATTAATAACACCCTCGCTTCCTAGGATGTCGAAAAGGCGATTCATCACATTTTGGTACTTGGGCTTGAATTGAACGGAGGGGAGTTCGTCTCCCACTTCAAGGGACCTTATATCGCACCCTAGTTCCCGAAAAGCATGCACAATATATGCTAGAACCAGAGATCTTTGTCTTGGATGTACATCTGAAAAGAAGTCATGGAACCCAGCAGCCTTGATGGTTGAGGAAATGTTTTGTTTCAAGGCGTCCATAGCATGCGGAACTTGGCGAATAAATAGGGTATTTGATCGATCCAACGAATCGTTAAAGGAGGGAGCCGCATGCTTGATATGGCTGTATCCCAGCCGAAGCGGGACGGCCGACTCAAGCCTGTCCTTGCCTGTCTGGTCGTGTAGAGGTACAAACCCAAATTGATCAGTCTGCTGCTGTGGAAAGATCGTGTGAAAGAGGGTTGAGAATGTCGAACTCTCGTTGATGTCCATAAGTTGTGAATTCTTCCCAAACATCTGTTCGATGTCTGATTGAAGTTGGATCGCAACCAGTGAGTCCAGTCCAAGTGCCCCCAAAGGTGTGTCCGGAGACAGACCTTTGGGATAGTTCAAATGGTTTGAGAGTAAGTTGAATAGGGCACTACCGGCTCCCTCTGTGATTTCCTCGGTGTCCATGGCTTGTGATCGAGATTCCAAACTGGGAGGGCTAGAGGATGTGGACCGAGAGGAGCCTGAAATGACGTCGTATTCTGGGATCAAGTGGTTCTCTTCATCCATATGACCACTGGTTGTCATGAAACCGAAATCATCTTCTCTGATAAAGATTGGTTTATCTGCACCGGGGATTGGGAGACACGGGCTCGCATCGTCCCCGCTTATAAACTCCGTGATTGAGCTGCTTGGCGTTCTGCCACCTGAGGTTTGTGGAACTCCGTTGATCGTTTTGAGCGCACGTTTTAAAGAACTAATCGCAATTTTCTGAAACTTGGCGCCGAGTATTGTCATGGAAAGGATTTTGCGCTCAGCACAGAAGATGAAGATGTCACACAGGATGCCGTCGTTTTCCTGATGATCGAAGCTATAGAGGCCAACCCAATGCCCTTTCGTACTGGGCTCTGAGTCCTCGGCGTTGGTATAAGCAGTAGCGGCATCGAAGCCGTTGCCGACGTATATTTCGTCAGGCGTCACACCTCCCAGGTTGTTGGCCTGGATTTCGGCTATGAGCAAAAAGTTGTCCAGCAACAAGGGGTTGAAGGGCGTGGTTGGAGTAAATTGTGAGGCAATTTCAGGTTCAAAAACGTGGGCAACTGTCTCAAACCCCTTTGATGTAATAGAGCGTACTCCAATATATCTGTCATCATATCTCGCCACGCTGTTTATGATTTTCTTGATGAAGTCACCTTGCACAACGGAGGCGCTGACGTCTTTGCCCAACTCCTCACATCGGTCGTACAGCCGACGAAGAAGTGGTCGATGTGGAGCGAGGTGGGAATACACTTCCTGCAGGGTAATAACACCCGTAGCCTGGAGTACCGAGCCTCGTTCTTTTTCGTGGATGGGGTGGCTCTCGACTCGGAACTCCCATGCATCTTCTCCCAGCTTTCGTAGTATCATACGCAAGGACTTTTGCAGGTCGAAGCCGAATGGCGCATGTAGCTTGAGGTTCTTCAACTCCATCGAGGCCGAAGTTGAGAAGGAGACCAACTTATGAGTCGAGAGCAAGCGAAACGCGCGGGTGGCGGATTCTATGTACATAGATACCGGTGCTAGAAGGTGCTCAAAGACTGTCCTCCCTCGGACATACACAGAATACTCCTCGCTATTCTGGTTGATGGAGTACTCGACTGTTTGTACACCCGCATTTTGTGTTTTCCCGATTAGGGAGACTAATGTCGCTTTTTCTTGAATAATTGGCTGACCATCCTTCTCGCTCTGCGCTTTCTTAGAATGCTTCACCACAGGTAATAAGTATTCTGACTTCATAAAAGGATGAAGAGGTAGTTCCAACGGGGCTGGAGAACCTGTCTGAGACCGGTGATATAGCCAAAACTGAACTCGTATGCCTGCATTCCAGAGATTAATAGTCGTGTCTGCCAGAGCCTTCACCGAGTCTGGTTCGCCTAGTGCTGCGGGATAAAACGAATGGGTTGATAGACTGCGAGTTGGGCCATGCGTGAGGGCACGTCGCGCCATGTTGACTCCGGCAGATCCCCATCCTGCCTCAAGCCAAATGCAAGACCCGAAGCGCTTCTCAAGCCTGGAAATAGCGTTGGCAAAGTAAACTGGCTCGCGGGATTGCCGAGCTATGATCTCTGGTGTCGCGTTTGCCCAGCTGTGACCAGATTGTGAGCAGGGCTCGATAGCAATGGCTGGAGGGTGCAACACTAGTCCTTGGACCAGCTTATTGTAGTCAGGGAGGATGCAGTCTATCATCTCAGAATGGAAACCATGCGATATTGCCAAACGCCGCAGCGACACGCCTCGTAAGTCAGCGGCCTTTTCAAAAGCCGTGATGGCTGCCTTTGTCCCCACGACAACGTGACTTTGAGAAGAGTTATAGCACGCAATTTCGACCTTGTATCCTGCTGGCAATGAGTCTGCTAGGTTTTGGACAGTTTCTGCATCTGCATCAACGCTGAGCATAGCGCCACATTCCGCCCCCCATTTACTCTGGATAAGCGATGCCCGGCCCGAGATCAGCTTCAGTCCATCTTGCAAGCTGAGCATGCCGCTGATGCAAAGAGCAGTCAGTTGGCCGAGACTGTGACCAACCAAAGCATCAATCTTTAAACCAGAGTCGATCCATGACATGGCTACCGAGTATTGCAGTGAGAACAGCATACAGTGGGCTTGAACCAAGTCCTCGAGAGGCTCTGTGTCAAAAATGCCAGGAAACAAGCTGGCAAAGCCCATGGTCTGCAGTGCGCGGTCACACCTCCCCAAATGACGCTGTAACAGTTCTGAGCTGGCGTAAATCTCGTGGCTAAGGCGAACTCGACGGCCGGTCTGGCCAGCCAGAACGACCACCACCGGTTGTGCACTATGCTTCTGAATTGGCCCATCTTTGTAAGACTGGCTGGTTGATTGCTGCTGCAACTTCAGCTTTAATTCTTCAATCGAGCTGACCGAAAATGTCAAGCGGAAACTCAAACTATGGTCCTGGCGTTGAGCAAGATGAAATGCTGTGTTGGCTAGTACCTCTTCGTCGCTGACAACATTATTCTGGTTCTCAATAAACCTGAGGATATTCCGACAATACAACTGTAGGCTCTCATTTGAGTGAGACGTAAGAAGAATAGGATAATGGCAAGGCCGATTGGGAAACAATGGCAATCTATGCTGGATTGACGGAGGCTGGCATACAAGCATAGCAGCATTCGTGCCAGATGCACCGTAGTTATTAACTAACGCAGCTCTGAATCGCTCCTCCCATGGCTTTGTGTGTCGAGAAATCTCAATGTTATCATCGTGCAGAGGAGATATTGCTGGGTTGAGCTCCTCAAAATTAGCCTGTGGGGGAATGACCCGATGATGCAACATCTGCAACACCTTGAGGAGAGCAGCTATGCCAGACGCCGCTTCACTATGGCCAATATTACTCTTGATCGAACCGACGTGTAGCTGCCTGCAAGCCGGGCGAACAGTTCCTCCAAAGACGGTGCGGATGCTTTGACACTCGATTGGATCACCCTTTTGCGTACCTGTACCGTGAGCTTCTACATATGAAATGTGCCGGGGTTTCAGATTTGCCGACTCTAGAACTCTTTGGTATAGACTGGTCTGTGATTCCGATGAGGGCAGGGTGATGGACTTGTTTCCTTCACTTTGATTAACAGCAGTGGCCGCTATCACGCCTAGAACAACGTCTCCATCCGCAACCGCAGACGACAGCTTCTTCAAAAGGACAAGACCGCCGCCTTCACCACGGCGATAACCATTCGCTTTCGAATCAAAGGGCCGGCATTCTCCCGTCGGGCTGAGGAATGAAGCTGCCGCTAGGTTTTCCTGCGTTCTGGCCTCCCTTGATATCAGATTAATGCCTCCTGCTAGGGCCATGGTGCACTCCCCTGACTGAATAGCGCGGCATGCCGTGTTGATAGCAACCCCTGAGGATGAACACGCAGTGTCAATCACCATAGATGGCCCGGTGAGACCAAAGAAGTGGCTTATTCGGCCGCTGGCGAAGGCACGCGCAGTACCCGTGAATGAGTATGCAGTTGGTGGGTGAGAATTCACGTTGTCCTCATAGTCGCAGGAAGAGATACCAAGGTAGCAGCCTACATTTTTGGTGGCAGAGGAAGACGGGCTGAAGTAGCCTCCTGATTCCAAAGCTTCCTGCGCAAGATGAAGGCCAAGTCGCTGTTGAGGATCCATGTATTCGGCTTCCCGGGGAGACTTCCGGAAGAAAGAGCAATCAAAAGAGCCGGCAGCATCGACAACGCCATGAGTTTGTTTTGTTCGAATGAATTCCCACAATTGCCTTGGATTCTCAGCGCCTGGAAAACAACATGACGACCCTATAATAGCGATGGACTGGTCAGGGTAGATGTTGTCGGCTTTTCCACTTACACTCAGAGATATCGGCTGAGGTGAGCGGAGTAGGAGTGATCGAGGTACACAATTAACTGGACCAAGAACCAGTAGTTGTGCCTGACGGGTATTTGCGCTAATGGAGCTCGATATTGTTTTAAGCCATTCGGCGTTTTCGACGAGGATGCATCGCAAAGCCATCTCGTGCAGTGCTGTGTTATCCTCCACTATACTTCCACTGCAGTTGTTCCTGACCGGCACGACAAGGCGCGAACCTCGGGGAAACTGAAGCATGGGCAGGGCCTTGCTGAGCTGCAACAACTTGAGTAGCGCAGCTTGGTTCCCCCCGTAGTGATAACGTCCATGAAGGTCAATTCTTTTTGATGTTGCACCACCCTTCTCTAATTCACCCAGCAGTGCCAATACATCGCCCTCATTTGTCGTAATAGTCACGGTGGAAACGTCAGTTTGAACACTCTTGTAGGCCTAGACAATTGTTAGCATGTCATGCCAGACTAACAAACGCAAACTCTCTTCAGGCTTTTCACGTACATCTGGATATGTGTCCAAGATAGCTTGAAGCTGTTCATCACATTTTCGATCGATATCTCCCTTGTCGTCGCCATCATCGCCCGGCCACCGGGTGGTGACACATATTGTCTTCGCCGGTGACTTTGCTTCGTTGAGATCAATGTACGCCCCGCAACACAAGGCTAACCTGACAGCAACGGCGCCATACTTTGCTATTTCTGCATGGCTTGGAGCGCAGGCGAGTGCTAATGCTGTGAGGAGACCGATGCATAATCCCTGGATGCCTCCATCGTGGAGATGATCTAGAAGCGCAGCGTGGGCATCCAGGTGTCCACACCCGTCCTCGTCCCGCGAGGAAAAATTATCCAAATACTCCATATATTCCACAATATGAACTAGTACAGTAAGTACCGCCCATTGTGTATTTCTCGAGTCACGGCTTGCTGTGGGCTGAGTGCTGTTCCCCTTCACCCACTGCGACAAGTTGTCAAGAAATAACGCCACATCAATCTCCCCGAGAGACGGTTCTTCCCTAACAAGGCGTAGCCAGAGATTGGGCAACTCTGAGACGGCTTCACGCAAGTATGAAAGGTCTTTGTTGTGTACAAGGCTGGACCGAACTTGTGGCAGATACGCAGCATCAGCTTGCGATATCATCGGGCCGCATATCAATAGAGATGGTGTATTTACACGCATATTGCCTACTCAAGACAAATATGTGTATAAAATTAAAGCAGAATACTCGAGCTAATGCCTCCGACTTGTTGCTGTGACTTGAACAGAAGTTGTGATGGCTTGAGGCTGCACTTGTTAGGAAATGAGTGAGGTTTGTTGGGTATGATCTCTGTCAGCCTTCTCGGAAGGCGAGAATCATTTATTGAATCCAAACAGTTCTTCACCATGAAGTTGTGCTGTAATCATGGCCCACACCCTCCACACAGAGGGACGAGTTATGGTCGGTCAAGTCCATCATCCTTGCAGCCGGGCGTGATAATCTTGCTTCCGACCACGGATACGCTCGCCCCCGCGGGCCACGAAAAAAGTTCACTAAATAATCCTTGTCGGCTTAGCTTACCGTAATAAACTGCAGGGTCTACCTGGTTCGGCGGAACCTCGCAAAGGCTATGCCTGTCAAGTGGGTTTTGGCCCCATTAGACAGGAGACTTCTGGCATATTCCGACGTCCCGGCACCGAGTAGGTCAGGCGATATTGGTTCTTCATTCTGCCCAGGCGCAAGGCTCCTTTACACGGCAGCCGGTTATCCAACGGAATACGAGATTAAATCCAGCCCGGCGAAATAAGTCCTGCCTAAGAGAGAGAGTCGGTGCCGACTATAGCTAGATATATGACTTTGTTATGGGCCCATCAGCCGGGTTGCCAGATCGCAAACAATAACCAATTCGGCGGCAATGGCACACGATGAAAGATGGCATGACTAGTAAGCGGCAACGCCCGTGCAGGCTTGTGTCACAGAAATCGTTTTCCCACTAATCCTAGACGAATATTCGCCTATTGATCTGAAATGGTTAACATGGTCAATTGTTGAAACTAGAGGCTTAATTTACCCCAGCGCATAGTCTTGCCGTGTTTCGCGTTATAATTAATATACCCACCAACTAATCGAAGTGGCTCCTAAAGCACGAGAGCGTCTGCTAATGCGTAGCTTTAAATGAAATCGGAGGGCTTAGGAGTTCTTACTCGTGCAGTACCCTAAAAAAAAGTCTTACGCTTTTGACAGTTCTTGTCACGCCATGTCACGATAGCACCACTCCATGCTCCTAACTCTAACCAGACTAAACCGTATATCCACGATAATAAATACAATTAACGTAGATTGTACATAGTATAGAATTTCAATGTCAGCCATTTAATTCATAGAGAAGATTTACAAGATTTTCATAATAGTCTACTTAGCTTACTATATAAACGAGAAATTTCATGGTAGAATAAGAAGAAGGAGCAAGGTTATAACTTGTCCGTATATCCAATATCGTGATAAACCCCACCGCCAAGCCAACAACTAATCGGATATATCACAAGGACGGCACTATCTTCTACCTCCAGATATTTAATACTACACACGGCCTAGTGCTGCACTTTGACTAGACTAATTTTAGTTATTTAAAGTCCGTACAATAAACTTTGTGGACGACTATTTTTGCTATATAGAGTTGCCAAGTCGGTATTCAAGCGAAATACGGTGCAAGAAGACTTGTTGACATTACGGAAATTGAATCATGTCAGTTGGTTAGTGCCGCGATAAGGGGCAACTTTTAATTAATCTAGGCAGCCCGAAACTATTATAATAGCAAGTGCCTGGTCCGAAACTAAAAAGAATGCGTCGTTATAATACTTAAATAAAATGATTAATTGTTGGGAGATACTGCGTCTTTATCGAGACTATTTTGTAGCTTGCTTGAAAATTCTGTGCCACGTGGATATGGATGTTGAGGAATATTATTGCCCAAGACTGCGGATATAACACTCCTAAGTCAAGAGTAGCTTATATATTAGATGCTATATTTGCTGTAACTCGCCCATGGTAGCCACTAGCCTAAATAGTAACAGGAATATAGGCATGCTTGGGACGTTTACAACACTTGATATGAATAAATTTAATAATACTAGTTTCAATTGTTGACCGAGGCGACAGGCGAGAATAACCCTTCTTTCCACACTTATAGGGGCTGTGCCTGGGCTCGTAGGCTTGTTTGACATGTACAATTACCATATGAAAACATGGTAAACGGCAAAGTAACGTAGTAATTGACTCAATCTTACGCATGCCATAACACACAATTGCGCCCGGAACTGCCGATTTGAGACGTACCATTGGTGGCTATGTTCCGGCCAAGAGGTTCAAGCGTTGGGTTGACCAAAACAATAACCTACCCCCTTAGTGGCCAGCCTATTAACTAGTATCTTATTACTGTACTAGGTCTTATCCCATGAAAAGTGGCTCTGTCATGCGAGTGACGGATAGTAGTGCTTGGAATTAAACACCTCTGTGTCCTGGAACGAAGCGGGGCGTCTAAGTGACCCAAGAATAGTCTGTGCAAGTCTGTGCATGAACCGATATTAATCGTCGTGGTCCATAATAGTGACATTATAGAGAGAGGGGTGTGGCTATTGGGAAGCGTCTGGTGCTTTTTGTTCCACAAGTTAAGCGTGGTCTCGCAACGCAAACCTTGGCGAGTAATCATGCCATGCATTTGGAATCATGTCAAAACTTGACGTAACCTGCCTTAACGGGAAAAGATTTGCATAGAAATTCAATTTGACGTGAATTGAATTATGATGCGCTTGTGAGAGATTACTCAAGCAAGGCCTTGGTAAAGTCTCGGTGTCCTGTCCTCCGTCAAGTCAGTCGTGAGCGTTTGTTGGTGAAATTTCGCTGCAGTAATAATACGTAAACCGGGACGTGGAGAGAGGCATCAGCTGAGACACAAGAGCCAGTCAATTGTGGTATAGAGAATTTAATTCGGTACTGCATATATGGTTTGCACAATAGGCCATCTTAGAGCATGTCACCCGGACGCCTCTACCTTACTATTATTTGCACGCCTTGTTGCATCAAGATATATAAGACTCGGTGATAGAATTCTTAGTCCAATTTACTCTTACATATGCCCTTTGCCTCAAAGTCACATAAGATACTACTTTTCCGAGTTTGAAGATGCTTGCTTTTTTGGACTAGCCCGTCCTGTCTCCTCCAGACATATCCCATGGAACATGTGCAAAGCCGCGAATCATATGCTCTTTGCCTTTTTGGCTTCTTCCTGCTCGCTCTCAAAGCGGCGAACGTACCACAAACAAAGCGCATAGGACCCATCTAGCAAGAGAAAAATCGAAACAAACCAAATGTATAGAGGAGAACCCATATACTCATGGTCTTGTCTCCAGTATTGGTATCTTAAAACATCTTGTGGGATAAGGACAAGAGAACCGAAAAACCGACAGAACCTGTACAGTTGACGTGTTGTGAGCAGTCAAGTTTACTTGGTGTGTTTTTGCAGAGCAAGGTTGACCTACCATAGGAAATACGAGGCCCCTCGCGATGAACCACGGCTAAGCAGTTGACAGAGGGCCCCGACGCTTAGGAGAAGCTGACATCCATATGCGCTGAAAGCTTGGGCGTGAGATGGCCCAATTTGCAAAGCCAGTGCCAAATGGGCCGTTGTCCATGCCGCTATACAAATGATGAAGATGAAGGGCAAGTTTCGACGAACCAGCGGGGCGTGTGTCCATTCTCTTTCTGCATTCTTGACCGCGGTGTACATGACACCACAGTTTAGCATGAGTCCGAAATAGTGAGTGAACTTGTCCTGCCTACTACCAAAGGGGTAGATGACAGCGTAGGTCAATTCCCAAGCAAAGTTGCAGCATAGTGGCATCAATGCCATTCCGTAGGTTCGATCTTTGAGAGACTTATAAATCATCCCAGCATAGTTGGTCGTCCATCCCAGGCCCATGAGCAGCTTGCATGTATCAGCAATCCAAGCTACTTCCAGGTAGCCAGGCGGCGCACGGGATATGTCAGCAGCATTCATAGCGTGTATCAATCGGTCCTGACGGATGTTTGAGGGGTAGAGAGAGGGGCAAGAAAAGAACCAAAAATTAGATTGCAGCAGGGGACGGACGGGTAAATGTTGCAAGGTGGCGATGATATATTTAACATGAAGGATCCCTCGATGCTCCAGCTTGCGCCCCGCGGACTCACGTGTAGGGCTGAAATGATACCCTGTTGCAGGATGCACCGGGCGTTTGCTATCACATATTCTAGGTATTGTGGGGTTTTACCTTTACAGGCACATTATTCTCTCATGGAAGCGAGGTGCTGAAAATTGCCCGAAGAAGCGGTAGCGCAAGCATGACAACGGATAGTCCGAGGGAAAATAGCCGGGTGTTCGGTGGTGGCGAGACACGCGAGCTTCGCGCGAAAGTGCCTCTGATGCGTTGTTTACTAGATATGGTCGCCGAGGACTCGGTCTAGGAAAACTGAGTTCCAAGGCTGAATTCAGCTGCAGTGGCCGGGGCCGGACTGAGTCGCGTACATGTAAGACGGCCATATTGTACGCCCAGACTGGGGCCCAACATGGGTATAGCGTTCACTTGTATTGACATGAACATGGGTCAAGGGGAAGATGGGACTTGGCACCATGCTATCATGCCACGCGGCTATAGTGCCCACGTACTCGGTACTCGGTATGGGCTAAATTTACAGGGGTTGGATTGTACTGTATTGACATCTCTCTCACCTTGTTCTCGGCAGAGACAACAGCGAGCAAGTATAGAGAGGGGCTTTTGTAATCACTAGTATGAGCAATTTCTACGGTAAATGTCTGGTACTTCGCTCGGATGATCCCTGCCTGACGGCAGGCACACACCCATGGTCATACGAGCATGGGGCCGAGTATGACCATGGGGCCGACGCATTTGTGTTGGGGAAAGTCATGACTATAATCAATGGAACCGATTAAGGATGAAAATTGGTCCGAACACTTGTAGCCACTCCGAGTTAGACTAAGATGCTAGACTTGGAAAGACTTTGGCATGGCTCGTAGTACGTCTCTGGCACTTCAGATACCGTTGATATATCTAGCAAGGTTAGCAAACCGATTTTACAGAGATCACACCACAGTCGATATCTCAGTTTACGAATTCATCCTTCCACTTTGTTCACATTGAGACACCAAACATGGCGAAGGAAGCAAAAATGAAGGCCAGGGCGGAGAGGCCCTTGATCCTCAATCTCTTGACTCTTTCACGCTTTGACAAATACAACCCGACATTTACAACTTTTGCAGGAGGCAGGTTTTCTCAATCTACAACATGCTATGCCAACAAGCGCTAACAAAGTCGAAACAGCATGGTCTGCTTTGTTGGCTGGCGCCGCGGAGACACGGCAAGAACATTTGGCTCCTTCTCCTCTGTTCATACTCCGCCAAACACTATTCTGCGTTCTTGCTGCCTATCTGTTTTGTGGAGCGGGAATGGTTTGGAATGACTGGATTGACCGCGACATAGATGCCAACGTTGCGAGAACCAAGAATCGCCCCCTGGCATCTGGCAAGGTGACAACAGCCCAAGCTTTTGTGTGGATGGCTCTACAGGTTATTGCATCGTGTGCTGTTCTCCACGTTATGCTGGACGGTAAAGACGTGTAGGTCCAAATTTCTTGTCCAAAGAACTCTACTCGGCGAGCCCTGCTGATTATCCTCATGCCAGTCATAAGCATGTCATACCGGTCATGATTGCCTCCATGTTATACCCATTCCTCAAGCGACCTACTGCTAAGAAACTCCACATATACCCGCAATACATGCTCGCCTTCACTATTGCCTGGCCGGCCATTCCAGGCAGAGCAGCCATCTGTGGTAGAGATGAATCATTTGGTGAAACTGTGCGGTATTGCCTTCCTTTGTGTACCGTGGTTTTCTTCTGGACTATTTATCTCAATACGGCATACAGCTATCAGGATGTGGTGGATGATCGGAAGTTGAATGTGAATTCATTCTACAACATCGCGGGCCGGCACACTCATCTAGTGTTGGTTGCACTGGTTTGTCCAATTCTTGCCTGCTTGCCACTATATCTCACTCAATTCCAGTCTACATGGCTCTGGGTTACGTGGATGGGTGTTTGGACGGCAGCTTTTGCGGTACAACTGGCACTTTTTGATGCCAAACAACCTGCTAGCGGAGGTTCTTTACACAAAAGCAACTTTGTTTTGGGTATATGGACAATCGTTGTGTGCTCTGTGGAGCTGCTATTGAAAGCCAGGGTGAGCATCTGAGGCAATCAATGGATGTGGTGGATCCAAATTTGGGGACGTTGAACATTATGAAGGCTAGGTTTTGATGTAGACATCTCAACACGAAGCTCAGGCGTCTCTTACGCGATAGTAAACATAAATAGAGCTTGTAGTCTCCAAGAGATGCCACGTTTCCTACCAATTTCAAAGCCACAGGTCACAGAATTACAATTTGGTATGCACACGTCATGTACGCTTCGGATGGCAAATAGGCAGCTACCCTATAGTTAATCCCAACCGATTGGGAGCCGCACAAAGGCCGAATGTTATGTCATGAATTGATCGTTCCATGTCACGCGCATTCCGATATTAGGCTTCGTCGCAAATGGCGAGACCCGAGTCATGCTGGTGGCCGACTGACAGCGACATCCAGAACATGAGCAAACCCGGCACAAACCTGGCAGCCAATACATACATGGGGATATCCTGGCTCTGTTAGCGTCATCTGCTCGACGTCAAATCAATCTCTCATGGAATTTTCCCGGCCCTGCCAGCACCGCCCTCCTGTCAGGCGGCACATGCCGGTCCCGTCGGCGGATGCCGCGCGGGCCGGTTATGGCAAATAATGCGCCCGTTATTTCTGGCAGTTGATCTACGTCAAATTGTGGATAATCTCCCGAAACCTAATATCATACGATGGTGGACAGCCCTGCTTCTAATCTTCCGGCCTCCATGCGCGCCAAGGTCCGTTACAAGCTTAGCCGCGACGATCTGAATCTATAGACCTAAATGAGCCGCCTGTCGTATGACATGCACAGAAAACACAAAAGAACCAATCCAGTTTCATACCGAAGAGAAAACTAGCAATAAAGTTCAATTTTCCATTATAGTATTATCCAGCTCCAAGTGTACAACATTGCATGATGTGCTTATTTCGAGCAATGACAAGGTTACAGATAACCTAGTAAATCACCTAACTACTCTCAGGCTCGAGTCCAATCAGGTCCAAAACACGGTCGACTGCTTCTGCGCTCCCAGGAACACTGTTGCCCATTTCCTTGATCAACTGCCTAGCTTCAGCTACTAGCTCGGCAATCTTCTCTTTGCAGTGTTCAAATGAACCGGTTGCCTTGATGCATTCAACGGCAAATAACTTGACGTCGACGTCTGTTGTCCGCTGTTTCAGGATGCTAGAAAGTTGGATATTTGTTGGATCTGAGCGAATACTGTGAATGATAGGAAATGAGTATTTTCCCTCGGTCAGATCCTCTCCAAATCCTTTATTAACAGTGTATGCATGACTTTGCAAGTTGAGGTAATCATCGCGAATCTGGAAAATAACTCCCAGTACATTGACAAGCGGCACAAAGTCACTAGGTGGTTGCGTAATAATGTTAGCACCCTTCTTCCATTTTTACCGAGTGTGGAAAACAAACCAGTTCTTGTCGCTCGCAAGTTGCATGAGCCTGATTGCTAGACGAAATAGGCCTCCTGTTTTGTGGGAGACCATGGAGAAATATTCCTCCTCGGTTGGACACTTTGAGGCTTCCCTCCAGTATATATCCATGCCCTGACCGCGGTGAAGACTTAGCAGCTCTTCGGTATAAATTTCGAAAGCTTTTGGGTCGCCCAGTTTTGGGAGTTCCTGTTGTGCGAGAAAATAGGCGTAGTTGGCAGCATTAATTGTCTGAGGAACACCAAAGATATGATGTGATACAGGCAGACCACGACGAAGCTTGGATGAGTCCTGGATATCGTCTATCCTAAGGCGTAGGCTCAGCAATTACGCTCAAAATAACAGTCAGGAACAACATACAGAAGTGACGCATTATGAAGTAGCATAACAATTCGCTTGATAACTTCAAGCTTATCGGCAGGGATGCAGAGCCACTCATTAAAGGCTGAGATCATCTTGCTCCTAACATCTTTACCGGGGAGGTTAAGAAGGTAGTCGAACGGAGCTCGGATAATCTAGCAAGGTATCTCAAATCAGAACTGTATTGCAAACCTCTTTTACACATCTAAGCAATTATAGACAGATACAACATACCTCCTCGTAGCCGGCGGCAATAGAAGAATGCAAAAGCGCCGCATCTCCTGCGAGTGGCTGTGTTTCCAGCACTGGTGAGTTCAGCTCGTTCGTGTTTGGCGCGCTTGGGGACATTGTGAATGGTATTGGAGAGCGAACGTGTAGTTTGCTGGATATTACGCAATCGGGTTTATTATAAAGTGTATACAAATAGGTCCCTAGTTTGTATCACGCTCCAATTGTTTATATGGAATCAACTAAATTTAAGTACTCGACTTCCATCGACACTTATTGAGGGGCAATGCAAACGCTGAGTCATGGGGCAATTCTGCCTGGCTAGGAGGGGCTGGTACGATGCCCCTGGCATATTCGTTGGGCGATACGTCCACCGACACTAAAAAAAGGTATGGGTAGACGCTTGTATTTATGCTATAAAAGGCGAACTATTACTATACATGGAATCAGCTCTGTAATTATACTTTGGAATTTATTATGTTGGTATTCTGCAGACTCCCAATGCCTTTCACGTCTTGTAAATATAATCTTGGTACTATTTTACCAAATGCCAAAAAAGAGTCTTTATTAAGGCAACTGGAGATTTCTCTACAGTTCTACAAGTTGCCTTGTTAGATAAGTAGATCTTTGTTTTATCCTACGTCGTATTTTACTAAACTTGTCGGAGCGTGTTACTAGTACTAATTCCAGGGGACATAAACCACTAATAGGCAAAGCGTATAGAATTTGATGCGCTGTAAGTAATGCACATACCATTGTGTTAGTGTAAAGCCGCCGAAAAAAGCTGACAATTTCGGCGATTTACGTAACTGCACTTGTCTTTCCGCCAAGCCGTGTCCTAAAGTTACAGGATGTCTAGTATAGGTGCTACTAAAGCACTGGCCTGCTAGCATCAATTTCAGCAGGGTTTCTCAGGGGCGTTGGAATAGTGGCTGTTGAAAATACTTATTGCAAACGCCCTGGAGGTGCTCGTATTGATGGTCTTACCCATGGGCCGGTTATTCCACTTATGCGCAGGGTTTACTGGAAAGCCAAGCCTTAACCGTCATGAACCATGCCCAGCCAAGGACCAGGTCTTGGGGCCAGGCACGTCCGTGTTCTTTGTCTAGCTCCTATTATCCCTCGCAATTAATTTCAGGCTGACAACTTGGCTTCTCGTATGATTCCTCATTGGCTTATTTGGAACTCGACGCATTGGGTCGCAGGTGCAGAAGCCTGCAAATACCATATCAGAGCACACTCGTGGCATCTTTTCCCGCGTAACGGACATGCTCTGTTTCTAGTATTGGTTGTTGAGACCAGGCTACCTTCCAAAGAATAATTGGACTTGTTGCGGTGCTGTTTTTATTTCATTCATCTCCAATGTCTCAAAGACAATTCAAAGTCATCATCATCGGCGGTTCCGTAACGGGCCTAACGTTAGCTCACAGCTTGCACAAAATTGGAATTGACTATGTAGTTCTCGAGAAAAGGGACACAGTCACACCACAGGAAGGAGCGTCTATTGGCATATTGCCGAATGGCGCTAGAATACTGGATCAACTCGGTCTTTATGAAGCTATCGAAGATGAGGCGCCACCTCTAGGGGCCACACGCATCCATTTTCCAGACGGATTTGCGTTCACCAGTCTGTATCCCAAGAAAATCCTTGAAAAGTATGCAAGTCGTCTCTACTTGGCATGTAAATAAATTAAAGTGCTAATGAGACATAGTTTTGGGTACCCAATCGCTTTCTTGGAGAGAAGACAGCTTCTCCGTATTTTATATGATGCTCTTCCTGACAAGACAAGGATTCATGTTAACAAAACCATGTCTACTATTGAGCATTTCACAAAGGATGAAATAACAGGTGCTCGCGTCTTGACCAAGGAGGGGGACGTCTATGAAGGGGATCTGATTGTTGGCGCTGACGGAATACACAGTCAGACTCGGGGGGAAATTTGGCGTCGGATAAACTCGTCAAAGTCGGAATTCGAACCAGCCGAGTGCATCGATAAATGTAGATGCAGTCCGCTCCAGTCACACGAGAAATTTACTAATGAAGCATGTCAGGTATTCTAATTGAGTATTCTTGCTGTTTTGGTATTTCAAAATGCGTTACAGGGCTCATTGCTGGAGAGCAAGTTATGCATATGAGAAATGGACGAACCCTAGTGGTTATTCCATCTAAAGATGAGGTGGTGTTTTGGTTCTTGGTCGAAAAGCTTGATCGGAAATATACATATAGTGAAGCCCCTCGCTTCACGATTGATGACGCAACCGCATTGTGCTCGCAGGTCTTTACGCTACCGATTGGGAACGGCATCAAATTCGAGGACGTTTGGAATAAGAGAGAAGTTGTTAACATGCTTAGCCTGGAGGAGAGCTGTCTTAGCACGTGGTCAACGGGTAGACTGGTCTGCATTGGCGACAGTATTCACAAGGTAAGCATACCCTCTTAAACAAACTAGAGTTATGCTTGGCTATTCACAAATTTTCTATGAGCAGATGACTGTCAACCTCGGACAGGGGGCGAATTGTGCTATCGAAGACGTGGCTGTTTTGTGTAACTTGCTTCGGAACATGTGCCAGTTAAAATCCGGTACACGTCCAACAGAGCAAGAAATTGATCTGTTGCTCAGAAAATTTAACAAGCAACACCTTTCTAGAGTAACGCAGATCACGAACATGTCGAAGCTGACAGTCCGTGTCCACGCCCGAAAGGGACTGCTTCACAGATTTGTGGGAAGATATATAATGCCATACTTTGGCGCGTATTTCGAGGCTCGACCTTTCAACATGCTTGCTGATGCTGCTTCCTTGGATTTTATACCTCTTCCCAAGTCATCATACCCGGGCTGGGAAAAGTATAGCAGCAAAACCCGTGGAAATAGTAGGCTCTGGCCGCTAATGTTTACTCTGCCTCTTCTGTATTTTGGGCTGTCCTGGATTGTGGGTATATGTTGGAAAGCTGGATACTTGCATGCTGGGAACTCCTAGCTTGACGATAAATCTGGTTTTCTCCCACTATTTACAACTCAATAATATTATCAGATGCGCTGCTACCACAAGTCCTCTAAACTCATAAAAACTTCTTTTCGCATACTCTGCCTTGAATGCACTTTACAGCTCAACTACCAATTTCAGCCCAATTTTAAGGATAAGTAAGCGATTCATAGTGCCGTGGTATAGTCTAAGCCTGAATGTGTCCACTTGTCTGACATGTCCAACTCAACAATATTATTCAAGGTGTAGTTTTGACTGTTGAATTGACAATATAAAAGGGCTCGTTTCTTTCCTATATTGTATAGTTGGAAGATAAAAAACACCCACTCGCTTAAACAAACCTCTCAAGCCATTAAGGGTCACTTTCGGATGCCTCGTAATCCGCTCGGGGAACTTGGCGAGCAAGGTGTTAACCAAACTACCCGCATAGATGCCAGGCAACAGAACCGACAACAGTTCCTATTGCCATCGTATCTAATCTCTCTTCAGCTTTTGGGGCGGGCCGGAAACACTACAGCTTCTCACTGAGGCGCAATCGGGTCCCTCGACGTTGGGCATTATGGAAACCGGCGACTTGTAAGGCGTAAAGATGGATCCCCGGCGGTTGTTCAAGTTCAAGGCCATAAGCGTATCTTGGCACCAGACATAGTTGCAAAGCGGCGCCTGGGGCTAAATTAAACCGCCGACATTTATCCACCCTCATGCCACGACGGGGACAACAAACCAGAAGAATAGAACGACGGTTATGGGGCGCAGTCGAGCGTACCACAAAACATCAGAAGGTGTTTGTGAAGCCACAATGGATAATTTGTGACCCTCGTGGCTAAATTCAACCTGTTCGGTCGCCTCGCATTGACGTCCGGTTCATTTGACCATGTCGGTCAAGCCGACAGTGGGCTGACAAAAACGCCCGCTGCCAGTATTATTCTCCTCTCACTCTTTATCCAACTACGCTTACGTATTTCCAATAGCACTCGGTTCGCGGCCGAACAGCCCGAATGCATATGGGAAACGAATGTTTGATATAGCACCGGAACTCCAGTTCGTGCTAGTGTGGCTGAGCAGGTTCCAGCGTTTCGGCCACGAGATTCAGGAGCGGAATATTTTCCCGAAGAAGTCAATACCAACCTGCCCACCTGCACTGCAACGTGGTACCTCCCGGTACCATGGAACATGGCACCAGCATGGCAAGATTTGGCCCCCAAGATGATCCCAGAACCTGGCCATGTTGCCAACCATAGCCACACAAATTCGGAAATTATAGACGCCCGCCATTGGATTCCTGGTTGCCCACTGGATAGGCTGTCAAAGCCTTGCATTTTCTAGTCGCATTAGCAGTGAGATACCCATGGTTTACAGAGTAGCATTGCGGCACTCGAAGCGAACTCTCCACACTATTCATTCTTCCTTCGGGTCTTCTGCAACGCGTTGCAGTAAACGATACTACGTCTAATTACCTTGGATTATCCGAATAATCGATTGTCTCTTACTTTTAGCAATAGAGGCACGGGTACTATTTGACAAGTGTTGCACCTACCAGTCGTTTGACCACTTGCAAAATGGCCCCATGGTGTTCTTCGCATGAGTGTGGCCTGACTCGAGGTCCACGAACCGTCTCCGCCCACCAGACTCATTGCCGTTCTTCCAGACGATACTACTAGCCGGCTCGGAAGTACCCGGTTATGAACCATTCAGTTTAGTACCGCTACAGCGCTTACTTTGCGGATGGTAAAAGGCACTTTTGATCACACAAGGTTGTAGTTGTCTTGGTGACTTAACCAAACCCAAGCTTGCTTGCTGGCAAGGGAGATACAAGTCCGCGCCGAATAGTGCGAAGAGTACCTTGAATTGTTTTTTGACTTTACTACAACCTGGCCTACTGTTCAAGCCCTGCCATGTCCCTTCTGTTACTAGCTGGGATGGACCCAATTCCCCATAACCCGGTGATAAGCCGTTCCTCTCCTGGCGGCATAATCGCCTCTCCGTATTTTGCATGGTGTTCAGGCAATATGGAGAAAACGGCCGCATGTCCCCGTGGATTTAAGATGGTCCCACGATATGTATATAAGCCTGCTAGGACTGGGGTCCCAAATACACTCTGTCGCAGAGACCCTCATGTCCTAGTTCGTGTCGAACTCGAACCGACCTTTATTTTTCTATAACCCTATTTGTCAACGGGGCAATTCCACCTTGCAAAGATGACACGCCTCTCCCTTCAGATCATTGCTGGCCTCGCCGGACAGGCTTGGTTGGTTAACTCCGATACACCTAGCCATGATGCATTTGCTTCTTGCCTTTCGGATGCCAGTGTACCCATTGCAACAAAGGGCACTCCAGAATGGACACAGCATACTACCCCCTTCAATACCCGACTTCAGTATGAGCCCATCGCTGTCGCTGTCCCTACCGAGATCTCCCAAATCGCAGCTGCCGTAACATGTGCCAAAACAAATGGCATTCCCGTTACTGCCAAAAGTGGCGGCCATAGTTTCACCTCACTTGGCCTTGGGGGGGAAGACGGGCATCTTGTCATTCAACTAGATCGAATGTACAATGTTGAGCTTGCTCAGAATGGAACAGCGATGATCCAAGCTGGTGCGAGATTGGGTCACGTTGCTGTCGAACTGTACAATCAAGGGAAGAGAGCACTTTCACATGGATATTGCCCAGCGTAGGTTCAATGGTATTACACAAGCTAAAATGTGTTGATGTACTAAAAGAAGTCAGTGTTGGCGTCGGCGGTCACGCTGCCCATGGAGGGTATGGAATGGTATCGCGAAAGTATGGTCTTACCCTTGATTGGATGAAAGACGCCACTGTTGTTCTCCATAATGGCACAATTGTGTATTGCTCCGAGAGCGAGCATTCGGATCTTTTCTGGGCAATTCGAGGCGCGGGTTCTTCCTTCGGTATTGTGGCAGAGTATGGGTTCGAAACATTCCCTGCTCCTGAGAAAGTAACGAATTTTGGCATTGTCTTAGATTGGAATCCAGAAACCGCCCCTGCTGGTCTCCTCGCATTCCAAGACTTTGCACAGACTATGCCTAGCGAGCTGTCATGCCAAATTGACGTTAGATCGACTGGCTACACACTTAATGGTTCATACGTTGGTAATGAAGCCAGTCTTCGTGAAGCATTAGTGCCTCTGCTAGGGAAGATTGGTGGGCATCTTGAAGTGCATGAGGGGAATTGGCTCGAATACGTCAAGTTTTGGGCGCTTGGTCAGCCCAACATCGATATAACACCGCCCGCAGATAACGTGGTAAGTCGTCTGCCACAACGCAATGTTCCAGGTATATGCCGACTAAAATCAAATTTAGCATTTGTCGCTCTACACAACTGGCGCCCTTACGCCATCTCTCTCAGCCAATCAATTCAGATCTTTTGCCGACTATATCGCCACAGACGCTATAAAGAGAGGCAATTCATGGTCGATCCAAATGTTCATACATGGAGGCCAGTATTCTGCTATTAGCGGACCAAAGATTACGGACACAGCCTACGCGCATCGAGACAAGTTCCTCATTTTCCAGTTCACCGATTTTGTTTGGCCTAGTCAAGAGTATCCCGAGGACGGGCTTGCTCTTGGTCGAGAGTTTAGGGATATTATAACAAATTCCTTTACGAATGGTCAATGGGGAATGTATGCCAACGTTCCTGACTCTCAGTTGAGCTCAGGCGAGGCTCAGAAATTGTACTGGGGCAAGAACCTTGAAAGACTGGAAACTATCAAGGCGAAATATGATCCCAATAATTTGTTTAGGAACCCCCAATCAGTCAAGGCCGCGGCCCGCTGCGCAACACGTCCACTGCCCTTGCAAGGTCAAAGTTTATTATTTTAGATGTCCTCTGACATACATGTTCCGGCGAGTTATTTTAAATCACCTCAAGTGTCACCTGTTTTGTGCCAAGTCGGGATTTTGGTTGAGTTTGGCCCAACATTCTCTTAGAGATATTGACCAAGAAAAAGTACTCTAATATATTGTTACTACGTTGTATAAACATTTATTTGTCTCTAGGCTGGTAGGCTAGGTAGTGCTGGTTACTACGCGCGCTAGCAAATTAGAGGTTTAAATATTAAAAGAAAGAAAATTGATGACATCGCGGTTGCCGAGATATAAACTGTTATTATTGATAGCAAACTGGTAAATACTGAGCTATTAAAGTACCGGTCGATTCCTACCGGACCTTTTGCAGACTTGCCTGCTAACATGGACCTGGAATATTCTTGGCTGTTAAATTTATTCATGTTTCCCTTTTCTATATCTCTTTGTTCGCACCGGCACAAGGGCGTATATGATTTCTCTTTTTTTTCCGTGTTTCAATATTATGAATCTGATTGTGTGATTCTCTTTGACTGAACATGTTGCTCACCTCATTTGTAGGTATAAAATTCGCTTGTAATCCTCGCCGCTTGACTCCCGATTTTACCCCATGCCCTCTGTCCCAGACGTTGAATTCCAGTGTTGTGAACTGGGCTCTCGAGGCATCCAAAATCTACAAGTTTGATAGACATGTTTGGGTAGTGTAACATTTCACGATGCAACGGCGGCGACATTGGCGAGGTGAGATGCCACTTACAATTATAGTGGTAAAGTACTAGTCATAGGGTCTTGATAGATCAGTAATCTTTATTACCCCCTGGCCGATCCCTCCACTACTTGCACGGCTGTAACGTAGATAGAATGTGGAACTTGTGGCAGCATTTTGGTGAGGCGATATTTCCTTCAACTGTTTCTTCTAGCAGTAGCAAGGTAACTAATCGACTTACCTACTGGCCAAGCCAAAGGTATAATGTCTTTGGACCGAATACTTCACATTCGCACCCTTATGACTTGCTTGCCCCTGAAATTTACCATGATGCAGTGTCTCTCAACTGTGTGCAGCCAGATCGGAACAACAGGTGATGTTATAAACTCCCATGATAATGGTTTGTGCTATATATAGGCCGAATATTACATACTAGGGCTTGCTCAATAATATATTAGTCACGATCCGAGGCTTTTCGTTTAGCTAAGCATTAGCACCAAGAGTTCATGGAGCGAACTTGTCGAAGCAATCTCCTCTGAACCATACGGGGCCCATGTGTAGCGTAGTCTAACGCCTCAAGTCCCACATGTCATAAACTTCGCATTTATAAGGCTGTTAGTAGAAACAGAAAGACCGTTAGTTTAGCTCCCGGTCGTTCCTATTCACGCAGACTTGAAAAACCCTCCACAAAAGCTGTAATGACCCCTTTCCACTGCTGCCTAGATAATCTATTTGCCGTCTATTTGCCGTCTTCACCGGTAGATTGTCAGGCAGGCCTGGGTGTTGCAAGGTGGGCGCGCTTTATCCCGCCCTGCCCGGTCCTGGGCTTCTAGTTCTGGGATTAGACATCTGTCATAAGTCGAAGAAGCTGCTCATTGGGTTCTCGTAACGCTTGGGTCTGCTTCCTCTGACAATTTGGAGGATCCCATGATGCCGCTCGGGCCGTTCGCGCATGATTCGTGATATATGCCTGTTACTGGTTGCGCAATTCTTTCTGCCCATCAAGGATCGTGGGAAGTTGGTAAAGAAGGCTGCGGGCAGCTCGACAGTAGTGCCCTTTTTGAAATCGAATAGAATGGCAATTCTCATCTGTGAGTCCATGCCCATTTGAGTGAATATTGCGCCCATTGTACTTTCTAAGTCGGCCAAGTCGATGCCACTCCAGTGATACGCGCTCAAACAATTTCGCCGACAGGACTATAGCGGCGGATAAAGCGCATGGCGACGCTCCAGTTCCCTTTTCTTGGTGCAATTTTCGGCTTTACCCACCTGCAGGTGCAGCTTTAGAAGCGCGGCAGCCTAGCTTACCAGCAGTGCAAAGCAACCTTGTTGAAGCTTCTTGAAGTGGATATTCGTATAAAGCGTGGCCAGCTTCTCCGTGCAGTTAGGGATGTACAATTCGCACTGGCTTGTCCCGGGTTTGACGTTTTGCTTTCGAACAGAGGTGTAAGCCAGGAACGGTACTTGCCATGACAAGTTATCCAGAATGCTCAATTGGCAATGTGGGCTTCATGCCTGGAGTGTATCTACGGCCGAATTCGTCAGACAACCGGAAACATGAACAAAGGGGTCAATTATGAAAGGGTTACAAGTACAGGGGACCAAATCCATGGTTAATGTATCTTGCAGGACAATAACGGCGGAAACGTCTCATGGTAGCGACTCTTCTTCGATGTATGAGAGATTCTGGCGGCTTTATCTGGGCTTTTCACCCGCTCATCTGCAAGCGACTTCATTATTCGAGACTATGCTTGAGTGACCGGCGCATCCAGCTCGTTTAGCCAGACCAAGTAGGACGCCCACTCAACCAGGAAAGAGACAAATCCCTCTCGACGGGGGTAGGAACTGCACCAAGACGATGTCTATTGACTTTTCGAGAACTTCAGCCTTCGCAAAGACGGTGATTACGGCGTTCGTAAGGTAGCGCTCCTCATCTGGTTCGATTGTGCTTGTGCAAGGGCCATTACTGGTGTAGTACTATTGAGCCGGCTGAGTCGGTGGCAGCGTCAGGCCCTTCTAAGCTCAAGCATGTTCTGGCTAAAGCTTGAAAAATTTAACTACCTGCTGACCATGATAAAACTATGCACAGGGTAAAGCCATCCTCCGGCCCTTATATCGCAGCCTAAAAACCTGTCGTGATATCCCAAGTAGCCGGGTGATGCATAGAGCGTGAGGCCACGAACTCGAGGCGCCAGCACAATGCGACGTCATATTGAAAGTCCTTGATAAAGTGGCGGACCGTACATGTAGGATGAAAATACTACATACAGAACCGCGCAAGAACTTGGAACAGCGCACCTCGTGAACTGTCTCTTCCTATACAACCGGTCGCTGCACAGCCCCACGGTCATCTTCAGCTCTCATTCATGCATACCAGCTGAGGGGGAAGATGGTGGCACTTTCATCTTGTGCCCGTACTCATCCATCGCAGGATTGTCTGATCTGGGATGGATGGACTGAGAGGCATTCTTCTCCTCTGTAGTTGAGTGTTGGAGAGCATGTTCGTTACGCCAAACTAGTTTTGGCTTTCATCCAGCTTAGCAGTTGCCAAGCAGGCAGCATCGTGAGTTCATTCACGGGTTCACAGAGAATAATCGCGCCGCACGCATACATCCTCTTTGGAGCCTCATTTCTTTGACATGTTCATAATAGCTAACTGCGAGCCAGATTATCGCTCATAGGCGTGCTGGCGCAATGGGAGCGCGTAGTCCTCCTAAGACTAAGGTTCAGGGTTCGAGTCCCTGGTACGTCGATTTTAGGATTTCTTTTTTTTTCTTTTTCTTACTCAAGTCAGGTTTATATTTCATCTGATGCATATTAGGCATAATGGAAATATGGTCTGCCTTTTCTAATTCCCTCGCTCTCTTACCGATTCCATCAACTAGCAATAGCGATCCCAAGTTGTAGTGAAATCGCGGACTGCCCCATGTGTTGGGTCACATGTGTCGCTGCCCCTCATTGACCACGGTCCAGAGGCCCGCAGCTTCCCTTTGGCTGCTTCTCTCTTCATCTCTTCCATCACCTCTTTCGCTCAGAGCAGCCGTTGCTAGCTAGTGAGTCATGAGAGAGTTCATTCATCATGATTCGTTTCTCATCGTGTGTGTATGTCCCACGATGCCATGTCTACTGTACGTGCGCCTGGCTCGTACAGAAACTTAGTTGTTTAGAGATATATACCTATATTCTCTTTTCTTTTTCTTGAATGTCTCTCCTGAATGTAATTCCAATGGATATCTTTAGGCATGTGAGTTGATTGATTGCGAGCATAGACCTAAAGTGAGTACCCGCACCCCTGAAGGTCGTTTGCCAAAAAGAAATTCACTCTTGTTTGAAGTTCACTGTGCGCGTTTGCATGCTCTCTCCCGTTTGTAGTCAACTTCACGTTATCTTTCTTATCTATAGCTTTGTTGACCACTCTATTCGTGTATGACCTTTGCGCTTCCATCATCATGATCCATCACTTTTGCCTCATTTCACAGTTACACCAAGGAGAGGGGGGGCTTGCAGTTTCTCTCGGGCTGCTTTTATGATCATATTTTCCGGCGTGAACCTGTGGATGGCTTCAGAGCATACCCACCCGACGTACTAGATATACATGAGAATTTTACGTCTGGTTTACGAGGTCATGTGGCAACAGTCGTTAATGTTGTTTGGGGCGCACCTGTACGCGAGAGGATGAAGAAAACCCAGCGGCTTGAGGAGTTTCAGCTTTGGGGGCAGTACCAGGGTGTTTCTATCTTCTTCGGGGTGGGAGACGAGCAATAGTAGATTACGACGGTTCGTGGTATTCGCTATGATTCATGCCGACCCGACTACGTTGGGTAAAAAGCAAGATCTTCACCTCCAGGTGGCTGCCAAATTAGCGAAAATGCATATCCCCGATAAGTTCTACGAAGAAATCTACCAACGGGGAAGCCATAAGTTCTTATCGGGGGCAGAGCATGCCAGACAGGCTGCGATAAACGAAGAAGCGATTATCCAACTTGAAAGCATTGCGTATCGGTCCCGATCACCCATCGAAATCGATCGGCAAAGACGTAATCGTATTCCGTATCTTGAACGCAAGCAGCTGCGCCAGTATCCTGGACTGTGTGGGTGTTTGGACAAGACGGACGAAGAAGAATTTGTGAGATTGGACGAGGAGATCAAGGCTCTAGAACATGCGAGTCAACAACAACAGGTAAGAAGCACTTATGGTACTATACTCACATCTAACAAAAACCAAATAGGCTAGCTCGACTCCAGCTTTTTACATACACCCCAGGATCGACTCAGAGTTTATCGGCCCAAGATGGTTGACGATCCTGGCTTCATCACTGGTTGGTGGTAATTGTGGAAATACTACCGCCGCTGATGCGATGCAACTATGCTATGCTCTCGCAGACGGCGAATTCGAACATTTAGGGGCAGTTGAATGGGGGGACGTCCCGAGTACCTTGCGGCGTTGGCTCCAGGAACAAGACGGACTGCAATCTGATGGAGTTCCAATAGCCTCGGTACGTGATCTCTTGAGAGTCCATGGTCTGATTTTTAAGAGACCAGCAATCCGGGAAGAGGATCTGAAGGCTAGCATCATGAAGATCTTTGTCGCGGTGGCAAGGCGCTATTACCATCTGCTCGCGTATGCAGCCCGTGATAGTAGCTTTGACCACTTGATCATCCGAGGAACGGAGCCTCTGGCCCTGAAGTGTTCCAACTGTCAATTGCGCTTACTTGATGACCCATTTCCGAGATTCAAGAAGTCTGACAAGAACCGCTACGTCGGACACCATCTGAAACGGGGATGCGGGTCTGAGGCCAGCCAACAAGTTCGAAAGCCAGGCTTTGCAGTTCCTTGTAATAGTCAGTTTACATGGGCAGCGCGGAAGACTGTAGTGTCGGAACGACCCCCGATGAAAGCGGATTGAACAGACGTGCTACTTCGTCAAGGATCAAGCACAGCACATCTCCCTAGCAATGTAGGGTTAGGGAGATCACCACCTGAGTCAGTCACGGGCCAAGGTATGAGAGAAAATCTTGTTTCAAGGAGCCGATCAACGCGGATCTAGAAACACTGCTAGTCAAACGTGACGCCTGCTGCAAATCGCAAGCGGTAATCGGTAAATCAATGGGACTCGTCTCAAACAGCTCCAATTCGCAATACTGCAGATGCTAGCCATGGCCTGTGATGGCTCCTAACCTGTTCAAAGTTGGCATGGACACAGGGCCATCTTCCGTCCGAAGGCTTGAGGCTTGTATAGATTGATAGATGGATGGATCGACGGGCGCCTTATTGCAACATAAAACCTTATTGCAACACAAAACTATTCCGATCGGAAGTCACCGGCGTCTCTGATTGGCGAGATTGAAATAGAACAAAATCAGTGCAGACCTGGCTCCGGAATGGTCCAGCATTAGGTGGAGATATTCAAGACGGCATAAGTGCTGGGGGCCACTAGTGTCGGCGAGATAAAACAGTAGGTGATACACACCACCACCAAGGCGGCCCCCCCGATGGAAACAGAAGTGTATGGGATTGTCGGGCTCACGAGTCAATCACTAGCAACCGAGTGAGCGCAGACAACATATATGGTGTCTGTAATATGTATATAAACTCGATGAGAAGAAGGCCAAGAGAGAATTATTGCTCATCATAATAACATCGTTTCTTATTCTTATTGCCCTGCCAGCTCTAATTCTTGACCTTTGTCTTATCTTTTCCCCTTATTATTTTTCAAAAGAACAGCATCAGGATGCGTTCCGCAACTATGTACATGGCCCTGGTGGCCTTTTCTTCCAGTCTTGTCAATGCCCACGGCAAGCCCACGACTGCTGTACGTCACTGAAAAAAACAAAAGCCATGCCTTGCAAGAATCATGTTATTCCTAACAAAGACTCTTTAGACTGGAAACGCCGGTGGCGTCTCCCGAGCGCTGGGCCTTCTGCCCGAAGGCTCGGTGCCGGACACGGGTCCCAACAAATTGACCGAGGTCGACACGCCCGTTTTTGGTAGCAGAAAGATAGCTTCCAAGGGCCTGGGCAGGACAGCTGGCGGCGGTAAGATCAGGCTCGCCGACGCGGCCAAGAGTATCCAGGACGCTGGCGGTGATCCTGCCAAGATCACCCCAGGCGGACAGCTCAGCTTCACTTGGCAAACTGTGACTTCTGTACGTGCGGTTTCCAGATAGTGATTTACTATCCCCAAACAACGGGACATGTTGCCCTTGCTTACCCTGATGACAGGACGGCGGTGGCCCAATCCGAGCTCTGTGTAACACGGAAGCAAAAGACGATTTCACCCAGAACTCGGTCGAGCTTAAAATTCAAGACAATGTCCCAGGCAAGGGCGGAAACATTAAGCCAGGGCCAAACGCCAGCAGGAAGCTACCACCTGGCTTTTCAGCGAAAGGACAAGGCAAAGGTGGCAAGAATAACGCGAGAGACGAGATTAATGATTTGTTTGGTCGCTTCATCGGGAAGCGAGCCGTCAACGTCAATGAGAAAACGGTGAGTGGCAACATCGCTTTTGTGAGACTAAGAACGAAACTAATTGTGTCACGTCCCCCTACAACAGAACGTCGTGGCCACGGCTCCCAACGACATGACTTGTACTGGACAGATTGGCGGCAATACTAATATGTGTCTATGCAAGATTGCCAATAATAACGGGGCTGGTCCCTTTGGTGGTGTCATGCCTGTCCAGATGGTCGGCGGCAATTCAACCGGAGACGCTTCGGCTGGAAATGGGGCAACCGGAGGCAATTCCGGAGGCAATTCCGGAGGCAACGCTGGAGGCAACGCTGGAGGCAACTCTGGAGACAATTCTGGAGACAATTCCGGAGGCAATTCCGGTGCTGCCAACAAGTTCTAGTCGTAGAAAATTGACTGGAACCATGTCCATGTTAGTGGGCATCCGCAAATTAATACTGGTATTGTCTGGTGTGGCGACTTTTATCTACACGGAAATTCGGGGGAAGTCGCAGGGTCCGTCGTTAGCTACTATAGGAAGGGCCTTATGCTCACCTTTTAAATTTACCAAGTTTTGCCTTTATAATCGCGTTTATTAGCAGGTGTATTTGACGAATCACAATGTCCCTCGCGTGTGTCTCGAGTCCTGCTTTTCTCCTTCCTTGAACGGCTATGCCAAAGTGACACAAACGGTCACTGGCCTCGGGTACTTGGCGTGGCTATTAAAAGAAGACAAAGAGGCACTGATATTGCGTGGTCGCATAAGCCTCTTATCATCACACTGCGACAAACTATTGGGAAATAGGGACCTGGGCAAGAGGGGCCGATCCAAAGAGTGATTTCGCCATCGACCTTGCTCACGTAGGAAAAGCCCATCTCACTGTCTGATCTATTTTTGGCACCAGTTGACCTTCCTGACATCTGGTCGCTTGCAGGGCCTCCACGCAGGCGCCTGACGCAGCAGCTTAAACAGCGCATGCCGCTCTTTCTCCTAAGTATTTCTATATCCCTAGACTATCGCTGTTTTCCCGCCGACTGTTTAAACCGTCGTTCCCATGACAAGACACCCGACGCGCTACTCGTCGGCTTGCCCACCTCGCCGTAAAGCTTCGGTCGCTTCTTCCGCTTCCCGTTGTGAGGCTCTGTGGTTCTACCTAATTCGCGGTGATGTTTCCCAGTTTTGCGAGGAACCCGTCACTCGACGACCTATGGGCAAAAACATCAAATATTACAGTCTTGGCTTCATATATTATAAGTTACAGGCACATGGGAGAGGCGTTACTGGCTAAAAGAATGCTTCAAGTGGGCGGATTATAAGGGGCATGCAGGACTTAAATGTAGAACTTGTTGTCTGGGTGGAAAGCGACAACAGAGTCCCTTAGTACTAATTTCGACTTCCCTAGTGCCAATTTCTGGCTCATGTTGACGCGCCCAGGCATGCCAGAGGTACGACGTACGAAGGGACCCAGGGCATGTCGGTAAATGCCGCTTGGGTGTCGAGAAACTACGGACTCCTTCTCTGGCTTCCTGTACTAAACGTGTAGTTCCGGTATGGATTGATCATTGAGCCAAGAGGATACCTGCGGGACAAGATTGCCGAGATGAAGATCTATATAACCGAGTTAACCGAAGTGACTGCATTTGATCTCGTTCCCCAAAATATTATCCATGATTGCCTGGCATTATTCTGCCCGACACTTTCCACTTCTCGGTCCTTGTGTTACTGCTAGATCTGATTTGTCGCCACTTGACCTGTCTTGACATTTTCGTAACTCTTTCGACCTATGGCAGAGCGCCTTGGACGCCATTTGAGAAGCAATCATGGCATCCCCACAACGGATAAGTCGGCACTACCTGCTACAAGATTGCGTCTTCATGACGATGAGGCATACTTTAGTGTGTTCTTAATAACGATGTATACATTGGTCCGACAGCTATAATTGGCCGTATGCAAACTGAAGCCATTGCCAACGATGTGTTGGTCGTCAAATATACCACTCGCAATCCACATCAACATATGTAATCGCTGGAACTTAGTTGAAGCCGCCTTTCAAGCCACTCAGCCTTCAATTACGGCACCGCTCGGTCATTCATAGCTGACCTAAAAAGACTTGTAAACATATGCTTAGTCCCAATACACTGGTTCTCGATAACATCTACTTTCCAATCCTCATTTGGAAGTCTTCTTTTAACCCCTCAAAAAGTGCCATACTGCTGCAATGGATACTTCGTGCTGGAAGGTCAAAGTCCAACCTCATCCCGGCTCATCGGAGCATGATATTGCCACCGAGCCGAACTGGGGTGTTGGCCACGAGCATCGTGTAGGGTATAGGAATAGCAGCAATCGCTTACCAGGGTTGACCGAGGATGGGTATTACCACGCAGAGATCGAGCAGGCGCAGCTGGCACGGAAAGAACTGGAGGAGGAGATAACCCATGGGATACTGATCAATTTCCGCCAGCTGATTGAACACCAGCCCGTTAGCCCATTTCTGCGTCTTCATACTATTCCAGAGCTAATACAGTTAGTAGGACTTCCACCTCAGACACCCCGAGAATAAGTCTCAGGGCTGGAGATATGTGCTTGATACCACAGAGGACTGGGTGAAGCAGAAGCAAGACTGGCCTATTAACATTCGTAGAAAGCAAGAGGAACAAAAAAGTGTGGCAAAAAATGACAAAGAAGAGAAGGAGAGGAGGGCTCAACAGGAGCATGAGTGGCGGCGAGATTCTGACGTGGAAAAACACAACGACGCTTATGCCGTCAAAAACGCGACAAGCGATAAAGAAAAACCTCTCGAGGACATGTATTCAACGCAGGAAATTGCTCTGCTTCGGGGTCTAGAGCATGAGAATGACTACGTGTCGCATCTCAAAGAAAACGATGGCAAAGGAAACGCGCCCAAGGTGCGAAATCAGACGCAGATCTCCATCGATGAGCAGGACCAATTCAGCCCTGATAATTGGCTTCCTCGCTCCTCGCACCTGATCCGTAACACGGGCAAGCACCCATTGAATGCCGAGCCCGACCTAAGCCAGCTCTTTTCCTCTGGCTTAATTACACCTAATGAACTACACTACGTTAGAAACCACGGGGCTGTCCCAAGACTATTGTGGGAGTTCCACCACGTCAAGGTCGAGTATAACAACACAACAAAGATATACTCCATGAATGATATTAAGGGCTTCGATGTCATCAACATACCTATCGCGCTAGCGTGCGATGGCAACAGGCGGAAAGAGCTCAATATGATGAAGAGAAGCAAGGGGTTCGATTGGGGACCTGGAGGTGTTAGTTGCTCATACTGGAAAGGCCCTCTACTCAGAGATGTTCTAGTCGATGCGGGAGTTCCCGAAGTGCCGCCTGATCTGGGTGGCAAGCGATATTGGGTCAATTTCGAGGGTGCGGATGAGCTCAGCGAGGGGAATTATGCGACATCAATCCCGTTTGAATATGCCATGTGTGCGCAAAACGATATTCTCCTGGCCTACGAGATGAATGACGTTCCGTTGCCGCCGGATCACGGGTATCCCATTAGGGTGATAATTCCAGGCTACGTGGGAGGCAGATGTGTCAAATGGCTGCGGAAGATATGGATTAGCGAGGAGGAGAATAAGTCTCACTATCATATTTGGGACAATCGTGTCCTCCCCGCCTTTATCTCTGAGATGGACGGTCCTTTTGCAGAAGCGCTATTTCGCCATCCGGATACGGCCTGCAATGAACAGAACCTCAATTCTATTATTGCAAAGCCTGCCCATGGCGAAACAATATCACTATCCCAGGCCCGAAAAGGCAGCAGCTATCGGATAGCAGGTATCGCATATGATGGTGGTGGCCATGAGGTGCAGCGAGTCGAAGTTTCTCTTGATAATGGCAAGACATGGCTATACTGTATTCGCAGATTTCCCGAAACTCCTATTCGACATGGTAATAAGTACTGGACATGGGTTCACTGGCATGTTGACGTTGACGTTGTTCAGCTTCTCCGAGCGAGTAGTATAACTGCGCGGTGTTTCAATGTCTTTAAAAACACGCAACCTAGGGACCCGAACTGGAACATCATGGGCATGATGAACAACTGTTGGTACACTGTCAAACTGGAGATAGTGAATCGGGAGCAGTCGGCTGTGCCCTACATGCTATTCCGCCATCCGACGGAGCCTGGCAAGGGAGAAGGTGGCTGGATGAAACCAAGCATTGAAAATCGGATTTCTGATACTCGACAGGAGGCTAAAGCTCCACAGAAGCAGTTCACGCGTGAGGAAATCGAAAAACATGATAAACAGCATGACTGTTGGATCGTGGTAGATGGAAAAGTTTACGACGCAACGAGCGTTTTGGGGTGGCACCCCGGAGGCCCTGCAGCTATTCTCGAACACGCAGGGAAGGTTCACCAAGATACTACGGATGAGTTCTCTTCTATACATGATGACTTTGCAAACCAGAAGCTACAAGGTAAGATTTATATCCGATATTAATTAGTGTGTAATGCTGACAAGCTTTTCGAGAATGTGTCCTCGGAGTGGTTACGGAGAAGGCCGCAAACTTTATCAAGAAGAACGCGGAAGCTGCTGCCAAAGAGAGAGCATTATCATCTGCAAATGACGATCAAGTCATCCTTCAAAAACACAGATGGGTGCCTGTTAAGCTTATTAACCGCAAAGAAATATCTGCAGATTCGAGAATATATACTTTTGAGCTTCCTGGAAACAAGAGCGTACTTGGCATTGGCACTTGCCAACACGTCTTTCTCGGTTTTCATCTGAGGGACCGAATGCTGATTCGCAGCTACACTCCTACAAGGCCTCTCTTGCCTGCTCTAAACGACACCAATCCTCCCAGCGACGCATACAGGGACGGTAATGGAACCTTCGATCTGACTGTCAAGACCTATTTCCCCGATGAAAATCAGCCTGGAGGTGCAATGTCTTCCATCCTTGATTGCATTCCGCTTGGAGAAGAAGTGGAGATCCGTGGTCCGACAGGCGAGATTGTATATAATGGTGACGGCAACTTCATTATTGACCTCAAGGAATGCCACTTTAGCCGTGTTTCGTTGGTCCTAGGTGGTTCCGGCGTCACCCCTGGCTACGCTCTTGTCGCCCGCGTTATAATGACTCCCCAAGACAGGACTACGATAAGTCTCATTGACGCTAACAAGACAGAAGACGACATCCTTATGCACGATGAACTAGACCAGTTCCAGCAAGAGTTCAGGGACAAGCTGCGAGTGACGCACATTTTGAGCCATCCTAGTGATAGTTGGAATGGGCTCAGGGGTCATGTAGATGAGGTCAAAATTAAGGACAATCTATTTCCACCGAGCGACGACTCGGTAGCCCTCTTGTGCGGCCCGCCAACAATGATTCAAAAGACAGTTTTGCCGGTGTTGAAGGGTGAGTTCAAAACTCAAGGCCTAGTTCCACAATCAACGTCACTGATTTGCATCGCTCTAGAATGGGGCTATATTGAGGATGAGAATGTATTCGGATTCTAGTCCTTTTATATCACACAAAACGTACAGCACGACTGTTTATTTAATTGCAACACGGCTAGTCAAATATCTATTCGTAGCAGTTGGGCGTTGGTCTTTCAAAAAGCAGCGAAACAGTCGCCACATGACACTGTCAATCTCTTGTCAGAAGGCGCAGACGAAATAATGTTAGCTACATAAATCTCTTGGTCCGGGTAAACTCTTTACACCTCCTTGCAGTAAGAGACAGTGACTCACCTTACTATGCAGATTATAAACTTTCAATGTTAGTATTGGAGTTGACACACTATGCCTGTTGTCTTCTGATTAGACTTGGCGGCACCCTAGGCATAAAAGGTAATAAGTCTGTCAATATGGGCGGAAATTTTGACGGGAAGTGCGTGCCAGAGGAGCGAGTTGAGTGTAAACCGAAACACACCAGGCTCAGCCTGCTACATGTGCGAGCTTCGATGCATGATAAACTGATCGTCAGGTCGGCTAGGCTGGATCTTATAGGGTCCAATTCATTTCAAGCGATGCACCATCAGAAGCTGACGATTTTGAGGGCCGCGCATACGGCAGGGCCGAATGTAGCGGCAGGCTGTGCACTCATATATTATCTCATATCACGAATTAAGGGATGAATTCGAGATCGAGACTTGCTTGAACAGCCTCACAGACCCATGAAGCATGTACATGATTTTGACATGTTATCTGGTCCTTGCATATGAACTGAATACTTCAATTTAGACTTGGATGTAGTTTTATCTGTTCTAGGCGTCAACGACAGCATCACCTGGTCGACTCTTTGTAGACATGCATCCTTAAGTTTTAAACTAGCTTGTGAGCTTCAAATTGGCTGCTAGCTGGCCCACATCAAGCCTGACGTGCGAAAAGAAGATAATACACACACCATAGCAAGTCAGGGAGGTGCAAGAATCCAAGAGATATCTTGCGGGTCTATTGCTCTCATCTCATATTGATGAACAGGCGGATGAAAACTGGAAGACTGTAAGTTTGTGGGCATCCACTTTACTTTCTGGACTTTGCTTACGAAATTCGAGAACTTGTCGCCGGTGGTCTTTAATTCAGTAGATTGCTGGATCCAACCAAGGAATCGCATTCTGTCAGATAGCGAACATGCAATTTAGGTGTAAACGCAACCCTGGATTCATGCCCGGATATATGATAGCCTGGGTGCAGAATTTATGTTTGTTTTGCGCAACAAAAATTTAAAGTTTAATTTCATAGTATCTAAATTTTAAGGCTCTGCGTCTTTATACTTTAGCGACGCTGAATGAGCGAAGAAGAAAAAATAACAGCCAAGGTACCTGCCACATGCACCTGTGCAAAAATTTCTCCCTGGGAAATAATAACAAGATTGACCGAGACAGGGGTCGAACCTGCGACCTTCTGATCACATAACAAGTATCAGCGCTAAGTAGATACTATTCGTAGTCAGACGCTCTGCCATTGAGCTACACGGCCTGTTGCGTGGCACCCTTCGCTGCAAATTCTCTCTACAACTCTTAGCATCTGAGGGCTATGCTTAATTCGAGAGCTACGCCTTTTAGATATAATTTTGTTAGGCTGTGTAGAAGTAGTGTTAATTCAAGTTATTAATATAAAATACATTGTTTTTTACTAGTTTTATCTGAGTCTAATATAGGGTAGGTTTCTATAAACTATATATATAACGTTAGTATTTATTGCAAATAAAAGACTTGGACAAAGAATAAAGCAAGGGACTTCCCTTTTTTCCTTTCCCTTAAACTCTACAATTATCTTTAATAACTTTTATATTTCCAGAAAGCTAAGGCTAGTCCTCTAAGAGTCTTGTAAACCTATATTATATCAAGGGAAAATAGTAAATCAAAGTACATTTTCCTAGATAAAATATTATATTATTAAATCTAAAAAAAACCCCGATTTCCTGTACCTGATTTCTTTAATATTCCACTCCGAGAAACTATTTCCTTGTCTTGAGAATAATTGACGAAACCTTTGCTCCCTCGGTTTTACCATCTATCGGGCGCTCCAGTCCCCCTGATGTTGCACCGTACAGGACGATTTCTCCTCGACTCTCTCTTCCGATAGCCAGAGCACCTACACCTTGCAGTATAAAGTCCTTCAAACCCCCTGCCACAATTTTGCTCTCCCCAGTCTTTACGTCGGAGAAAATGACGGTGTTGTCCAAATTGGTGGCAGAATAGATATTTCCTTGACGATCAATGACAAAGTCATCCACGATAGTAGCAACACTCGACAGATTGGCAACTAGTTGAGGAACTGCATTGGGGACAGCCCATCCTGATTTCGTGAGGGGGACCTTGTAGACGGCAATCAAGTCGCTGTTTGTCCAATAGAGATGTGACTCGAAAATTTTGACGCCATTGACACCAGTCCTGAATCCTGGCGGTGCTTTCAATTCCTCATGTGCCCATACGCCTTGTTGGAAATGGCCAGTGGAGACGTCGAGTCTACCGATGAGGCCGGTAAAACTGTCGGCAACGAAAACCACGCCGGGATATTCTTGGGAGCTTATGATGCCATTTGCCGAGACGCTGGAGGGCCCTAGGGCAGCAATCTTTTTGAGTTTGAACTTGTCGGAATGCTTATCCAAGAACTGCAGAGTGAATGCCTGATACTCTCCAGCGTGTGGGCTTTCGCCGTCGGTGAAATTACCGCCAAAAACCACGTAGGTCTCAAGGCCACCGATATCGTTGACTTGTGTAATGCCCACCGCGGCGTTGCTGTCAGGCAAAGAAGTGACGAGTTTAAGACACGTATGACGCGACTCTGGTCTCTTTACAGTCCAAATGTTGGACTGGGAAAGAAGCTGTGTGGCTAGAATTGCTCCGTTTGGGCGCACAAGAATATTTTCCAGCCATGTGCCGTTGGCAAGTTGCCCCAGGGTACGAATTTGAGGGGACGTGGCCAACACACCCGCTGCAAAATATGTCGATAAAACTGTAGAGAAGTGCATTTTTGCGTGTATCCTTTCCACGTATGTAGTGCTATAGACTCGATGAAGTGGCAGATGAGACACAGTGCTGACGAGAGAAAAATGTATTCATTCTTAAAGGCTTGAAAGAGGGGGGGCTTGCTGTCGACCTTGTCGCCGAGTCTGGAGATACGTCTCGCATGATGTCGGGTTACACAAAGTGCAAAAAGCACGCATTGATTGCCAAGCATTGAATAAACTCTCGTGCCAAGAAGCTGAAAAAGAAAAATTCTAATACAATGCGAGAGAACAGTCTGGGCTCTTGGCAGTGACAGCACGATTGACCAGGTGAGAGAGAATGCAGCCGCATACCAACGTCTACGAGTAGTGCTGACAAGGCAATGCGCAGCCGGGGCTTACTAAGAGTCCCCTTTAGGATCAAGATGTCTGGATGGATATTCCCCACAGACGTCGGTTCGCCCTTGACATTGTACAGATGGCGTGGTCATATCAGATGGTACCCTGAGGAACTCTTGCCTCGCTGTTCCGCGTTTTGCCGGCCGCCTTGTCAGACCTAGTGCCGATTCTCCGATTCTCCGATTGGCCCATGCTAGCCGAGTAAAGTAAAAGACGTGGCAGTTGCTTATGGACAAGCAAGTGATGGGACAATCTTGGTCATTTTCGTAGGGCGTCTCACCGCTGTATGCGTGCAAATGCCATTCCGATATACCGCGTCAGGCGTAGTCACATGATGTAAAATCGTACCGGACATGTAGTTACATGCCGCACAATCTATGTGCATGGAACCCCATTATCTGCCAGTGCGGGTTAGGGTTATTATTGACAACACAGCAACCTATCACTATCCCACCATGGAATAAAGGTTACAACCGCCGTACTGAATTATACTCTTTGGCAAATCATTTTCATGTCAAGTCTCGAGGTGAGGGGTTTCCGTAGAGGATTTCAGACGCGCAGAGGGTTAGTTGGGGAACGATTGCTTTTACAGCATGCCAATGGGCTACGTCATTCTGCCTTGTCACCTGTGTGACGATACTAGTCAATTACAACTTTATTTTATGACCGTTACATTTTCTAAAATACTACAACTACCACTCCCACCACTGCGACTTTGCTTATCTACCCGCTCGGTCCCCACGGCTCTCCCACAACTTTCGACCTGTGCTGTGCCAGATGCAAGCTTCACATGACTGTCTTCAAAAGATCAACACCTGCCATCTTATTCAAGCAGACGTGGCGTCATGAATGCTCTTAGCACATCGTTTGAAATTCCTTGGCGGTTCGTCTTGAACTTCCTGACAGTCTTGATAATGACGTCGGTGAGAATCTCACGCAGTTCAATGCTAAGCAATTGATGGGCCCGGTGCTTGGTTTGAATCGTGGCCAGCTCTTCATCATCCTCTAGGAAGAAACGGAGCCATTCGAGCGCCACGTCCATGCTCTTCTGTCCTATTGGGAAAGCCGCAATAATCTTCTCCCGCACAACGTCATCATCATCCGTCAGGTAAATGGCAGATGTTTTCACCGAGGCCGACATTTTCTGGTCGGCGCCTTGCAGAGAAGGCAACAAGCTCGAATACAGGAATGAAGGCGCAAGCTCCCCAATCTTGCCCGCGTGCTTGCGTACCTCGGCGAAATACCCGTCAATGTCGTACGAGCACGGGATTAGGCACGGGATACTTCTCAGGCTTGCCTTGTCGGCAACCAGAATACCAGGGAACGAGGATGCAAAGCACCCGGCCGACTGTGTAGAGCAGCAATAGAACATGCCAACATTGTGGTCGTCGGTGAACCCCAGCGCTTCCTTAATGCTCCTGACGGTGATGTGGCGCGCAATGGAAATGATGTTTTGATAAAAAGCTCCGCCGATATAATCCATGTTGGAAAACATGAACGTCTTGGAGAGGTCAAAGCCAAAAGCTAAAATATCCGTGGCATTGGCAATGTCATACTTGCGCACATCTTGGATGGGAAGGTCCTTGTCATGGAGAATTTTCATGTCATCAGTGAGCATGAGAATGAGTTTTGCGCCAAGGGTCTCTTGAAGCCATCTGCGTTATCGTGTAAGTGCGGTCACAAGGTAGATGCAGCTGATATCCCATGTTTGGGGTACGTACTGGGTAAATTCGAATGGAATGGAGTGTCCAAGATGCAGGCTGTCGCTGCTGGGACCTCGGCCCGTGAACAGATATATTGGCAGGCCGCTCTCATACCGATCAAGGATGAGATGGAGATCTCGGTGCGCAAAGACAATGCCCCGTCTGAGGTAACGATGAGGTTTGCGACCAGTCAATTGCGTAAATCGATCTAGCAACTGCTGGTCAACCCTCTGGGCATGGCTAGTTTCGATGAAGTCGTCATGTTTTGCATTAGTTGGAGCATTGAGGATGGCCCGATCTGCTTTTGCGAGGGGTGCGCCGTTGAGCTTGGTGGTGGACAAGACATCCACCAGCCTCACATATGCGCCGTTGGGGGTTCCACGAGATGCCGCCATATCTGAAAACTTGGGGAGCGTGCAGACAGTGGAAAATCGGTTGGTTGTCAGTAATGGTGGTTTTAACGCGGTCCTGAAGCTAGGAAAGGTTTGCTTCAAGGTCCAAGACTGCACACAGCTCCAGGCCTCGCCGGCTTGCTGAATAATCCAACATATTATATCAATCTCTTCAAGAGGTGTCCGTGTGACGGGTTCTTGTTCGCTTGATGACAGGCGAGTTGTGAAGCCAAAAATCCCTTGCACCCGGCTATGGGTCCAGTTGCGTGACATCGTCCCCTTGTTGGCGCTTACGAGGTAAGACGATGCGAATAGGTATGCCAAAGTACCATTCTTCAAGGATACGAAAGAAGTTGTTGTGGACCGTAACGGGTGTGTGTTTATCAAACCAGATGACCTACGGAGTACCTGGGTAGGTATGTGACCTTGGACTGGCTTGGGTTTGCAAGCTGTGAGGAAACTCATGCCTGAAATGACGAAATAAAACACTTGCGTGCCAAGCGTAATTAGCGCATGCTCCTTGAATGCCTACATAAGCAGAAGGACGAAAGAGTCCCCAAATCAAGTATAGTGGTGATTGAATCCGAGACTAAAAGCGCCACAACTAACGTACGCGTAGGGCGCGGAATGGTCACAGCGAGCTTACGGCTGACAGCCTAGAGCACCTAGGAGCGCCAAGAGGGCCATTCTGCCCCGTAGTAACTAGCACTGACGATGAACCAGACAGTATCAATGCCATTGGGGAGCTGTATAAGGGACGGGCCGTAAGCGCCACTTGGGCACATGTGAGTCAAGTTTACTTGACCTGTTTAAACCCGCCGGCACGGCACAACGCCATTCGCCCGGGGCGCCACATAGCTGAAAGCTTTGTCGAGACTTCGGAGTCGTCGGGTAAGCGCTGCATCAAGAGGCCGACGACAGGGTCCAGGGTACCTAAAAGTCTATTCGGATATTGCCTATCTGATGGGCAGATCAACAGCGAGGAGTCTTGTTGTATACCAGAGTCCATATTGCATTCATGCTAAAATATTACATAAACAACTAGCTTGAGAGCAATACGTACGCTCCATGTCTCGCTTACAGGAGGAGTAATACTGATTCGAAGCACCAGTAGACATCAATGCCTCCTGTTCCCCCAACCATAGGAAGGATTAAGCTTTTGCTAGTCGATCAATTGATGGTTTGCCGCAACCCGCTTTTTGCGGCAAAGGAATAGGGCCTGGTTTGTGGCACCTATCAATGCATGCGCCCGGCCGCGCCCGCGACTCTGACATGAGACTCGTGCCTTGGTGGCAATCGTGGTCAGCAAGGGCGGAAACTCGCCGTTGACAAATCCGAAGCCCCATGAGCCACTGCCGTGCAAACTCTTCGGCAGGTGATGCCAGGCACTGTCGACTCCAACAGCCCTCGGCCGGACCATGAGCCGAGCCAAGCCACACTGAGCCGGGGTTCATGTACTCCGTATCCCGTACAAACATGCAATCCAGGGGGGGCTGGGAATTACAGAGTAATCCCGATTGCCAATGGATCTGACGCTGCTTTGGCTGGTGGCGCTGATTACGCCTGTCAGAGCCGGAGAGGTCCCTTGATGAGACACGGAAAAGGCGCGGGGCCGAGGCTGGTTGGATGGACTTAAGCTTAATAATGCATTGCTTAGCATGAGAACTGCATATGTACAATGCTCTGGAGACGGACTTAAGAGTGGAATTAACGATAAAGGGGATTACTGCCCATCCAGCCTCAGGCCCGGAACGGAGTGGGCGTGTTCTTGTAAAATTAGGTTTAGTGATTATAATCTACTTACGGTAAGGGGTATATAAGCGTGCCCTATGAGAGCATCAAATTCACACGACTTAGATCCAGACAGCAAACAGAACAAGACGCTTCAGCATCCAGTCATGGCGCCATCACAGCTATCCCCGGCCATTCCCAACCACACCAAGACCTCCAAGACGGTTGAAACCCGTCTCTTCATCAACAATGAATTTGTAGAGTCTGTTTCTGGCAAGCGCTTCGATGTCATTGACCCCTCCACCGAGAAAGTCAGTGCTTCAGTCTACGAGGCAGACGTCGAGGATGTCGAACTTGCCGTCCAGGCTGCCAAAGCTGCTTTTCCCGCCTGGTCAGAACGAAACGCTGTTGAGAGGGCCCATTTCTTGAACAAGTGGGCCGATGCCTTGGAAAAGGCTGCCGACGAAATTTCCTATCTTGATAGCATCACCATGGGCAAGCCAGCGTTTCCTGATCGACTGGCCCCCATGGTACCCATCATAATCCGCTTTTTTGCCTCAAAGGCCCTCGACATTACAGGAGAAAGCTCGCTCAACTCGGCCGGCTTCCTCAACGTTAGTCTCAGGCAGCCGTATGGCGTTTGCGCCGCCATTACCCCGTGGAATGCCCCCCTCATGATGCTGGCATACAAGGTCTCGGCCGCCCTCATCACGGGCAACACCCTTGTCCTCAAATCGAGCGAAAAGTCCCCGCTCAGCTCCCTCGTGGCGGCTAGATGCGCTTTGGAGGCCGGCTTTCCCCCTGGTGTGTTAAACATCCTCAGTGGCTACGGCCGTCCGTGTGGCGAGGCGCTGGCGCGGCACATGGAGATTCGCAAAATCTCCTTCACAGGAAGCACTGCCACCGGCAAGGCCATCCAGCGAGCCGCAGCCGAGACCAACCTGAAGAGTGTCTCGCTTGAACTAGGTGGCAAAAGTCCGCTCCTCGTGTTTGACGATGCCAATCTGGAAAAAGCCGTTAGCGCCGCCACCATCTCGATCCTCATGAACTCTGGCCAGGTATGCAACGCCACCACACGCATCTATGTCCACGAGAAGCTCGCACAAGATTTCATTGACGGCATTAAAGCCGCCATGTCTGCCATGGGAGCGAGCGGTAATCCCCTGCACGAAGGGACCATGCGCGGCCCCCAGGCTGACAGGGCGCAATTTGAGCGCATCTTGTCTTACCTTGACCTCGCAAAGCAGTCTGGTGTTTCCATAGCTTTGGGAGGAAACCGTGAATCATCTCCCGGGTACTTTGTTGAGGCTACTCTTCTCACTGATGTGCCTGAGGATTCAAGGCTTGTCAAGGAGGAGATTTTCGGTCCTGTGCTTATTGTCAACCGCTTTACTGATGAAGAAGACGTCTTACAACGTGCCAATGACACCGAGTACGGCCTCTGGGCTAGTGTCTTTACCAATGATGTAAGCCGGGCCATCCGCGTGGCCAAAAGGTTGGAAGCTGGAAGCGTAGGCGTTAACTGTACATCGCCGGTATTAGCCATGGACATGCCGTTTGGAGGGTGGAAGAGCTCCGGACAGGGACGTGAATTCAGTCGGTACGCGACTGATTATTGGACGGAGCTTAAGACCGTGTACTTTGCTTACTGAATTACCACTATTCTGGACTAGTTGTTGTTGTAGTTGTTGTCGTCTTATAGATTGCTTCGGCCAACCCGACCATCTACATTCCTAAACGTGTAGCAGGTCTCCCTGCTGGTGGCAATATAGTCTCTTCAAACGAAATCTCCACTAGGCCTAGAATAACCTTCTGTATGACTGCATATGCACCTGTGGCTCTCGCCCTGACTAGACGCCCAACAACGGGGGGATCACATAGTCTGGCTTCACGAATGCCAGTGACATGTTTGGCTTCTGACTTTCGGCCGCAGCTTCTACAGTACGACCATTGATGTCCGTGTTCCCACCTCCTTCCTAAACCGATTATGTCTCAGGCTGATGCGAGATCCGTCGTGTTCATGCCCCGGCATAATCCTGCTTTAGTACGCCTGCCAACAGCGCTGGTTGATTGCTGGAAGGAGAAATTCAACCAATCGTAAGAACAGCCGGACACACGTATAAGCTTCTGTCGTACACATCGTTTGCGGCTGAAGCTTAACTGGATGTATCGAAAATAATCTGCCGCAACTAGCCAACGACAACGCGCGTCGTGGCCCCTTTGGGAGCGGACATTGCGCCATAATCTTGTTCATTGCCGCTCCGACGGAACCCGAAGTAGTCCTCTACCGATGTTGAAAGTTCCTCCGATCTTGTGTAAGACTGACCTGCAGGCATGATTGACTCTTTGTGGTGATCTTGGTTGACATGCAAGCTGTACGTTGCCAAGGGGGTCGACGGTGATCTAGGTGCGTCTCACTGCCTAGTCGATGCTACCTAAGCACATGCCACGAGGTTATGAATAACGTGGGCGTTAATAAATATGGAAAATTCTGGAGGTCACTACCACCCTCAGAGTTACATTCACGTGGTTATATCTGCTCCGCATTTCAACTCTATAACTCGAGCGTGTTGCTACTATACAATTCCATCAAGTACACCTTTTTTGTCAACTCCAACATAACCGGCTCTGAATTCACAAGAGTTTTTACTACATTTGTATACTTCAACATGTTTCCACTTCCCGCAGCAACCATCACCACTTCTCTCCCACACGATGTCCCGGTGGCAGAATCATTTACGCTGCCTCAACATGGCCCGATCGACACTCCATGGTTGACGGAAGAGCTCAAATATTTCGAAACATGTCTCCTTGTTCTCGATGTGCTCGAGTCATTTGGGACTCACATTAGCAAAGACCCGGCTTCCCCCTCGGGCAGATGGGCCGGCAAGCCCAAATTCCTTGGACATGTATATCACTGGGTCAGAAAGAACGAGCCCATCCAGCTTACAATGCCGGCATTTCCATGCAAGAGTGTATGTATTTTATCTCTGCCATTATCAAACATCTTGATTCTTGCTAACGGTTTTATCCCACTAGGCCAACCGCGAAAACAAGGTCCTAGGTCACTTGCCCGATCTCGGTGAGGAGCTTGGTATGAGTCGATTGAACGACATAGCTGTTGCCATTAAGAATGTCTACCAACCCGGTGCCTTGGTCAATATCGCTTCTGACGGTATTTTATTTAATGGTTAGTTCGACATTGGTGCCCCGGTAGAAACTTCCTTATTAACCCACCACAGACATCATCGGTGTTACTGATGAGGAGACTTGGGAGTATAGCGAAGAGCTTCGCGCCATTGCCAGGGAGAAAAAGCTAGACTACATAGTATTTCTCTATCCTCAGGTCTTGATTGGCATGATGCCCGCCGGCGAGATGACTCGAGAGAAGTACATCTCGACGGCTGATGAGTGCCGTGCCTTGCTCGAAGCTCAACACGGAAGCACCCTCAAGCAGATTGAAGCTCTCATCAAGTCCGACTCGGACACTAATTCAACCTACTGTGGCATGGTCAAGTTTCTGCAAACAGAGTTATTTGGCGCTCTTGCCGGCAAGAGCTACCGTGAACGCCAAAAACTACAAAAGAACTCGGCCAAGAAGATGATGCAGCGGTCCGAGGCATTTACGCTCGCCATTCGTACTAATCGGCCCTTGGATGTTCGTCTGTCAATGCATCCCTCGTCCGGAGTGGCCAAGCTTTCAGTGGCCCTTGTGCCGTCACCAAAGGGCTTTTTCCAACGATCACCCTGGCACAGCTGTGTTGCTATTGACAGTGAGGGCGGCTACCACTGTGTCCATTCTGAAGAAGTCCGGGAGACGCATGAGCTCATGTACAAGGATAACCGACCATACTTTTTCATTGCCAAGGATGCCGTCCAGGTCGACGAGCCAGATACCGTGACGGTTGTTGAGGCTGCAAATGCTGAGGCTGTTGTGGAGAAATCGGAAGTTCCCCTGGCTCCTCCGGCTACTGCGGCTCCTGCAAAGGCAGAAATTGTTCCGGTTGTCGAAAAGCAAGAGATTGCGACGGTCGTCGAGAATCCTGTTCCCACTGTTATTGAAAAGCAGGAAGCTGTGACGTTCACCAAGGAACAAGTTATTGCTACAACTACCGAAAATCAGGAAACCGCGACGTTTATCGAGGAGCAGCCTATTGCTACAATTCCTGAAAAGCAAGAGGATTTGACAGTTATTGAGGGCCAACCTATTGCTACAATTGCTGAAAAGAAAGAGGTCGTGACAATTGCTCAGGAGCAACCTAGTGCTACAAATACCGAAGAGAAGGAAGCTGAGACGTTTATTGAGGAGCAACCTATTGCTTCATTTACAGAAAAGCAAGAAATCATCACGATTGTTGAGGAGCAAACTACTGCTACGTCCAACAGTCAAAATGCCACGACGACTCCAGACAGCAAGCAAAATGTCGTAGAGGCTGACGCCGAAATTGCGACAGCTGACCCTAAACTTCCATCTGATACGCTGGATGGTGAGTCATTTCCGTCAGCTGCTGTCTTGGCATAGTCCCATGACTGAAAAATAAAACCATCCGAAAGGAGGTAGAAGGTTATTCGTCATTTTGCTGGTCGCCACCATAGTAGCTAGTATACCAACTATATTAACAGGGAAAAAGGCGCGGGGCTGACGTGTAGTCTAGAGATATTTAGCAATACTTTGGAAATCATACGATATGGTACATGAATTGGAGTTTTATTTTATTTTATTTTTTATTACAAATACTAAACGGGCATGGGCTCTGCGTTGCGCCATTTACTGAGCTGTCTCAGGACATCACACAAGAACTAGACAGAAATTGCACACGGATTTGTATAGGTGCTTTTAGATGGTTCGTAATAAGTAAGAATAATCTGACAAGGCCTTCTTTCTGAGATGGAAAGTGTTTAACGCATCACAGACTACTCCATGTAAAGCCATTCTGTAAACATGTTTGAATCTATGAATTACCGCGAAACATGTGTAAACTCTACATCATAGATACTCTATCACGCCATTCGCTGCAAGCAAAACTTTTCTGGTGGCTGTGGCCCTGCGCTCGACCAGCCCTCTATACCTTGACCATCTTAAACCCAGCTTTCCAAGCTCTGACTATGATAAACAAGGCACTTGAGACCAACGATGCGACACCACCGAATATCCAGAGACCGTTGAAATTATCGCCGCCGGCACTAGCAAGTATGCCACCACCACCTGGTCCGCCGACAAAAACGCCCAGACCAATGATGCCAAATGCCATGCCCATTCGTGTACCAATTTTGGAGCGGTCTTGGGTGAGTCGGACAATGCAGACTGGAGGCAGAGCGATGAATATACCCGAGAAGAATCCAAAGAGAATCGCTAGAATGACGACGCTGGCAACGGACTTTGCACCAAGCATGCCAAAGATGATGACACTAACAACCACAGCGCCTGGACCGATAAGGTTGAAAGCCCCGGTTTTGTCAGAAATTGCGTTGGGAATGGTGCGCCCAAAAATAGAGGCTGCGTTGAGAATCGTCACGATATAAAATGACAGAGCCGTCGACGTGATGTGCCTGGCCTTGGTATAATACGACAGATAGAAGAACATGGTATAGAGACCCATGAAGCCAATCAGAGTAGCCAAGGTAAAAACAAGAAAGGGCCAGTCCGTTAGTGCAGAAGTATCGAGTAGAGCACGCGCCTTGGACGGTTTCACACGCATCTTCATGACCAAGTTGGGGATGGAGAGTGTGGCCAAGGCGATGAAGCCGAGAACGCGGACGCTCCACCCAAAACCAATGTCGTTGATGAGCTTGTAGAAAACAACGGGGTAGATCATGCCACCGATACTTGATCCCGAAGCTGCAAGGCCAATGGCGAGGCCGAGTCGCGTGTTGAAGTAGGTGGGCAAAATGGCCACGGCGGGCACGTAAATGAGGCCCGACCCAAGACCAACACACACGCCTTGGGCCAGAACGACTTGCCAGTAATCGGTGGCTAGACTTAGCATCATGTTGCCAAAGACGACCAGAAATGAACCAACGAGCAGTAGAGCCCGTAGGTGTCCACGATCGTAAATGGGTCCGGAGAGGAAGCCCGTAAAGAGGACGAGAAAGGCTTGGATGGAGCCAATCCACGAGATGTTGGACGAAGTCTGTGTGAAGAGAGTGCCGGAGCTGTAGAAGGTTTGAAAGGCTCCAAATGTGTTGAGGATGCCCCAGGTGTTGAAGTACAGCATAAACGCTCCGAGGACGTGTAGCCAAGCCTGGACGCCGCCATTGGGGATATCGGCCGCGGGATCAGCAGGTGGCATTGGCGGCGGCGAGGGCGGGAGCGTCTTTTCCTCATCATCGCCAGAGATGTCGGGTGTTTTGATAGTGTCTGCAGCCATGGCGGCGATGGTTTGCGCAACAAGACGTTTGGCTCGGTGAAGGAGAATATACTCGTGTGACCGACGAGATGCTTGGTGGTTTGGCACTCTTGTGGAAGAGCACAGCAAGGTACATGGAGGAACAAAGCCACCAAGCAAAGAAACTGACAAGATGACGCGAAGGGAAAAAAAAACAAGAGACAAAACGCCCGCGGCGAGGACGTGGCGAATTAGTCAGATTTGATTCACTCAACAACCCTGCTTCTGCAGTAGCTTGAAATGAGGTCGACGCTCAATGTAACCGCGCGGGTTATTCGGCCGTAAGAAACCCCATATTTTCTCCGTTCCCTCCTCCTTGCCCATTTCGATGCGAAGATGACAGGGCCCAGATAATAAGCATTCGATGGGGACAATTGCCAAGGACCAAAGAGCCCCGACCGGCTGAATGTACCTCCCGTGTACTTTGGAATCTGACCGTGATGGCCACACGCCTTGCATTTTCGCTTCCCTCACCCCCCAAGCAGATCGATGCTAAACTTCGAGCACTCAGTTAATTATTGCCTCAGGTGGGCTGTTGTTGAAAACCACCAGACTCAAGTGCGCCAACACGAGCAGATGGCTCGGACATGGAATTAGCAGCACTCCATGCAGTCAGCAATGAGGACGGCTGCAGGGATATCATGGCGCAATACGGCTCAAATCGCATGTTTTGCCGCCGACGCTCGTCAGCTGCTTTGGGTAGTGGCCGGTTTGAAACCATGAGCTTTTTGAAGCCATGAGCTGACATGGCTCCTTGCTTTCTATGCGAGTCCAGCAAGGCCATGATTTAAGGGCACTGAAACACAACTATGCCTGCCAACCGTGTCCTAAGCGCTTGCTAGTCTTGTACGACGTAGACCAAACTCGTTCCGCCATGGCTGCTTCCAATCTACCGCCCGAGATGGCGAATGGCGCGCCTTCGCAAACCGCCGTCAACCCCAACCTGCCGCCTGCTACGGCCAGTCTCTCGTACTGGCAGCGAACTACACGAGCATTCAAGTACTTGAATCACAATCAGACAAACACTCCCCCCGCCTCTACTACTTATGCCATTATCGGCTCGGGCTTGGCAGGAGCCCTGGTGGCATACAATCTCCTCGAACGCGGCGTGCAAGGCGAGGAAATCCTCATCCTCGAAGCTCGCGAGGCCGTTTCTGGATCGACTGGCCGCAATGCCGGCCACGTTCGACCAGATGCTTTCCGCAACTTCTCGGGCTATCAGGCCTTCCATGGCAGCGAGCAGGCATTGAAGATTGTGGCCACCGAGGAGACCAACTTGAAGCGCATAGCTGCCTTTATTCGGGACAAGCAGATCCAATGCGACTTCAACTTGACCACCACATTTGACGTGTGCCTGGGGCCCGATGCCGTGGAAGATGAGGAGAAGAATATTAAGGACTATCTTGACGCCGGTGGCAACCTGGCCAGCCTGGGCGTCAAATGCTGGTACGGAGATGCCGCCGAGGAAAAAAGCTCGTGTCCAGGCGCCTCGGCTGCGTATGAATGGCCGGCTGCCTCTATTCATCCCGTCAAGCTCGTCCACTGGGTTCTCGAGCACGTTATTGAACGGGGCGTTCAATTGTGGACGCATTGTCCGGTAGACGAGATACGAGAGGACAGCGCCAAACTTGGTGTGCAAACCTCACGGGGCGTCATCTCGGCAGACAAGGTGGTTCACTGCACCAACGCATTTGCCGGAAGTATCCTGAGCCAATTGACGGCCGAGAGACTGACGCCGTTTGCGGTCCAGGTCGCCTCTGTCATTCCCTCCTCGGCGGCATCTGGCGACAAGACCTTCAAGAGCACCATGGCGCTGCGAGAAAACGCCCGCATGTTTTACGGTTTCGCTCAGAAGCCGTTGGATGGAACCATCATTGTAAGTGTCGGTAGACCTGTCGGCAAAGGCGTCCAGGCCGAGGAGTCACATACGCCCCAGGTCGCAGAAGAAATCGTCCAGCGGATATCCAAGCTTATTGGGCCGAATGATGAGCCACAGAGATCCGGGGAAGGTCTTGACACGACGTGGACGGGCCTCATCGCGTTCACGCCGGACAAGGTGCCTTATATAGGCGAGATTGATGAGTTGCCTGGGCAATACATCTGCGCCGGCTTCAACGGTCACGGCATGGCGAATATTTTTACCTGCGCCGGAGGCATCGCTGGTCTCTTGTTGGGTAGACCGTGGGAAAGCACGCAGCTGCCAGAATGCTATTGTTACAGCCAAGCGCGGCTGAGTAAAAGTGCCTAGTGAATTAGTGAAGATAAACATAATACACCCACTGTTTCTATACCATGATAGAAGACGCTGGGTTCGCTTTTGAGATGGTGTTGTAGTTTTTGGCCAGCGTTGATGTTGATCTTGTTCAGCCACTTGGGACGTCTTGCACCGCCTGTTTGAAAGTCAACAATATTCAACGTCGCCCAAGAAACTGTTCCAAAACCTCAGGGAATAATGGGACGTTGACAATATATTCTTTCATTCAGACATCATTCATTTGACAATGACGGCTAGGGTTGACAGCCGCAGAACCTAAACTTGTCTATGAAGGAGAAAAGAGCACTGCTCTACTGCGGCCATGGGGTTTCGTCGACACGATACAGAAGCTTGTATCCGCTAATCCTGCCCTCCTTCATGTCCTTCATGCCATCAAGCACCCCAACCAGACCACCAGACCTGACTTCACGAGGGTGCTCGGTCCATTTGCCCTCACCCCAAAGCTTCTCCACGAGAGGGAAGAAGGTGGTGGCAAACTCGTAGTATGTAGGCTGCGCTTCCCAATGCTTGCCCTCAAAGATGTACTTCTCGCCCGTGATACCGTAGACGAGGAAGAAGATGGACTCGACATCAGAGCGGGGGGCGTCGTACTCTCCCAGGAGGTTCACGTAGGTCCCTCCTTTGCTGCTGAGTGCCTCGGCGCTAATCTTGGCAGAAGATTCCTTGCTGACGGTATCCAGAACCTTGATGAGCTTGTCGTCGGTCGCCTTGCGAATGTCTTGTCCCACGGTCGGAGAGTGCTGGGCTTGAATTAGCAATCGTTTACAAGGACAAAATGCCAAGGCACAAAGAAGGGACCGTCATACATAGTCAAATACCAAATCGGCACCACGGCTCTTGGCAAGGTCGAAATGCTTGGGC